TATATTTTGAGGGCGAGCTGCACCCTCATAATATACAGCACCATACATTGGCATTTGAGCAGCAGGATAGACAGGAGCAGGAGCTGGGGCAGGACAGGAGTAGGAGGGAGATGATAGCCACCAAATCCTGGAGGATAGACAGGGACAGGAGGAGGAAGAGGGGGGACCAGGAGGAAAATAGCCAAAGCCTGGAGCAGGTGGGGGTGGTGGTGGGTGATGAGCACGCCATTGACGATGCGCCTCATGACGCTCAATTGCATTGTGTGGAATTCCTGGAAATCTCTGCACAGGGATCTGAGCATGATTTAAATTTCCTAGCATATGAGGAATATTCTGAATAGGATATGTTAGCAATGGTCAACGTTTTGAATGAAAATAGACATACAATATGGGGAGCATCTGGTGCTACAGGGGCAGGATCATTTTGCGGTAGACGTTGTGCAGGAGGCGAGCCAAGATTACGTTGATTTCTCTCGGCTTGACGCGCAGCAGACTGGGCTCGTTGAGGGGAAGTGGGTGGAGTTGAAGGAAGCCTAAGAAGAAATTAATTAATTAGCAGGACTCCATAAAAAATAAATGATATACGAACATGGCAGTATGTGGCAACAAAATTCGAAAAATGGGGCAAATCTAGCAATGGATAGGATAGAAACACCACTGCAGCAAAATTAGTCGAGGAAGACATGAGAGATGCATTACGCACATAGGTCGGAATCCAAAAAAGTGGGTGTGTGTGGGTGGTTGAAGAAGTCTGAGCCTCCCGAGGTCAGGATCGCGTCAGGAAATTGACGTATGACAGTGCTGAAGACAACAAAAATGCTGTCCGAGATATTATCCCAAGGGATAGGAAGGCAACTGTGAGCAACTGCCAGATAGAACACCCAGCAGTCAGACTCAATGCAAAAAAGTGTCCTGCCAACCAAATCTCTGCACTGTAGTGCTATCAGAGGTCCCAGCAAAAGCTGATAGCAACCAGCAAACACCCGTAAAAACAGGCAGCCAGGGAGGTAGGACTTGACACGGAGATCTCACAGGACAGTCTTTGACAACTGCAGAAGACGCCCGCAAGACTCCTCGCACGTTCGTCTTGTATACCCAATTTCCCCCGTTCCTCCAGTGGGATTCGGGCTCAGAAACAAACAACAAACACACCACACGAACCTGCTCTCCAAAAGGGTCCAGGGGGGGTCCAGGAGGGTCCAGGGGTCCAAGGGAGGTCCAAAATGGTCCAAAATGGTCCAAAACACGGTCCAAGAACAGCAGAAAAGCGAAAATCACTATATTTTTTTGAATTTTTCAAGTAATTTTTGTATTTAAATAAGTAAAGCTTACCCCAGGAGTGGAATTTCACTACAAATTTACAAATAATCACTGGGGAGAGGATACTTCAACAATTTCAACAATAGTATGTGAGGAAACAGATGGTGGGGGGAAAGAGGTGTTTAGATTGCGAGGGTTTCGAAACTCGTAGGGAAATGGAACTCCAAAAATGAAAAGCATGCGAGATTCCCAATTTTGGACAGCAAGCTCGTATAGTAGGGGACAATGGTTTTCGGAAATTCAAACTCCGGTTGACAGAACCACGTGGGATGCTTTTTTCAGCCACCTTAGCGAAATAACCGTATCTAACCTTCGCCAGCTGACGCTGGCGAGGCCTACCAACACCATGTGCGCTACGCGGAAATGCCCAAATCGTCCCACCCCTTCCCCCACACCAGTTCTCCCTTACTTTATAGACTAGCCCAAGCCCATTGTGCCTTCGGCACAGGAAGCAAGCAGAGCACTTTGTGCTCTGCTGGAGGCACCTTCGGTGTTTTGTCTCACTGTGTCTACATATTATTTTGTTGTGTGAAATCAATCATTTCTTACATCTTACATTTTAAAAATATTATATAGTTTTGTTTTAGTTATGGGATGTTGCACAAACAGTTTGACTGAAGGTTACCTGGCACACTGGCTTGCAATCCCATGGCCTCGTGCCTCAGCCAGTGGGATGCAAGCCAGTGTGCCAGGTAACCTTCAGTCAAACTGTTTGTGTCTTGCTACTGACTCATGCCTTTCCCCTCAATTCTCCCATCTCCCATCTCCTGTGTCCTGTGTCCTGTTGTCCTGTTGTCCCATTGACCTGTGTCCCACTGTCCCATGTCCCGTGTCCCATGTCCCGTGTCCTGTGTCCCGTGTCCCATGTCCCATGTTCCATTGTCTGTCCTCCTGTCTTCCATCCTCCCATTGTCCTCCCATTGTCCTCCCATCCTCTTGTCCTCCTGTAGTGCTGTCCTCTCATCCTCCCATTGTGTTCTCTTGTCCTCCTCTTGTCCTCCCATCCTTCTGTTGTCCTCCCATTCTCCCATCTCCCTATTCACCCCATTTCTCCATTCTCCATCTTCCCATCCCATTCCCATGTTTACCCATTGCCCATTGCCAATTTTTCCCATCTTTATATTTTCACAATTTTGCATTTTCACATTTTTCTACTTGGTGTTCTCTTTTCTCTTTTCCCCACAAAAATCCCAAAATCCCTTGTTGTCCTTCAATTTTTACTATTTATCATGTATTCACAGTCACAGTACATATATAAAATCATTGTCAGTTGTGCAAAATGGAGGGCCATTGAGCACCTGCCAATCCCATCTTTCTATTTTCGCATTTTTCACATTTTTCTATTTGCTTGGTTTATCCCGTTGTGGCTCAATTTTTTCAAATTCCCAATTTTGGACAGTGAGCTCACATAGTAAGGGACAATGGTTTTCGCAACTTCAAACTCTGGTTGACAGAACCACATGGGATCCCTTTTTCAGCGACCTTAGCGAAATAAGCATTCCAAGCGGCTTGTAACCGAAAAAACCGACGCCAACTGAAACTGACGACTCCATGTGCGCTACGCAGAAATGCCCAAATCCTCCCACCTCCCCCCCTCACCCTTCTCCCTTACTTTTTAGATTCTCCCTTACTTTTTAGACTAGCCCAAGCCCGTTGTGCCTTCGGCACAGGAAGCAAGGAGAGCACTTTGTGCTCTGCTGGAGGCACCTTCGGTGCCTTGTCTCACTGTGTCTACATATTATTTACTTGTGTGAAATAAATAAATTCTTACATCTTACATTTTAAAAATATTATATAGTTTTGTTTTAGTTATGGGATGTTGCACAAACTGTTTGACTGAAGGTTACCTGGCACACTGGCTTGCAATCCCATGGCCTCGTGCCTCGGCCAGCGGGATGCAAGCCAGTGTCCCAGGTAACCTTCAGTCAAACTGTTTGTGTCATGCTATTGACTCATACACTTCCTCCCAATTATCTTGTCCCATGTCCCATTGTCCCATGTCTTGTTGTCCCGTGTCCTGTTGTCCCATTGTCCCATGTCCCGTGTCTCGTTGTCCCGTGTCCCATTGTCCCGTGTCCCATGTCCCATTGTCCTGTTCTCCCGTGTCCCATTGTCCTGTGTCCCATGTCCCGTGTCCTGTTCTCCCGTTCTCCCGTGTCCCATGTCCCATGTCCCATGTCCCATGTCCTGTGTCCTGTTGTCCTGTTCTCCCGTGTCCCATTGTCCCATGTCCCATTGTCCTGTCCTCCTCTTGTCCTCCCATCCTCTTGTCCTCCTGTAGCCCTCTCATCCTCCCATTGTGTCCTCTTGTCCTCCTCTTGTCCTCCCATCCTCCCATCTTCCTATTCACCCCATTTCTCCATTCTCCATCTTCCCATTCCTCTGTTTACCCATTGCCAAATTTTCCCATCTTTATATTTTCGCAATTTTGCATTTTCACATTTTTGCATTTTGCATTTTTCACATTTTTCTACTTGCTTGGTGTTCTCTTTTCTCTTTTCCCCACAAAAATCCCAAAATCCCTTGTTGTCCTTCAATTTTTACTATTTATTATGTATTCACAGTTGCAGTACATATAAAATTCATTGTTGTTGTGCAAAATGAAGGGCCAGTGAGCACTTGCCAATCCCATTGTGGCTCAATTTTTACAAATTCCCATGTTTGGACAGTGAGCTCGTATAGTAAGGGACAACGGTTTTTGCAAATTCAAACTCCGCTTGACAGAACCACATGGGATCATAAAAGAATGGGAGACCTGTTTTGTGGCTGTGTGTGGGAGACGCGTAGCTCGCTAAAGGCCACATGGGAACGCTTAGCTCGCTTAACCTCGATTTAGAAATTTCACGTGGTTCTGTCAATCGGAGTTTCAATTTCAAAAAACCGTTCTCCCTTACTATACGACCTCACTGTCCAAAATTGGTTATAGGTAAAAATTGAGCCACAACAAGGGGAGGAACACCAAGCAAATAGAAAAATGTGAAAAATGCGAAAAATGCGAAAATATAAAGATAGGAAAAATGGGCAATGGGTAAACATGGGAATGGGAAGGTGGAGAATGGAGAAATGGGGTGAATGGGGAGATGGGACACGGGAGATGGGAGACAGGAGACAGGAGGGAGATAGGAAATGAGAAATGAGGAATGGGAAAGCAGAAAATAGGACAGAGACACGGGAGAATTTTTTGGGAAGGGCAAGAGTCAACAGCAAGACACAAACAGTGAGACTGAAGTTTACCTGGGACACTGGCTTGCATCCTGCTGGCCGAGGTACGAGGCCACGGGATTGCAAGCCAGTGTCCCAGGTAAACTTCAGTCTCACTGTTTGTGTCTTGCTGTTGACTCTTGCCCTTCCCAAAAAATTCTCCCGTGTCCTCTGTCCTCAGAACTAAAATAAAAGTATATAGTATTTTGTAAATGTAATATGTAGACATGTGCCGAAGGCACAACGGGTGTGGGCTAGTCCTCTTTTCAGCAACCTTACCGACGCAACCGACGCAGCCGAAACCATGTGCGCTACGCGAAAATGCCCAAATCCTCCCACATTGCCCCCCTCCTTTCTCCCTTACTTTTTAAGACTTTTTAAGATTATAGAATTATAGATTATAGATGATGATGATCTCTTCGATGTTTGACCTTGTTAGGATCCGAAGCTTACTCATACTACCACCCATGGCCATTAATATGATTGAATACCACTAGTACTGGAGCTCGCGGCACAGTCTCTGCTTCTCGCTGTCAGCCGCGCTCAAGTCAACGAACCAACAAATGGTACAGCTCTCGCACACCAGCCGGCTCGCAATCAAACTTCAATGAACAGGACCATTCTTGCTCAAATTACATGCCAATGAGGATATTAACGAGGCCATCAAGCGGTACCGTGAATCACTTCGGGTAGGGCGGCAAGACCATCCAGAGCGCCATACAAAGCTTTTAATTTGAGCTCGGCGCTCTGCTCTCGTTTCGCGAACACTTGAAAGATCGAAGATGTTGAGGAGGCCATTGGGTTCTGCCAGGAAGCACTGGCGGTTTTGCCACCACTCCACCCCGAAAGGCACTACTCCCACTTCAGGATACACGAGGCATATATGTCTCGTTACCGGGTGCAGCATAAACCTGCTGATTTATCACTCGCAGTGGAGAACTTCAGACTGGCATCAAAGCACCCTACTCAAGGCTTTCCAGCCCGTATTCTTCAGGCGTATAATTGGACTGTCACAGCGGAGAGGTACAGTCATGCATCAAGTCTCTGCCGCTCTCTAAGCTCCGCCACTATGTCGACGCATACAATATCCCCGTCAAAGGCCGTATCGACAAGAATGACCTCGTGGATTCCATCATTGCTGCGAAGTCTATCCCACTATATCCTTGTATCGCTGACTTCTTCCAGACACCATCAGACACCCGTCCTCCGCCCCCAACTCAGCAACAAACATCCACATCACCACCCGATTTCCCCCGTCCTGACCTTGAACCACAGCCAGCATCATACACAACGTATACCCCCGAGCCCCTGATAATGGGGCTCCAGGCAGGCAGCTCGACGGAATAGACGGGTGTAGCAGCAGCAGCGCAAGAAAGTGCCAGCATCAGGGCAGAAAAAATAGAGAACATCGTCGCGGTGCTGAACATTCTGAATACTAAGTTGATGTGACGGCTGCGAGAAACGGACTTTCGAGAATGGCGTAAATAGGATAGTTCGAGCGCAGCTAGGCCAATTCACGAATGCCAGTACTACAAGTCCACAGTACGACGACCTTTATACCTTTGTGGTAATAAAAATAATCATATGGCAGAGTGTGAATTTCATGCTGTGAAACTGGAACGAGGTTAGTACCGGTGAAATGGACAGTGATTTGGCCGTGCAATCTTTTCCAGTCACCCCCTAGAGTAACGTTGACTTACGTGCGTTTATGACAGGATCCCCAGCAGAATGAGCTAGTCTCGACAGTGGCAACAATATGCCATCATTTTCGTCATAGGGGCTTGCTGAATGCTGATTCCATTTAGCGTTCACTATTGTTCTAAAGTGGAGTTAGTATACTCCTCACGTCAATTCCAATCCTCGAGCCGAAGAAGGGTTGAATGGTATACTTACGAAGAGATATACCTAAGCATGCCACCATGCGTTCCCCTCTCCTCATGCGGGCGTGGCGAAATCCATCTGATGGCCTGGTATCACACACTCTGGACAGACCCTGGACAGATTCATGGGCTAGCTGGTAAGAGGACTAGTGTTTCTGATTTGGACTTGGAAGATTTGAAGAGTTCTTCTGATTCTTCCTACCCACGTCTCACGTATCGAAAGACAATTGGTTGATGAGTCGGATCTGGTTAGGATGATCATGGAGCAGGCCTAGGAATGGGTCTCGTCTCGCTTGTTAAGCCTCGAATTGCTAGTTTTTAGTTTAGCCTGCGGAGTCTGCTTCAACGTTCGAAATGATGGGAGACAATAAAACCATGATATGTTGTCAGCTCAGCTCAAGGAGACTATGATGTGTACAGAGCGAAAATAAACGTACTCGCGCCCCCCAACTCGTGCTCCATACCTAGGCCCTACACCCGCATGTACACGTACGAGGGAAAAGAGCTATACACAAGAAGGAAAGTCTATCACGCTCGTGTGACAGAGGGAGATAATGGAATACTGTGTTTTGGCCCTCGTAAGGCTGTAATTTTCTCTGTATTAGCAAGCATATCACAGCATATGAGCATCTGCTTACTCGTCAAAATGAGTGCCTCTATTTGGGTCAGCTCGTCTCTTGGCAAGTACTTTCCTGACCTTTCTCTCAGGGCGAACAACGATGATTAACACGGGGGAATTCGAGAGGCGATGATTTGATACGCTGCCCACACCTGACGGGCCGAAATATGCACTCCCAGGTTTGCATCATTCCGCGCTGACCTCTCAAGCCCATGACGACTGAGTCTGGCCGATACAGAGCAATCAAGCATTCGAGCGTCATGGTGACCTTACCAGCAGTGAGTTTGACAATGACGGTCAACTACGTATGATGCATACAATGAGAACGTGTAAACGCGACGACCACATACCTTCTGCTCTGGAACACATTCGATACATTTCCAATGAGGCGCAAAAGTTGACGTGTCTTCTCGAGCGACTTCGTGATCCATCTTTAAATTATGATCTAATGTCGGCGAACATCCTTTCCAACAGATATTAGTCATTCACCTAAATCCGCCGGACCGAGTTTTCCAGCACCTAATCAAAGGCCTGACGTCCCATTTCATCCAGACTGCATGCACAGAGGAATGCCCTAGTCTAGCATACCCGTCTGATTGAAAGTGCAGGGTCAACAAGCATGTGGATGCAGAAAGGTTCTCGAAAATATCGAATCATACTCTGGGCGTGCAACGTTGCCCAGCAACAGATGTGATCGTAGTCTGCTGCATGTTCATCGATGGGGACCACAAGAGGGATTTTCGAAGTTGGAACGTGAGTTGCGAAGGAGGAAGAGGGGGAAATGGTAGGGTTGAAGTAGGGTTGAAGACATAAGGGAGCAAGGACGTCGGAGAGTCCAGCTGCGAAGATCGCTTGAATGCCGAGCGCAACATTACAGGGATATTGGTGTGCTGTTCAGACATGGCATGTGAGAAGGAAACAATTACCAATTTACTGATATTGCATAAGTAGCCAACACCAATATAATTACATATCGACTTTCATCTCAAGGCAGGCGAAAGTCGAATACGAGAGAAAAATTGATGAGAGTGAAAGTGAAAGTGGCAGATGGCACGGAGTACGGTTGGATCAGAAGACGGCGGACGGAGATGTCAACATTAACAGCGTTTGCTGGGAGCTCAGTGCTCAGCGCTCAGTTGTGACACAAGAATTGTTTTTTGGAGGATGCAGGGAGGTGAATATGTAGAGGGAACGTCATTCTGGGTGTGACTCGGATACATATGCATTGATCAATGATGACTATGAGTGGGATATAGTTGGGGATATAGCTGGAGATGCGTGGGGCAGATCTAGAACTCGTCGTCGCGAACTGGGATGGATGGATGGTCAATAAATAGTAGTCTTGCGTAATCAAAGCTTAATCTTTCAGCAGCATGGGCATCCTTACATCATAACTTCCTAGCGTATCCTGACAGGGAAGAGATATTTGTGAAGTGTGGCAAGGCTATGGCCTATTTTTTCACGCAGTACGACGACGATTTCCTCGAGCGGGCAAACGACGATATGAGTATTATCCTAACTTTTGTGTGTTCGTTTCTTCATCTGTCGATGCAAATCTAACAGCCGAACCAGGCTGGTCTATTCTCAGCCGTCAACTCTACCTTCATCACTGGAATGCAGCCCAACCCGGGAAACACAACAAATGCCCTCTTGTTGTACCTGATCCAGGTCACTGTTGACCCAAATGCCCCGCATGACATCAGCAATAGTATTTCGTCGCCCACGGGCTATTCTTCTTCAACTGTCTGGATGCAGACGCTTGCTTATGCTAGCCTCGCATTTAGTGTCTTGGCCGCGTTCGGAGCTGTCATGGGAAAACAGTGGCTCAACCAAGGCAGCTCGAGGACGAGGGTCTCTTGAAGAACGCGGCATACAGAGGCAGACGAAGCTGGATGGGCTAGAGCACTTTCACTTGCAGACCGTCTTGCAGGCATTCTTTGTGCTCATCCAGACTTCGCTGTTCCTCTTCGGCTTGTCACTCAGCGCCAACATGTGGACCCAGCAAACGACGATATCCAGTGTCATTATTTGTACAACAGCCTTCGGCATCCTCTTTTGCGCAGGCACTATCTTTGTGTCACTATGGCGTCCGGACAGTCCTTTTCAGTCACCAGGATCGCAGCTAGTTGACGCCATCTGTAAAAAAAATCAGAAATCTCATATCGCAGTTCATATACCATTGTCCTGTCCAGATTCGATGTTCCCCGCTGACTCTAACCATCTGCAAAATCATCTTTTCAGAGAGATCGACTTCTGCTCAATCGATATTCAGCAAATCGGCCGCCGTACGCTGGATATTAGAGACATCAACGAACCTGGAAGTTGTTGAGGCCGCGGCTTCGATGGTACCTCTCGTGCAATGGTCGCCAAACCTTGATGCTTCAGCAGCATTCGAACGCTTACGTTTCGGGGTGTGTCATGACATGGAAGAGCTACTCGTAAAGTATGGCAAGGCCATGGCCCATATTTGCAGCCAGTCGGCGAAAATCAATCGATATCTTCTTGGTCGCTTTATTGATTGGGATCGTTGGGGAGGCAAAAGTCGTCTCATTCGCGATACGTTCATGGCTGGCCGTGACGCCTTCCATCAGCTTATAAATGCACCGGACGACAAAGCTAAATGGAAGCATCAGGCTGATGCACGCACCACTTTGAGAACAGTGGTTGTCTACGGACTGGATGATCGCCTTTCCCTTCCTGATGATGAGGAATTGCTTTGGGATGGTGATCTGCGCTGGCGTCACAGTGATGGGCATGAGCCCGGCTGTCAAGAATTTGACTGGGTCATAGACTACCTGGAACTCTCTGCACCCACAAAACCCGTGGAGGCAGCCAACAATGGGACAAAAAATGACAGCCCCACGGAGACAGCAGACGATGAAACAGATGGTGATGCTTTGCTTGCACTGGGCGCCATGCGGGGACTAGGCAGCACTGCCAAGCGACCTTCCTACATTACGTCGCTTATCCGTTGTATGGGCCCCGCCAGACCTCCCCGAGTCCGGCATGCTGCGCTGAGAGCTGTTTCTGAAGCTCGAGGAGAATTAGCTTCTATCACCAGAGACTCGATGCCACAGGGTGTCGACGTGAACCTCCTGGATACGCTTTCTCGCGCTATTTTAACTGTCGTATGTCCAAATCGTGACCAGACAGACCACGGCAGTGGGCCCGACGCCATATTTCACAAGAATAGAAACCTCTGCTACTTCCGCCTTATCTCTGCCCTGACAAAGAGCGACGAGTGGTGTCAACGTCTGATCCGCGATGGCCATCTCGAGTGGTGCATTTCTCTGGTAGATAAAGTCTCATGGATTGATAACGGATACCACCTTCTCGTGATCTTCGGGCGCATCGGTCCTTTTGCCAAGGATCATCCTTTCAGCACTGCTCAGCATACGTGGCAGGGACGCATCGACAATACATGGTTTTGGGCAAGCCGGTCTTACTCTGAGATGGATGACGAATACGTCGATGCAATACCAGCCCTCGTAATAGTGACGAGGCTGAATTTTCTAGGCTCAGATAATAGTGTTTCAAGCTGGACTTTAGGACGTCTCGCGGATAACGTGCATGGGGCTTTGGCCAAGTTGCAGGAGGGAGAAGCAACCAATAGTATAGCTCATGCTACAGTTGTCACTGCAATATCCTCTGTGCAGGGCTTGTACGACGATCTGCGTCGTGAGATCGACGACCGGAATGCCTCGGAAAGGGATAATAGAGCTTTGGGGTCGTAAAGGACATGCACCTGCAGCCAAGTACTTTTACGCGTTTGTCACTGTACGCACGTCGTGATTTATTCCTATGCTTAGATCCCTTACTCAAAGAATGACCCCAACACTTCTTACTCACCACAGTCGTATCGTCTGTAAGAAATTCAACGGATTCGGCCGCTATCGGTACTAGTGCTACACAGATGCTGCAAAGTGTCACTTGGAAGCACTGGCAAATCGACTTTAAATACACGCTGTCGAGCTGAAGGCAGACCCCCCGCCCAGGTATCAACAATACAGGGTGACTATGGGTACAGAGTCAATGATTACAACCGTCGCAGAAGAAAAGACAAAGATGAAATCTATCACGTTCGTGTGACAGAGGGAGTCATCGGAACACTCTGTATATTCTGCGTCTTAGCCCTCGTAAGTCTGTAAATCAAGGGTTTGTATCAGTAAGTATATACAGATAAACTTCTGCTTACTCGTCAAAATGAGTGCCTCTCTTTGGGTCAGCTCGTCTCTTGGTAAGTGCTTTCCTGACCTTCCTCTCAGGGCGCACAACAATAATTGGCACGGGGGAATGTGAGAGACAATACTTTGAGACACTGCCCACACCTGGCGCGCCGAAAGCTGCACCCCAGGCTTGCATCATGCTGCGCTGACCTCTCGACCCCACGACGACTGAGTCTGGGCGGTACAGAGCAATCAAACGTTCGAGAGTCGTGGTGACCTTGCCGGCAATGAGCTCGACAATGATGGACAACTAAGTACACAATGAGAAGGTATGCCGTAAACGTGACGACCACGTACCTTCCGCTCTGGATCGTACTCGATGCATTTCTCCTGAATCTGGCGCATGAGTTCACGGGCGTCTTCTCGGACGACTTCATGATCCTTCTCTATTTGATGTTTACGGACATTTTTTGTGGAAGATATTAGTGGCTCACCTAAATCCTCTGGATCAATGCCTCTGAAGACGATCAACTCGTCCCCATCCTGCACCAAGCTCTCCAGCGCCCAATCAAGGGCCTGACGTCCACTTTCATCTGGACTTGATGCACAAAGGAATACTCTCGTCGCTCTGGTCCTAGCGTATCCATCTGATTGCACGTGCAGGGTAAACGAGAACATGGACGCAGCAGGGTTCTCAAAGGTGTCGAACGATACTTTGGGCGTGTAACCTTGCCCAGCTACAGATTGGGCCGTACTCTGCTGCATGTTCACTGAGGGGGACCGCGAGAGCGATGTGGAGGAGGACGAGAGGGGCGGTAGTCGCGACGTCGAGGCTGGGAGGGTCAAAAACGAAGAAGGTAGCGGGGATAACGGCGGGGATGAAGGCATGGAGGATGACGGGAGCAGAGAGGGAGAGCTCGGCCGTGACGATTGCTTGAGCGCCGAGCGTAACATGACTGGTATATGCGTGTGTTCAGACATGGCGATGTGATAAAGAGATATTTATCAGTTTATTGATATTAATATTACATAGCCAAGACCAAAATAAGAATTACATATTATCTCCGAGCTGACTTTCATCTCAAACTCTCATGTCGACGTCACGTTCAGTTAGTCCTGGGGAGGAGGAAGAAGAGAAAGAGCACGTTGAGCAGCGCACGGAGGCGACACCCGAGTCCACTGGCGAGTCAACCTCCCCAGAGGAGTCTGCTGAACCTTCAGATACAGACCAGGACGCCGCCGCAGCGCATGCTGCCCTCCCAACAGCGGGATCATGGCAAGCCATTTGGTCCGCTCAGCACAACACCTATTATTTCTACAACTCCGAAACCAAAGAAACGACTTGGATAAACCCCATTCAGCCTGCCACCTCTGAATCAGATCCCTCTTCGCCTTCCCCGTCTCAATCTGGCCCTTCAATAGACCCTCACTACGCCACGCTACAAGCAAACGCGATGGCGCAGGGTATTGATCCCTCCCTAGCCCATCTAGATCCGTCGCTTGCTTCCTCGTCTGGTGTTCCTAGCAATTTTATGTACACCGCCAAGTTCAACGCAAGGACTGGCGCCTTTGCTAAGGCGGATAGTCGCGATCCTACTCACTTGTCCGAGTACGAGCGTGCTAAACGCATGAGCGAGTTCTACTTTGATGTTGGTGCTTGGGAGAGGGATGTCGAGGCTCGCAACAAGGCTGAAGCGGAGGCTGAGGCTGAGGGAGAAGGCAAGAAGAGAAAACGTCCGACGAAGAAAGACCTGGTAGGATCAACCATATGTATTCCGTTCATGTTGGTTGCTGACTTTGATTTACAGGAGCGGTTCAAGGAACAGAAGAGATTAAAGAAGATCGCCAAGACCGCATGGCTTCGAACATAGGCACCCTTCTGTAATATTAGAAGCACGAATTCAAAGCAGTTTGGCAGATTAGTTCCTTTAGTCGTACAGAGAGCTCATCAGCTAAATTGTATAGTACAATCATCTTGAGGTCTATGACCGCAGGTAACTGCCAATGACCACCACCTAGCTATATCTGCAATTCGGTCAGCGTCTGTAAGTACTTGTGTCCGTCGTTATGCACAATGTTTGATGATGCCCTATGTCGCAAATACGCCAATGATCTTGAATGAAGGAACGCTTTGCCCTTCCTCGCCAATCAACACGCACTCAACGTAGTGCGATCCTCTCGTAACATAAGTGATCGATCACCGCAAGACTTGACCATCCATTAATGACTGCTTACGAACGGGAAAAAGAAACAGGACACTCACGTTGGCACCGCATCACTGACATCTCCGGCATTTTCTATGACCACCGCACCTCCAAAATTATCATCCACCCAACATTCAATCTCACTTCCCTGTCCAATCTGGCTCATGGGCTCCTTCAAGAAATAAATCCCAACATCTCCAGCGCCTACTTTGATAGGTACGCGCAACTTGCTCAATGGCAACGAGCTATACCAATAATACCCGGCCGTAAGCAAAGGTGACGAGCCTGTTGAGGGATGCGCCGCCATCCAACCAGAACCGTAGAAAAGCGACGGAGGTACGGGATTTACGAGGTCATTAGCAGATGCGCAATACGGTGCGACCTCTTCGAATGGTCGCGACTCTTTGGGACGCGTATTAATCCGAATGGGAGGAATTCGTAGTTCGGGGTAGATCGGTACAGGCTGGGATCCTGCTTGGGCAAGAGCTAGGGCGTGTTTTTTCTCAACCTCTGCACCATCATCTACCGGTCTTAGTGGTTCGGGTACTGCAGGCGCCTTTCCTTGCGCCGACACCGCCGAAGAGATGCGTATCTGCGCCAGCTGGGTTGTAACCATGTGCCATCATCATTGGGATGGTATCGTACGAGTGACCGCCGGCCGTTGACCATGCTGCACATATCTGAGACTGGAAGTACGATACGAGAACGTCAGTGAGAATTTCATGGCCTGCCGGATTCGCGAGCATGGGGTCCGCATAGTAAGGCTTTATGAGGTCAGGATTTGACATGTAAGATGGATAAAGTATGGGTTTGACGCTGTCCATAGCCGTCAGAAATGCTACTCTCGGGTAAGTGATAAGCCTGTACCTAATATGCGGCACGTCATAGAACTGTGCGACGATATTGTGCCAATGGTCAGGTCCTGCAAAACCATATGTCGTGTGTATCTGTGAACTAAAGTGCCCTAGAATGATGACTGCAGGCTGGTCTGGGCGGTCCAATATAGAGCGAACCAACAACTCGAAATTTTCCATCGAGCGTTGGGAGCTGGTATAATTTAGACATCATAGCATACATTAGCTTGAGGCCCGTGCTTACCCTTCGTCATCGACATCAAATTCAAGTATCACCAGGTCGGTATACTCCGGGATGTGATGCGAGCTGCAGAACCCAAAGTATCCCGAGTTTGTACGCCTCATAGCACCATTGGTCAGCTCCGAAGCTGGGTGAGGAAAAACGCTCGACCACCACTGGAAAAAGCGCGAAGGATAACATCTGGGAGATAATGGATCATCTCCTGCAGCATGGCATGCAGAAACTACACAAAACAAACACACCATCAAGATAAGAACTTCTACAAGATAAAGAATACGCACCTGAACCACCTAACACGCTGATCGTCACAGGTTGACCCAAGAGCGCTTTATGAATCACGCGGTGCACCCTCCCCCCGCTCCCCAAATGCAAACGACTCTGAGCCAATGGCACCACACCATACTTGTTCGCAATCTCGTCCCCAGGTCCAAATACAGGACAAAAGTCGAATGGGTTCGCTGTCTCCGACGCATTGCCAACAAGGTAGTTCGCCTCATGAAGGTAATTCTTCGGTACCAGGCCTTCTGTGGTGAATGGTTGATGCGACTGGTTTGAAAACAAGATAAATCGTGATAGAGCGAGTAGTAGAATGAACCCAAGGATGATGGCCCATATTCTATTGGTGACGCCTAGCGCTCTTTGATTCCACCTTGTGTGTTTTGTTGGATCCGAACCCATACCCGTCAGTCGGTGCTGATTGGGAGGGGAGATGCGTGCCAGACCCTTCCCAAGGCCTGAACGTCGTTGCATATAACCGTTTAGACAAAAAAAAAAGGAAACAGCCGTCTACTCGAGACTTTGTCGGCTTGTCGAGGCTGTCGAACTAAGCGAAAGCAGATTGAAGCCTTAACTCCGCGTAACGGCGTCTATGCACGAGAAGGAAAAACAATGGACACTGTGGGAGTTGAACCCACGACCTCACGCAGTCCCAATTCATGCGAAGCGTGCGCGCTACCAACTGTGCCAAGTGCCCTTTACGGCAAATCAGTTAGTCGTCAATTTTGATCCTCTGCTAGGGCAAATTGTAGAACATCTGGAGCACTGATGATGGAGGAAGTACTTTTCAAATTCCAAAGCATCCGTATAGTGTCTCTAGCGTACATGCCTCCATAGGGATGCATCATGCAAACCAAATAACCCGCAACGCATTAAAAAGCAAGCTACCCAAAGTCCAAGTACCACCGCATTACAGCTCGCTCATCTCCCTTTGATGCCTCACCTCCACAGCTTCCGGATTCTGCGTGCTATCAGGCATGCGCTCCCAGATGGGGTCGACATCAGGGCCGTCGATGTCACCTGCACCGTCCCAGCCCCAACACCATACTGTACGACTCGTGAATGAGAGGCCAGAATACAGAAGTAGAACGTACCATGCGAAGGCCCGGGTGCGAAATCTATCTCCTCGCTCTCTTCCGGTGTGAATAATCGATCATGAGGACCAAACCACGATCGGTCCTGTGGGTCTGTCCGTGGATTATCCGGAAGTCCCCCAAGACGAACATAACCTCGGATGGCAGTGAGGTTCCGTCTTGAAGGATGTATGATATCAAACACTTTCTGCAAAATAAATAAATATTCAGTCAGATATGTCAAATCCCACTTCCTCCCAAAACATACCTTATCATACGCAAGCTTCACCCGCGGGACCATCAAGATGCGTCCATACCCAGCCTGCCAGTAATCATTGCAGATCAAACTGCACTCTGAAGCAGAACACTCCTCTTCTCCAAGTCGAGCCATACGGAATTTGATATACGGAGGCGAATAAAATGGAGCGGGGTCCAGGATTGCAATGCCGTTCCAACATGACTGGACCTGCACGGGAAGGTGCAGTTGGAAACGGTCGGAGGAGTAGGGGTCACGGAAGACATTTTCGAACGGGGCATTCTCCAGCGCTGTTCCGTTGACATCACGAGCGACCCAGTTGTCATAAAAGACGGGTGTTGACTATATAGTAAAATCGGAATGAGCTCAGGTTATGAAAATAATATCGGCACTTACCAGCTCTTGATGGTACATGTAATCCGAAGCGCATGTGATACCTGCATTATTCCGCCGACTCTGCCAGATAAGCTCAAGCAGATCGTCCACGCAGGGGAGAATATCGTTCATGAAGATGATGGTGTCAAAATACTCGTTATGGGAGTCGCGGAGCTCGTGCAGCGGGTTAAACGCTTGATTGCGGACCTCTGCAAGATACTCTATGCGGTGGTTGAAGGCACCTCGTGTACGAGTAGAGGTTCGGATGGTAACACGAAGCCCCACGCTGCGCGTCAGCGCGTCGAATATACGTAGCAGTGCCTTGGTCTGGTCTGTCGAGCCATTTTCGTATATGGAGACATAGACGTTATGGTACCCCAGAATCGCAGACACCCGAAAGAGAGTCGCAAACAAGTCAGGAATGATATCGAAAGAGTTGTACAAATTGATGGCGAAGAAATATTTGTGCTCTTTCGTTGGAGAGTTGTACACGTGCTGCGAGTCGGAAAATCCCCATGACGAGAACCAAGTTGATTCAGAAGGAGTTTTGTGTCCGACGAGGGAATCATATCGGTCTCGGACTTGTTGAATGTAGAGCGGCTGGGAATTTCGTGTACACTCTGTCGTATGGTGCGGAGATAGTGTAGACAGCAGGTCTAGGACACGTCGGCGCTGGTCGATGGTGGGGAGCGTGATTTGTTTGCGAGCAGACAAGCGTGAAACGAATATCGGGTTGTTCCCCCCCGTTGACAAGAGCTACAAGAACAGTCACACATTATCACAGTTGCGGACAAGGTAAAAAGGAGATACACATACACTTGATGGAAGTGCCTTCCCAATCAGCACGCCCAGTAACAACCCAACCACTAATGCCAAGGGTGTTGGCACTCGTTTCAACTGTAACCAAAATGTCTTTAGTTGCATGGTGGATGGGGGGTGATAGACAGTGAGCTGGCAGAAAATACAGGCGACTTTGGAATAGACGCGCGGCTCAACGGTTCATACGCTCGACTCCAGGATGGAAAGGGGACTTAGGCTTGGCAGTAATTTCTTGTGATCTGCAGAAGAAGGCCACCCTTGGACTTTGGTGGAGATGACGGTCTGAAGTACGCAAGTTCAACTTCAAATTGCGTCGGCCCGTCGGAGGCGAGTAAGATGATGGGCGCTTGTACACACAAATTCAAATAAGTCACCTAACGTGCCGTCCATGTATATTGAAGACGCAGTTCAACTACATAGATTGCTACATAACCCCATAAGTCCCTCCTCTTTCGAGTCGGGGAACACCATATGCAAGATAACGAATGAAATAAATCAGGTAAGCGTGTGTTAATGCTCAACCTTCGAAACGTCGCAACAGTGATTCTAAAGTCCAGTGCGCAAAGAATGCGAAAGAATAAATAACAAGATGGACTGGTAATTCCTGCAACCGTTTATAGTGATGCTGCCAGGAGGGCAAAGGCCGCTGCACCAGTGAGCACATTAATGGTATTCGATGACGCAGCGTTGGACCTGATATTCGTTGAGTTTGGTATTTTTAAAAATAAAATAAAACAAAGACTGACGAAGATGAGGGCGTGGAGGTGGCCGTGGTGGTAGCTTTGGATGATGAGGTAGCCGTGGCGGAAGTAGACAAAGTCACACCCTACATTATCGACTTCAACACACGCTCAAGAAACAAGGGTATCTGCAACATACCACTGCGGCACAGAGTTCTTGGGAAGACGCTTCGGCATTTGTGAGGTCAGAGCCGGTACACGACGCCTGAATACAGGTCGTGGTGCTGTTAATGAAAGCCGTGCTATGGCAAAGACAGCTGTCGTCGGTGGAAGAACAGTTGCCGTAGTCAGCATTAGCCAGACACGGAACAGCGCAGTCTAATCACGAAGGACATTCAGATACAATGGTGAGACAACAAAGAAACATAACGCGTACTAGGAAGGCTGTTTTGACGAGCAATCATTGCCGCATACGCGGTAGAGAAAGCGGCTGAAAGAGCGACGACGACGAAGGAGAAGCGCATTGTGGATGAACGAAAGAATGTGGGGAAAGACAACAACGGGAAGAACAGACTTTATAGAGTTTACAAGATAATGTACATGGCAACAAAGCGGACAAGGGAACAAAGGGAACATTCTACATGTCATACAAATTCTCAAACACTTGTTCTAATTTTAGCGCTTAGCTTGTGGTATTAATTGCTTCCGTGATAATTGTTCACGTTATTCGGAGTTCACCGAAAAACTATCAAGTACCTCAAGCCACTTAAACCTTATGTCATCACCATAAACCAAATACAACCAAACTCAGCGCGACATCTGCCGTTCCAGTTATACGAGCTCGTCACTCTACAAATTCAAGACATGGTAGGTTACATCCTTGCTCTATCCTCTGACCGGCTGATTTGGACTCTTTGTTAGGCCAGGACACAAACCGGCAAAGTACGTCCCATCACGACATTCTCAATTGACATATCTTTATCTTATCCCAGACTGGCGGCAAGCGCTCCGCTCTTCAAGACGTTGTAACTCGCGAATACACCATCCATCTGCACAAGCTTGTGCATGGCCGCTCCTTCAAAAAGCGTGCCCCCTGGGCCGTAAAATCCGTCGTCGATTTCGCCCGCAAGTCGATGGGCACGACTGATGTTCGATTGGACCCCAAGCTCAACCAGGCTTTGTGGGCTCGGGGTGTCAAGACCGTTCCCCACCGGATAAGAGTAAAGCTTGAGCGTAAGTGCTGCATCCTCAAGTTACTTACGGTGATCGCAATACTCACGATTCATTTTTTTGACCAATGCGCTACAGGCAAGCGCAATGATGAGGAAGGTGCAAAAGAGAAGCTTTACACTTATGCCAGCCATGTGCCCGTAACCTCGTTCAAGGTGTGTACTTGACATTGGGTATTCCGCCAGTCTGAACCAAACCTTTTTTTCTCCCAGGGGCTCCAAACCGCTGTTGTCGACGCAGAGTAAGGGCCTGCGAAGGGTGTCTTCGGAAGGTCCTGTGTAGTCTTTTTCATATATTTCATGCCGCCATGCATCATCACACCCAGCACTATGGTACCATGTCGAACCATCAAAATTCTCGCGCATCTTGATGCTGTCTCTGAGCTTGAGTTCCTCTGCTGAAGAAATCAGAACTGATGTTCCTAGCCAGGCGGTCGTTCGAGATGAGACCCCGAGTTAGTGTTCATCCTTGGAAATACGATCCGAGGTAGTGTGCAAATCTGTGTTGAGCGGATGGAACTACACCTTTGCAATTGAGGACGTGAACTGACTGCGTTAAAAAAAGCAATAACTAGGACAAGGGTAAGTATTAGACAATCGTGCAAACAGTACGAGGTCAACGTACTGGATAAGGGGGGCAAAGTTCAAACGTCCGCGATTAGGTATAGTTACACCCATCACATAACCTCCTATTTGTATCTCTGCAGTGGTGCCTCTGCTTTTTACCTGGTCAGCATGAAGCCTTCGGCGATGAAGAGCATGCACAGGGTTGATGCACTGATGCATTTTCTAGGGCTAACTCGTTCACATCTCTCCCGTCAACCTGAACCACACAGAATACCCCATTTATCAGCTGCCAGTAGAACTTTTACAGGACACATTCTTACTCATCGTAAACGACCTGCGAGACCATCTTAGTATTTTCTCATTTGAAGACACCGCCATCTCGGGAAATTCTGCCAGCCCCCCGCTCCTCTTCACTCGGGTGTGCGCCTTTGGCGAGCCGTTGCGCATTCGACGACAGGGATCTGGTCACGCATTAATGTTAAGCTTCCCGGGCAACTCCATAAACCACTCAAGCCATTCCTTCCATCTCTACTCAAGTTTTGGTTCGCCCGGTCTGGCAGTCGGCCTCTCACCATTCGCATACAATTCTTCCCCCCCTGGTGGCAGGTCAAATTGACAGTAATGCAAATCGTCGACTGCTCAGGATCCTTCTTGCTGAAACAAGGCGTTGGGAAACAGCACTAGTGTATGAAGTGTATGGCGTATTTGAACTGAGCGACATATTCAACACACCTCAGTTGAGAACCCTGGAATGTAGCCTGCCATCGGATGTCGCCCATTTAAATGCACCAAATCTCTGCCGCCTACGTATCGTCAATTAACTGTTGACTCCCATCCAGTGGCCCACATCTGCTACCTGCAAAAATATACATCATCTCCACCTCAAGAGCGCTTCCGTCCATGTCATACACTCCTTTTCGGCGATATTCCCTCGCTTGGAGACCCTCATCGTGGACTGCCTTCCAAGTAATGGGACTAGCGGTCCTTCGGCCCTGTATTCTTGCCTGGAATCGATGACTCTCCCCATATTTCTTCCCTACTACCATCGGGGCCTGCTTATCGACCTATTCTGTACACTTCATCTTCCAATGTTGCAGAAATTGACTCTGGTGGGGGCACCAAACAGACCATAAGTTGAGAGTATTTTAGAGGCGCTTGCAGTCGCTGCGTCTTGCAATATATGAGGGGTAGATTTTGAGACGTTCCCGTGGCCGAACAAAGTTGATGTTCATGCCGTTGAGCCGTTGCTCTCGGTGGTGTGGGAGGTTTCCGTCTGTGGAGAAGTGATAGTACGCGGGGAACTGACCGCTATGTAATTTGGAACTTCTGGGGGAAAGGAGATAGGGGCTGCAAGTCGATCATGCATTTTGTTGAATTTATGCTTGGAGTTTGTGTAAAGAGGTATCTTTTAATTAGTAGTTCCTAGCGTGATTGGGAGTGTTCGTAGTACTAGATGAAGACAAAACGACAAAGAACTACACGCCAATATGAATAAAAACGATTCTCTGCTCGAGCGGCACCTCCTTCTTTACTGCACAAGTAGCATGGTTAAGTGCCAAGGCCGCCTTCGTGCAGTCAATGACGCCATCCTTCAAATCCTTGAACATATCCTCATAGAAAGCTTCTACAATATGTCTTGCGACAGCATCGTCAACCACCCACAGTGTACCAATGACACTCTTGAACCCCGAAAACTGCAGACCAGCTGCGAGGTGGATGACCTCGTCGGGCATTTCCTCATCGCCGACGGCGGTGTGACACGCTGATAAGAACGCGAATTCAGCTTGTGGAGCATCATTCTCCATGATGTCAAGCAATGTGAGGGGTTGATCTCTCATGGCAAAATGTGAGTTGTAAGGCTGTTCACGGTCCTGCTTGCCATGACAAGCAAGGTGCACCCATGTGTTGCATTGCAAGGCTTCGAGTGCACCTGCTCGTGTGGCTGCATCGCCAGAAAGAGTGGTGGGATTGGCCGTCACGGGGACGAGCTTACGGACTAGCGCAAGCTCGCTTTCGACAGCCAAGAGCGCCTCGCCTTGCCCGGCACCCGGCTGACTTTGACCGATCGCCACGAAGGAAGGCATCGCGCAGTGGTTCTTCATCATCTGTCGAGATCTGATCAGAGCCGAAAGTGTCGGCGTGTAAGAGCAAATGTAGAGGTCCTCCAGGCATGGTTCCCGCCCACACCCATCTGCCTTCGTTCGAAAGGGGTGAGCTGCATGGAGAGGAATGGATGTGAAAGCTGCTGTTGGACATAGCCAGATTCGCGAGCGACGCGGCAATTTCAGATCACGCTGGAGTACTTTGACAATGGGTAGCATTACTTCGTCCCATATCTTCCGTAACAGAGCTATCAGCGCCGTCCTCGGCTCCTTTGGGCCCATACAAGACGCGTGCCGTATTGCCTTTGCGAAGTTGCTTTTGAGCATCTTCAGATCTTCGAGAGCGACAGACGGGAAAGGAACACGATGGGGCTGCCCTGACGTCGGGACAACGAGGGCCTCGCACGAGTATTTGCTGGCGATGAGGATGATGACGGGGCCATAGCTCGCTGCCGCTTGCAAGTCTTTGTACGACGGTGGGAGCAGGAATTGCGAGAACCCTTGAACATTACGGATTTCGGCTACCGCAGCTTCCCATTGCGTCGTAAATCTCCTATACCGTATTGCTGCTTGATCAGCAGCAGCTCTGTCTGTGCTCACGGCAGAACCCTGAGCGTCAGAAAGGCGCTTGCTGAGCTCCGAGAATCTGTGGGCTAGCTTGGGATTCACCGACTCAAGGTCTTCAAGCGGCGTCCTGAGTCGAGCGGTCAGCGACCACTGCTGGCCACGACCCCGCTCCTCGAGTTCAACCGCCTGCCGTAGGTTATCACGGCGTATGGCACATGATGTTGCATCTACAGGCAGGGTCCTAGCCTCAAGAAAAGCAGTAGCAGCCTCGCGCCGTGAAATGACGGATGATCTCGTCATCACATGGTTGTCAAAAAGATCTAAGCACTCGTGATATGCTTCAAGGGCAGATTCGTGTTGATGCTTCTCAGCTTCATGAACCCAGAGCAAGGCTGTCTTGATACGACCCGGGAAGCCTTGAGTGGGGTGTCGTGATGCCAATCTAAAGTGTTCTACTGCCAGTGACAAATCACCAGGATCATGATGCACTCCGTAACGAGACAGATAAGCCTCCTGCAGTCGGGCATAGCAGGTGCATCTATCGGGGTGCAACGGAGGCAAAGCCGCCAATGACTCTCTGCAAAGACCAATGGCCTCTTCAACATCTTCGTCCTTCTGAGTGTGCGTGAACCAAGAGCAAAGTGCCGAGCTCAAATTACGAAGATATGCATGGCGATCTGGATGGTCATGCTGGGTTAACCGAAGAGATTCCCGGTACAGATCAACAGCCTCGTTAAGATCCTCGCTGACATTGAATTTGTCGTATCTGGTTTTGAGCGCGCGGGCGAGGTTGTTAAGCGTGATATCACGACTTGCATTCCCAGGTGGGCGCAATGTCAGTGCCTCGCGATAGAGGCTGATAGCTCTGTTGATGTCATTAACGTCACCAGATTGGTTGAAACGGTCGACGAAGGCACCCCCTAGGTTGTCCAATGATGTGTCACGAGAATCATGTCCAACAGGGCACAAGCGCAGTACTTCTTCATACAAAGAGATCACCTCGTCGAGATCATGAGAATTGCCTTGGTGACTGAAGCGGTGTGCGATAGAAAAGGCCAAGTTGTGCAAGTAGGTATCACGATCATGACATCCTTCTGGGCACAGAGACGCAATATCACGAAGAAGTTGTATGCTCTCATCTAGATCATCAATGCTGCCGAGCTGTGTAAAGCGTTCTCTGAGACCCCATGAAAGTTCGTCGAGGGCTTTAAGATGGTGTTGATGGCCCACAGGACAAAGCTCGAGCACGATTCGTCGAAGTTGGATACCTTCATCGGATGGATCTATTGGAAGGTTGTTGCATTCGTGGATCACATAATTGACAGCAGTGTCCACGCTGATGCTGCGAAGGTAGGTAGCCTCTGGACAGAGGGCTAGTAGCTCGCAGCACAGTTGCGCAAATTCCTGGATGTTGACGGCAGTACACTCCTTGTTGTGGCGGTGCCAGATCAATACTACAGAAATGAGGTTGCAAAGAGATAATGAATGATCGGGGTGGCCCTGCGGACGCAATGCAAGGGCGTCGCGGAATAAAGAGGTGGTGAAATCAATGTCTTGAAGGTCCTTTAGACTATAACCTCCAAGGCGAGCGCATGCGAGGTTGGCAAGAGCGGCAGCACGGTCAGGATGGCCGACCGGACACTGGTCTAGAACTAGCTGAAAATGCCCCAAAGCATCGTTCAGGTGAGAGATACTCTTGCTCGCCACGTAGTCAGCACACCGTGCGTGGCCCGCATCTGTGTGCCGAGCGATGTTGCATTCAATGATGGACTACAGTTTGCCCTCTGTCAGCAGAACCCGAAAGCACGAGGCTAGCGTCACTTACCTCAAGGAGTGCACCGTCGTCTTGTCCACAAGGGCCCACAAAAGCGACCTTGAGCGTAAGAGAAGGGCAAGTATGATCAACGGTTGGGAAGGAGATATCTACGTCAGGTTAGTAGATGTGCATGATTGGGAAGCAGATCACTCACCGAAAGGTTGATCTCCATGATCAAGTAGTTCATTCCATGAGGTTTCAAGTTTCCCTACGACTTCTCCAAGGCCTAGCATTCGACCAAGTTCAAAAGATGCTCGAATCTCCAATGATAATCTAGGCGACGCATCTATTGATCTGCAAGCTGGTAATGAATACTGGGATCGAGTCACTGCGGAAGGCTTTACAAGGTCATGACATCGCCCCAAGCTACAGAGCTGTCGGATGATAACACTCGGACAGCTGATGTCCAGCGTCTCCTCGAGTCGACATTGATGGATATGTAAATGCCTGCGGGTATACGCCCGGAAGGAACTTTAATATTATTTCCGCTAATGACTGTGGATAGCGTGCGGAGATCAAAACGAATCCCGACATCGTATGATGTGGCCTACCTTCAAGTCTGATATATTGGCCTTCCAAACTACCAGGCATGGTGGCGCGCGGTTATGCAAATGACAAGGAGAATTGAGGATGGGCTGAGTGGTGGGCGGAATGAGTGGTAGGATAAGACGGGGGATAGGGATATGGAGACTGTAGATAAAATTCAGATGTGAGAGAGAGGAGAAATGTGTGGGGGTTCAGGGCATACTGCACGTGTATTTCCATGTTGTCGATGGTCTTGCAAGGCTGGTCAGCACGATAGGCGCTGGTCGTAATCCACCGGCGCTGAGACCAAATTATCCCCACAAACACTAATCAAGTGGGCAATGCAGTAGTCGCTCATCAGCAAAAGTGGCCTACGATGGGCCAGGCTGCTAGTACCGAGTCTGCTCGAGCGGTCATGCGATTCTCAGAGCGCCCCACTGTCATCGAGATTGTTCTTGGCTTTATCACTCATAGTCATTTAGCACATTATAACTTCAAGGCAAAATGTAGAACCCAGTGTATTTAATAACAACACAAACCACTGAGAACGACATCAAATGCACAGAAGAGCCAATCCAAGTCCGAATAGCTGCAGCTGGGAGGATGTCATGGAGAGGTTGCTAGAGTATGACAGGAGGCTGACGAAGCGCAACAGTACAATGAATGTCGAAGAAACATATGGAGCAACATCTAGTGTTGGCTTGTTCGGAGGATGGCGGAAGTTTTGAAGCTCGCTCAATTGTTCGAGGGCGGGAATCGGACGGCCCGACAATCTAGTTGATACTTTCCGGTGTTTGCCGAGGCTAAGCCTGACAATCAAAGCTTCAATGTTCTTCAACAGACTCACCAGCTTATTGCATAGCCTACCCGGGTGCTTGGCTTGTAGCTTGCCCGCACCTGTAATGTTACATTACCCCAGTCTCTAATATGACTTGCAGTTACCCTGGTCCTTCACGCCATGCTACGCGTACTCCGTTCTTGTCACGGTATGCAAGCTCCCGCCAAGTGGACACTACCAATGTTTCCTTCTTCCATCGACATTCCAGATTCTAGACAGGTGTAGTTTGTTCTTACCCGTAGTTATTTTGGACCTGCTGGCAGTGGGTACCTGGTTTTGCAGCATGTGTTGCCCAAATATGCGAGTACCAGTTTTTGATTTTTCACAAGGTTGCTGACATGCTTTAACTGTGGCATGGCCTCTGTCACCATGCAGTATAATGATTGCTAGAGACAGTCGTAGTACCGTACGTCGCCCTTCCGTGGTATACACACTTGTACACCATTCGATTCCTCTCGCTCTACCCGCTTTTTGCATATGCGTATTTTTCAAGTACGACGACTGATTGAAAAGTGAGTAGTGGACTTTCCTGGCCTATGTATCTTTGGGCGCAGGTCACGCTCTCAAGTAATGACCTCCCAAAATGCAGCACCACCGCCCGCTCGAGAGATCTAAATTTACCCTCTTCTTTGTAAGAATCATGCCAATTGCATAGACGTCGTCAATTTATCCAAAGTAACGCATGAACGCAGCAACCTCATCCGCTAGGTAGTCGAAGAACTGTACGCGACATGACAAGGCAGACATGCTCGTATGTAGTTCGTTCAACTTTCTAGGGGCCCAACATTATGCTACCCCGGGCTTAGACTACATATCCTGATTCCTGGAGATCCAGCTGCAAGCATCCTTAGTTTCCCGAGTGCATCTGGCAGATCCAACTGGCAGATCACCTGAGACTAGCTTGTTTGAAATCGAGTGATACCTACTTACCATTCGTAGTTTGCAGCTCGTTCGGCGTTGCCAAATGATGATCAGCAGGTAGATTGTTGACAGCTGGCTTCGCCAAGGGTGCCCCGAATTCAGAGACGCCCAAGGTCAGCATGCGAAGAGGTAATGTTTCACGGCTATGTAGAATTAATACTAGTAAGTAGGGGTGCCTCGGTACTTACTTTTATATAAGTCTCTCGAGTTTCTCAAGTTTCTCGTTGGAATATTTGCGGTCCCCATCCATCCTGGTAAATCCCTCGAGCGCTCATACCAGTAAGCTCCCCCCTTGTTCATGTTGGTAAGCACCTCGTTTATAATGATAAACCCCTATTTCATCCTGGTAATCCCCTTTTCAATGTCCGTAACCTCCATTGCGATGCGAGCAAGCATGATGGTCAGAGGATGGGCCAAGTTTGGTCGTGCCAAAGACAACGTAACGGGAACAACTTGTCGAGAGAGAACTCCGGGGTCATTGCCCGCGATATCATAGTCTACTGGTGCTATGGTTATGATGAGTGAGGATAAGCAGACTAGACTTGAACAAAAAGAAAGGGGTACAATTTGACTCGTGCACTACACAGATTTTGAATCGCTCCCATCCACAAGGACCGAGATACCCGGTGTCAACAAGTTGCCCTCGCTACAATCCTTGCAGCCGCTCGCAACATTTATCGATGTCTCCCTCCTTGCCATCTCCTACAACTCAACTTGCTTGAATTTATGAGTCTTTCCACTGCGGATAGCGCGTGAAGATCATGTAATAGATCTCAAGGTCATATTGTGTGGCCCACTTTCAAGCTACCAGGCATGATAAGCGCAATTACGCAAATAACGAGGATATATGATGGGCGGAATGGTGGGCGGAATGAGTTGTAGGACAATTATGGGGGGTGTGGATATACATATGGCGACTGTGGATAAAGTTCAGGTGAGAGGGAGAGGAGAAATGGGTGGGGGTTCAGGGCATACTGCACGTGTATTTCCATGCTGTCTCTATGGCTGGTCAGCATGATAAACGCTGGTCGTAAATCTACGAGAGGCTCCGCTAATCAAGTGAGCAATATCGTGATCAGTCATCAGCAAAAGTGGCCTACGATGGGCCAGGTTGCTGATACCGAGTCCGTCACGCGAGTCTCAGAGCGCCCCATTAATGAGGTTACCATCTTTAGAAAAGTGATAGGACGCAGGGAACTGGTTACTACGCATATTGGAGCTCGCGGGGGAAAGGGTGGAGCTACAGGTTCGTCGTGTGTTTTGTTACTTGAAGTTACGCATCGAGTCTGTAGAGAGGTTTATTGATCATAGTAGTCAACACCCTCCCCCGAACAAAGCATTAACATTATTCCTCTAAATTCGCTAGTGCATCAATAGTCCCAGCGATCAAGTATATGCTCCTAACCTCAAGCACGCCTGCGCATGTTCTCCGAAATGTGGTCAAAGGCTGGGGTGACCATGAACGTTATGCACAGGGAGGGCACTGGTACGCTTCCTTGATGCACAATTTCGAATTGGGCCGCGAGGACGAATGATAGGATACCTACACGAGTCGTTAGTGTTACCATTGCCCGAATCCGAGATGACCGCGTACCCGGAATGCCTTTGGCCAACCGTCCAGTATTTGCTACTAAGGCAATAATACGCAGCAAAGAGCCACCAAGAAGCGAGGTTCTCGGTGAAGTTGCACAAAAAAGACGGCCAATGATAGAATGATCATTGTATGATTGTTGCGGGTAAACGAAAATGTCAACGTTAGTTGTTAAAATTGTCAATGCCATCAAAGGTGTCACCACGAGATCGTCAAGGCTCTTCGAAGGCTCGAAGTTTAAGCCGTCGACCAAGAAATGCAGCTTGGCCCCCCTTTCGAGCTCCTCGGGGCGAATGAGGGTGACAAGCTCAGGAGGTGCGTGCGTCATGTCAAGAAATGACCATCGAAGGAAGCATCGATGTCAACTCGACTGGTGGTAGCAATGACCTGAACACGAGGGCGAAGTGCCGCAGAGGGATAAAATGGTACCTTGAATTATTCCCCCTTTCCAGCAGAAGTAGATCTGCTCTGCTCGGGAGGCAATTGCGACATGACAGTGCTGATGTCATTGTCTGAGGCCAGTGCCAGTTTGTGGTCAGTGACCACACATCCTGATGTTGATACGTCAGTACTTCAGAAGCATCCAGCTCTGGGAACTAAATGTCAAGCCCGAGTGGGGACCCAAAACTTTGACAAGCAAATTAGTACGGGCCAAGGCTGTTGTTAATTAGTCCTGGCACCATTGCCCCATAGTACTACAGTTGCTCTGAAGTATCAAGGCGAGAGTTGGTGATGAAAAAACTGAAGATGTCGTTGCCTCTTATTGCTGATACAGCTGCATCGTCGGTCTTCTCATATCACTTGTTATTAGCGAGGGACGTATCGCCCATGGCGTTTGACGTTGTGGCGAAGGTGTGGCGCGTTTCGAACCAAACAGATAGCTGAGATTGAAAACCAAGCGATGACGATTCTGTGCACTTCCCTGATCAACTGAAAGCCTTCGACGCGATGAAGTTCAAGAAACTTGTCATGAAAGTGCTTATGCACAAGTCTAAGGCCGACCGCGTATCGTCAGTGTCGTCTCCCATTCCTTCACACAGTGATGTATCTTCCGTCAACCCGATCCCCCCAGAACCGTTACCCCCCATCCATCAGCTGCCGATGGAACTTCTACAGGTCATATTCTTGCTTATCGTCAACGACGACACATATTCTCCTAATATTTTCTCAACTGGAAGAAATTCCACGTGGGCAAATTTTTCCAGCCCGCCTCTACTCTTCACTTGCGTGTGCCGTCGTTGGCGAGACGTCGCACATTTAACGCCAGGGATCTGGTCGCGTATCAGTGTTATCCTTCCCAGGCTACTCGTTGAACCCTCTAGTCCACTCCTTCCAAATCTCCTCCAATCTTGGCTTGACCGGTCTGCCAGCCATCCTCTCACTATTCACGTGCAAGGCCCTTCCTCCCAAAGTGATATTGACTATTACGTTGATCCCTCGAGTGCCAATTCTCGACTCCTTGAGATCCTTATGGCTGAGATGGGACGTTGGGAAATATTGTTTGGCGCGTCAGACCTCTTCGATCGGAGAGACACCTTTGATACACCCCAGTTGAAAATGCTGGAGTGTACCTCGCCATATGTCCCCAAAGTCAATGCACCAAATCTCCATCGCCTTCGTATCGTCGATCAATTGTTGGCTGCCGTCCAGTTCACATCTAATCCTACCTGTACAAACATACGCCATCTCTACCTCCGCAATGCCTCCGCCGGTGCCATACGCTCCTTCTCAGCCATTTTCCCTCGTTTGGAGACCCTCGTAGTCGATGAACTTGCGCCACAGTTTGGCGATATCAGTCGTTCGGACACGTTTCCATGCCTTGAAACAATGACGCTCCCCATGTATCATCATTATCATGGGGACGCGTTTATCGATATATTCATTGGACTTCGTGTTCCCATGTTGCAGAAATTGAACGTGGAGGGGAAACCGGCGACAAAAGAAGTTGAGAGTGTTATGATGGCGCTTGCAGGAGCAGCGTCTCGCACTATACGAGCGGTTGACTTTGTGCCGACTATGCGGTATGACAAGGTTGAAGAGATTACCGTTCAGCCGTTGCTCTTGGTAGTGCGGGAGGTTGCCGTCCGTGGGGAAGTGATAGTACGCAGGGAGGTAATTGCGCCCTTCAGGGGAATCGGACTAATATGAGTTCGTCATGTATTTTGTTACGCGTTGATCTGTGTAGAGAAGTATCTACTGGCCTGTAGCAGCCGCAAAGATTGTACATACATAGTTTGATTTTGATCCAATCGAAGCGCTATATTTATTACAATTATATTGCTCGCCCGATTCAACTTCACGTATCACCGAATGTTGAGATTACCAGGTGATCATCATGTACATATCCACCGGTCAATCAATTTCCTAGCGCATCGACAGCAAAACAAAGACAGATAAAGTAACTCCTAACCAAAGTCCATCAAGCACAACCAAAGCATGACTGTGCATGCTCTCCAAGACGTGGTCAAAATGAGGACTTGTTTAGTGCCTTGCAATCCGCAATTGCAGGCGTTGGATCGCATGTCAGCTACGGGGGTGACCATGAACGCCCTGTTGTAGTCGCAGTACTAAGTACTGAGGGACGCAGAAAGGTCATCGGCGGCGCCTCGACGAGATCGTTGAAAGAAATTATTCTAGATAATACATCTGAGTGATACTACGTCAGCTAAGTCTGCTTGCGTAGAATAGGACCGCAAGCAGCTACCAAGACGATAATGGGAAGCAAAAGAGCCACCAAGAAGCGAGAGAAAGGACTGTCGATGATAGAATGACAACTTCTGCGAGTGGACAAAAGCCTCAGTGGCTGCGAAAGGTTCACGAAAACATGCAACCAAATAAAAATTATACTATGAGGAAATTAAAGGTGTCACCACAAGACGGCAAGAGTGCCTCAAACATACATCGACCAATAAATGCAGCTTCACTTCCCTTTGGAGCTCCTTGGACTTCGTTGCAACTGCTCGCGAATCAGGGCAACGGGTGGGAGCACCAGTGACCTGAACATTCAATATGGAAGAGGGATACATGTACTTGCCTTGGATAATACTAGAACCTCTTTCCAGCAGAGCACATCTACATACTTCATCTGCAAGTAAATGGTCCTGCTGGGGAGGTATAAAGCAAATAAATTTACGAGAATATCTGCGATGTTTGATAGCTTGCTACAGCCGCACAGGCTACCGCCACAACGCGAGCGCTATGAAACATCACCGGCGCACCGGTCATCTCATACCAAGTGCGAGGATTTGTCCTCAAAATGAGGAGGGTATTGGCATTGGCATTTGCCCAATGCCCATGACATCATAGTCGTGACTATTGCTGGCATGCGAGTCTGCACAAAAGGATTTGGGCAAAAAGTAAAATCTTGAGCTGAGCTTGAAAATTCAAAACAGTACTTTGAAAATTGCAGAGCCGTAATAGACTGGCAAGAATGCAGCAAACTCTCCTCGCCAGATGCGATAGTCCGCGGGACAGTCGAAGAACTGTACACAACGCTGTTATATAAATAAGTCTAGTCATGGGTATGCTCCAGGCGCCTGTGTACATGCACAAAACTTCATATTATAATAGCCTGGCAGAAGCATCACATTCGCTAGTATGTCCAAGGTACCTGAGCCCTGCACCCCGTCATCGGATAACTAGTATGTCGGTCATCATATTTTACCATGCTGATTCGTCATTTTTATGAAAAGTCTCGGTAGTGCCAACTGGTTACTGGGGCGGTGGTCATTGGGCTTTAAATTTGGCATGGTAAGGTTCGTTCATCTGTCGTCAACGTTTTTGATTTTTGACAGTTTCATCCAGAACGTGAACTTGGGCATGTCCGATACGATGAACTCTATGCCGAACTTTGTAACTGTGACCCTTAGATGCGCATTAAACGCCTCAGCATCGGACGTAGATCTTGCTGCAGGAGCGTGCCATCTTTCAGCAGTGACGTCAACAACTTAGTCTCGGTGAGCAACCCGACGAGCGGAGCCCAAGTCTGATCCACGGCAGGCTTGAGAGACACAACCGTGCTTCAGGTCAATGCCATGACCAGCAGCCTTGCCAGTAGCCGCAGGATGTCTCTTAGGTTAATGACCGCCCATCATCCACTTCTATTCATTCCGTGGCACCACTCGCACCGTCACCTTAGTTGTCACCTGATGCCCTATTATGTTCTCGAGTCAGTACTTCCAGCAGTGGCATGGGTGCTTCCAACGTCAATCCACGCATGACCGTGCCGACATCAGCCCTAATAACGTCAGCAGCAATCAACCCGACACATGAACCAAGCCCCGAATATTTATCCAGCTTCTGCCCAGTGATGAACCACATCAGAACTAACAGAGCGTCAAATCCGTCACGGTGCCATCGCCACCAAATATCAATCCCGAAAGGAATCAGGAATCAGAATCTGCGTCTGGATAACCTGAAAAGAGCGGATTCTGCGCATGGATGGACTGTGAGGATGGCGGAGATGATGCATCTTGCTGGTTCTCCCCTAGAGGTATGCCCCACAGCATTGGCGACCAGGTCGACCTTTAAGTGACGGGCATGTCAAGCGGTACTATGCGAATACAAGGTGCCGCCGTGGGTGACATGAATACCAACATCAGTCACTGGTCGGTTGTGGAACTAACTTGCTAAACATTGCGGGAGAACCCTCCCGTGGTTCCTCAACACATGCATCGGCTATAGAGAGACTATCGTTATGGACGTGAGCAAGTAAGCGGTGCACTTCCACTCTTCGCATATGGTGACTGACTTAGCAACGCTCTTTTTATTCCTTAGTGTGTTTCACGTCGCCTCTGTTGTGCCCCCCGGTATCTGCGACTCCGTTTACAGGTCACAGCGTTGAGAACCCCCGGCGGCCAGGTTTTGGTTCTACTGATGTCTTCGAAGTCCCATGTACTTATTCATATATTTTTATCCGATGACTTATATCATCCTCAGCATTGCTATTTGCAACACGTTCCAGGCAATCCTTGGCAAGCAGTAAATCAAGGTGGATGACATCTGTAGACTATTCCATCACCCGGGAGGCATAGCGACGCAGCACAGCCGAGTTTCAAGGAGTGTATCACGTTTCAACCACTGAAACCTGCCGCGGAAGGAGGCACAATTTGATGCGTCGCTTACAGTCTTCTCCTGTTTAAAAGGTGTGCACCTCAGCTGCTAACTCCTCAGTCCATCTCTTTTCCTTCTTTTTCGCGGCTCACCCAGGTGCAGGCAGTACGTTCGTTCCGTCTCATCCGCTTGCTTTCCACTAACCTATCATTTTACAGCCTGTTTTTGAAGATCTTCGTACACTTTCATTTAAATTTTAGCATTTCGTTTTCGCATATCTCGTTCCACATTTTATTTTCGACGTTTTACGACCACTCATTGACCATCATGCGCTTTGCTGCCCTTGTCGCTCTCTCTGTCATCGCGTCGACCGTCCCTGGTCTTGCTGCCCCTGCTCCATACTCGTATGTCTCTCAAAGACAGCCACTGAGCAGACCCACTGAATGCATTTCCAGTCCCCGCTGGATCACTTCCAAACGTGATACCGCGTCAACGGATGTCAATACGACATCAGTATACAATGGCACCACCGCTTTCCGCATAGGGACGGCCATCCTGCAACTTCTCAAGTGCGTCTACCTCATGCTACAGAAGGTTTTGGATCAATATTAACGTCTTGACAGTGACCCCGTTCCTGAAATCGAGCAGTTACTGAGTAGTTTAGCTGTCAATGGAACAGGGGCTAGTACTACCCTTCCTTCCAAACGTGACACCACCTCCGATATTGTTGATGCCATTGGAGAATTGGTCAACGAACTGCCTGCTACAAGGAAGCGCGACGTCACTGCAGATCTCACTGCCGCACTCCAAACTCTCTTAGAAGAAGGTGGCTCTGTGTCGAGCGATGTCAAGAGGGATTTAGCCTCCTCTGACTCCTCTGGTGTCGAAGAGAGAGGGCTGCCTTCCAGCCTCACGAGCGGGCTCAAGAACGCCGCGAACGTGGCTTCCATCGGCGGCGGTCTCGCAAACATCTGGAATGCGATTGACGGCAGCCTTATTAACAGCAACACCAAGCGTCAAGCGGTCACGACCGCAGCTGACGGCAGCCTTGACAACGACCAATTCCCCACACCCTCGATCCCTACAGCCCTTCTCGAAAACCGCAGTCTCACTTCTTTGTTGAAGAGCCTCGGGAATGTTGCTAGCATAGGATTCAGTGCTAGTTCAATCGCGAGCGCCCTTGATGGCAGCGGCAACACCAAGCGTGACTTTGTCCCAACTTCTGATGAAGTTGATATCGCTGGAGCTTTGGGTGGAGCAACACCTCAGTTCGAAGATCGTAGCTTCAAGATCTCTCCCAGCGCCGAAAGCGCCTTATCGAAGCTGGCTAATGTCGCTAGTGTGGGGGGTATTGTTGCATCGCTGTTTGGTGGAAGCAGCAATAGCACGAGGCGCGACCTTGGCATGGACTCAGGACTCATCCATGACCAGAAGCGTGACGTCTCCTCCGATGTCGAAAACATCCTCCAGCAGATCATAGCTGCTTATGAAGGTGCCATAAACGGATCAAGCAGCACCTCTACCTCTACCAAGCGCTTTACGAATGACAGCGGTCTCCTCAACCCGGAGCAGCTCGAGGAGCTTAGCTAATTTGTATCACACGTAGTATTTAGTTTTGATACTTTGTAGCTAGCATACGACTGACAGATTGTGCACGTTAGTATAGTCAATATACCCAGTGAATCTGGATTCTACTTCAAGGAGCTTCATCTCTGGTTCAAGATCTTTTCCAGTCAACACGTAGGTCAGCGCTAGCTCCGAGTCAATCCATATAACCTCCTATTCGGTTCTGACTCTTCTGAATCTCTACTACTTCTACTTTTCTAAAGTCTTTGGTGATGAATGACATGAAAATTCCCGTGTACAGGATATTGTCCTTCACTTATTCAGACGTCTTTCCCGTCAACCTGGACCACTACCCAGAAACCCCCATTGCATCGGCTGCCAGTGGAACTTCTACAAACCGTATTCTTACTGATTGTCAACGAGGTGCCAGACTGTCCTAGTATTTTCTCCTTTGGAAAAACCACCGTCTCCAGAAATTTTGCCAGTGCGCCCCTACTCTTCACTCGGGTGTGCCGTCTTTGGCGAGTCATCGCACATTCTCAGCTACAGGGATGATGGATCTGGTCACGCATCAAGGTTGTGCTTCCCGAGCACGCTGAACCAAACGAGCCATTCCTTCCATCTCTGCTCCAGTTTTGGCTCGCTCGCTCTGGCAGTTATCCACTCACTCTTTGTACCCAACACATTTTGACCCAAATCCATGGTAGACCGATGTTGGGTTTAGGTTTAGATGCAATTTCCAACTGTTTGACATCCTTTTGCTGAGGTGAGGCGCTGGGAAACAGTATTTGGCGTGTTAGGCCTATTCGAATGGAGGGATAAATTCAACACACCCCAGTTACGTACCAGCTGTTGCCAAGTTCAATGCACCAAATCTCTGTCGCCTACGTACCGACAATCAATGGTCGAGTGCCATCATCATGATACCTAGATCCAGTGCTACCTGCAAAAATATCTGACATCTCTACCTCCAGTGCGCTTGGGTCTGTGTTATTCACTCCTCTTCATCGCACATTACGGCGCTGGAGGTTGCTCGGCCACGTTCTCTTGCCTTGAATCGATGACTCTCCCCTTCCGCCATCGTCGTCGTCATTCGGGCTCGTTGATCGCAATATTCTCTGGACTTCGTCTTCTCATGTTGCAGAAATTGATGTGATGGTGATACCAGACAGACGAGAAGTCGAGGACATGATGGCGGCGTTTGCCGTTGCTGCGTCTTGCAATATACAAGTGATCGACTTTCAGGTGGGCCCACAGGACGGCCGAATAAAGTTAGTGTGCATATCGTTAAGCCACAAAGTTATCACGCAAGCGTGCGTACGTTGCGGAAGCATCAAGCTTCGGCGACCATTGCACGAGAGGTACCATCGCAGCCGCAGCCTCGACAACCTCCGGGTTTGTTGATGTCTCTAGCATCCAACGTACGGCGGATGATTTACTGAATATGTTACTGGAAGGAATGTTTTGAGGATGGCTGTAGCTATGCCTGAACCTGGTGTCTGGAAAGGACTGTCCGGACGCCACACTGATACGAGGATTGTGCATGCATAGAAGAGGATGCCGAAGGCTGTTGTGCAAATGATGACGCTGGATATTGTCTTTTGCTGTGTCCACATGTTGGCGCTGAGAGACAAGCCGAAGAGGAGCAGCGAAATCTGGAGGAGCACAAGAAATGCCTGCAAGACATTCTGCAGGTGGAAATACTCTAGGCCATCCAGTTTCATTTGCCTGTATATGCTGCGTTCTTCTAGGGACCCTCGCCCCCGAGCTGACTTGTAGGAGTTCAGCCATTGTTTTCCTAAGACAGCCCCGAACGCAGCCAAGACACTAAAGGCAAGGCTCGCATAGGCAAGTGTTTGCATCCAGACAGTCGAAGAAGAAAAGGAAAAGCCCATGGACGAGGAAAGATTGCTGGTGTCATTTACGGCATTTGGGCCGCTAACAGTGATCTGGATTAGCTGCACCAGGAGGGCATTTGTAGTGTCTCCCGGGTTAGGCTGCATTCTGACGATGAAGGTGGAGTTGACCGCTGAGAATAAACCAGCCTGATTCGCCTGTTAGGTTTGCATGGACAGACATAGATACGAACGCACGAAAGTAAGGATAATGCCCATATCACCATTCGCTCGCTCGAGGAAGTCGTCGTCGTACTCATTCGAAACTTTCTTATACGTCGCCCAGAACTTTGAATCAACTCCCTTGCCGCATTCCTCTGCAATTGTAGACCCTCGAAGGACATCGAGGATCTGCTCGAGTGTGTGTGACCTGCCACACAATATAGTCAGGCGTCGATTGTACCATGCTGATTGGTTGATATTCACATATTCTTAGCAAGGCATCCCTCGATCGACACCGCAGGTTCCTCATTCACGGCATGCGGCTTGATCACATCCCTGGAAATCCATGTGTTACTTTCAACTCAGTCCAGTTTGCTAACTTACTCGTTGGTCGGGAGATCGACAGGTGCGGGACAGCATCTTGAAGACGTGCTTTGCATGTTTTTTGCTGCGATGGACATAGCGGTGAAAGAAGGGAGGGAGATATGGTGAAAGTACTTACTCTGAGATGAAGTTTAGAAATTCTCCCATGTGAACGTTTAGGCGACGCCGCGTCTGTGAAAAAATAGGCGATGGAAAGCGCCGGTGTATGTTACTTACGAAAGGAAACCGTAAGGTGAAGTCGACATTGACATTTCAATTGAATTGAATTCTTGTTGAGCAGCACTCTTATCTGTTGCCACAGCCTTGTGGATGATCGTCTCTGTTGGTCCCTGGGCAACGAGATCCCCCAGAATAGAACAAACCCCTGGGGCAGGAGTTTGAAACTTGCTCATGGAGAGATGAGGTTTACCACGGCATTCTGCAAGTATTCCGCACAAAAAAATCTAAGAAGGTCCTAATGGCGCCATCGTAATGAGGAGCACAGTCTTGTTGAAGATGTACGGATGATGCCTCGCTGTCTGAAGGATTGTTAATAGTCGCGAATTTAATTTGGTTGGAACCAGACCCGCGTCGTCAACATTTGAGGGAGTGATGTGTGTACAGAGTCGTGGATCGAGAGTAAAATATATTATGACGCAGTCTCGTGCACCAGCCGCCTTGTCGAGGTTGTGAGCCTGACAAGTGCTAACTTCGCCAAGGAGGCTGGCTCACGCTAATCGTGTTGTGTATTCCATTCCACCCAGGAGAGCACACTCGGTTGATATTTGAAAAACTGTCGATTCGTACGATGACAAGATATGCTTCGCTGCTCTCGTGGCAGAGTGCAGAAGGAAACTGAGTGCAGCGGTTTGAGAAATCTGCCACTGATGATATTAAATGCATATGGATGGAACGGCAGTGAAGTGTGCACTGACTGCTGGAATGTCCTCACCTTCAAGCTCAAGTGCTGCGATATCCATGACACGAGAGTGCTAGCGAGAAATGAGAAACGCCGTAGTACGTGAGCAAAACTCGGAACCAGCCGTTCGGCCGACGGCCGTGCAAAGGATTACATAAGATCCTTACCACCTTCAACACGTCGTCAACAATATTGAGTCCTTCGTCGACAACAGTACTTCTCGTCCGTTGACAGTCTATGACATATGTGGTAGAAGCCCGCACCCGTTGTCCTCGTCTATGCAAGTTAGCCATGTAAAACCATATCTTGCCATGCTGATCTGTTATTTCTATGACAGTCTCACTGATGGGAGCGGCGATATGCTTTGGCATGGTAAGCTTCATCCGTCCATCGTCAACGTTGTTGATTTTTGGCAGTGCAAGGAGCTGACGGTCGTGATGGTTGGTGAATCCGTGATTGCTTCAATTCGTACATACACAACGAACATTACTCAATCGTGTTCTGCAGGGACTTATCCCAGAACCAAAACTTGCACCAGTCAGTCCTGAAAGGCATCCTGTATTCCATCTCACTCGGGATAGAAATGCCTACGGTGAGTTGAGAGCACCGGTGAACTGCTCAAGATTGTGAGTTCTCATGCTATCACAAATCTCACTTTCTACAGAATGCAATTCAAGAGCGGCGGCGCGATTTCAGATCACGCTGCAGTACCTTGATAACGTGTAACGTAATCTCATCCCATACCTCCCGCAACAGTACTATCAGCTCAGTCCTTGTCTCCGTCAGGCCCATACCAGCCATGTTCAGTATCGCCTTTGCAAAGTCGTCTCGGGATCTGCAAAAGTCAGAGATGGGAAAGGAACATGGTAGGACTTCCCTTACGCCGGGACCATGATGGCGTTGCATGAGTATGGGCTCGCAATAAACTGATTTCGAAGATAGTGGCGACAATCACGTTCTATGGTGTCACGGATTCACTATTGCAAATATGGCTAAGTATGCCCTCTTCACATCCATCCTCTCCATACAGCTCACCCCTTTCGAATGAAGGCAGATGGTTCTGGGAGGGAATGATGCTCGGAGGATATCTATATCACTTCTTACATACCGACACTTCCTGCTCTGATCAGAGCTCGACAGATGAAGAAGAAGATGCGTGTCACTCAAGCTCGTGGATTGGACAAGGCCAAACGGGCGCGGAAAGGTGCTTGCAAGCTCTAACTCCCTGTTAATATCTGCACAGCTATCCACAGGGACTTTGAACTTTCTTGTCACTGTCCGTAAACTCGTTCCTCCGAAGGTCGAGTTCACTAGTCTTTTTGGAGAAGAAACCACATACGCAGCTGCGCTCCAAGCTTTGTAACGCAATATCTGGCTGCACATCGCTTGTCATGGCACGCGGGACCGTGAGCAGCCTTACAATCCACACTTCGCCATGATAGATAAGCGCTTGACACTGCTCGATATCATGGTGAACAATATTCTGCAAGCTGAGTTCGCATTCTTATCAGTGTGTCATACTGATGTGGGCGACAAGCAGACGCCCGACGGAGTCATCCACCTCGCAGCTTATCTGCAGTTTTCTGGGTTCAAAAGTGACATTAGGCACTCTGGGCCGATGAAGCTGAAGTCTACGAGATGACACGGGCGGCCGCAGCACTCGACACGGCTATGCGCGCCGTGAAGAAAAAAGTGAGAATCGGTTTCATTCGTTATTTAGTCCCATGTTGCATTGCAAGCTTTCATCTGGCACAGTCACGGTCTTGCACACCCGAGTTGGCGTCATCTACACTATCTGATCTGTTGCTTAATGTCAATCCTCGAGGCCTCACAATTGTGTGTGAGGTGGTGTATGACGAGTCACGGACGAGAGGAAACTAGTTTCCGACGCCAATCAGCATTTACATAATGTCGTAACGGGCAGCTTGGAGGTTGCAACATTGAATACTGGCAATCTCACAAAGATTTCGAGCTGGTGCTACTGACTCGCTCTTTATGAGAACAGAAGCATACATATCGATGATGTTGAAATCCGGTATAGGACCTGGTGCAGGGGAGGCATATGAGCTGAGTTTAGACAGAGCTTAAAGCCTAAGTTAGCCTATGCATCATGCCGCAAGAGCATGCCATCTTGCAGCAACGTCAAGTCAAGTCAATTGCCAGAAACTCCCAGTCAAGACTCAACACTACGAACGGGTCCGAAGGGCTTAGACACGAATATTAACGTCGCCAACTGAATATAAACAGGTCGATGAACGCAAGACGAGTTCCTTCAACAGGTGTGTTCGCAGCCAGCTGAAGTGGTGCACACGACGCTTGTCTTATAACCTCGCAGGAGCACCTCGTCGTTATGTACGTCGGCCTAGACAGCCATACGCAGTCTCATCTTACAGTGCTGATCCTCGATCTTATCAAGTCTTGGTAATTGGGCGTTAACTCACATCAGTCCATCGTAATCGTGGGGCTTATTATGTCGTCTTTCTTTCGTTTTTAAGGTCTGTAGGTGATTGGATCATTCCCCGTTGATCCATGCCTGAGAGCTTTCCTTGGCAGATCGCGTGTTTCAAGGAGCTGTCGTTCGATTATAATAGTTTGTGTATGAGAAGATCGGCGATGTTTGGCGAGTATTTGATCATAATACTCGTCAAACATCACTGATCTTCTCGTCAATTTATCTGTCGGGGCTCCTTTGTATCCTTCTGTGGTACTTCACCCTCATATTCAGGTCACTGCTCTCACCCGTCGACAGCCGTTGAATCAACTTTGCTGCCTTTGACAGTTGTTTCTTGACATGACGCACCCGCCTCCACAGTTAGTCACCCCGATTCGCAAGCCGTTGAAGAAGCCGAAAGGGAGCATTTGCTGATCGACAGCGAGAACCATCTATTTCGAGGCACCCTCGAGTCTTGACGATCTCATGGTGACATCATTTAATATTTTAACAATTTTTTTTCGAGAATATAGCGGCACCTGGACACCATCCGCGTCAGCTGTAAGTTATCGTGAACCTTCTGATGTTGTTCGACCACTGGTTGGCGGTACGGCGATCGTGGACTGTATGGAATCGTTTAGAAATGGCGAATCATTGGTGATTTCCTTTCCCCAGAATCAGGGCTATATGGTAATATGGAAATCACTAACGTTTCGTTCACCCATAGAAACCACACGAATGGTCATGTTGTCAACTTGTCATCGACCGTCCTTTTGTACTCCCTCAACGAGAATCTCGCTTCTTGGTGGCTCTTTTGCCATCTTGGTAGCAAATACCAGATGATGATTGGTCCGTGTTCTGGGTATGTTAGCACCTCCATTCGGTCCTGGTGATTAAAACAGGATGTTAATCGTCACCCCCGCGGCAGGCGGTCCGCACTAAGTTACTGATGCCTGCAGTCGCGAACACCCGTGTTTCGCATCTCGATCTTGACCATCTGGGAGAGCATGCGATGCTTGATGGACCTTGGTTAGCGGCGTATAGTTTTTCATTGGACTGTACTTCCGTTTCACAATGGTGCACTAGCGAATTGATTGGGCAGTGGATACTGCTTTGTTCGGTGGAGGGGCTGGCCATGGTCGTTACCGATCAACCTAAACATTGCTTCGTTGGTTATCTAACATCGCGATGGAACACAATCGCACTAAGAATACAACATTTGCACGTTGACTTGGAGCGGTACAACTAGCAACGAAATACAAAATGACGAACTTGCAGTTCCGATTCCCTTTCCTCCGTCGGCCAGAGAAATTGACCGTTGCACGATACATTATGCAGACGAAGGGGCAACAATTCATCGCTACAAATCCGATTAGTGATGTGAAGCTCGCCAGTATACTGTACATGAAGGGCGCGAGGAAGGAGGTGATGGTATCCATTGAAGGTTGGGTCCGGATCTCGGCGGACTATTGCATGAGTCAGTCCAAGTACTAGTGTCTACACTAGCGATTAGACTGGTTTATACGACAGTCCGCCATAAGTGTCGCTGTCGAGCTCGAAACTTTCTATATTTGCCGATGATCAGTTTAAGTAGACAAAAGTAGTGAGTTATGTGTGGAAAATGGGAGCTGACTGGTGAATCCTCGAAACATCGGTCTTTTGAGAGGGCGGGCACTGCGTACGGACCGGCACTTATCTTAGAGAGAAGTACGCGATGGAGTAGGATGGAGGATCTTTACATGCCACTTTACAGAAGGCGCCGTACCCCACATCAGATGGCCACTAGAGCACCACCGTGACGTTCTACTCGTCACCGTAAGTATAGGGTAGTGGAAATGGTCGCGTACTAGTATAAAGTTCCGCGTCCTGTTCGTTCCTGAGGCCTGGCCGCGAGCTACCGGCCTCAACCCCGACGCTATTGCGCACATGTCCCTTGACAGTATTGAGTAGTAGCTGTCTTGCTGCGTTATACTGTAACCATAGTTCAAGGTAAGGTTTCTATCTAGAGTACATGTTTTGCACTTCCCGGTTCCGATATTACAGCTCTTTGCATAAAGGATGGCACTGGCGTGAAATTTTCGTTCAATCAGGAAATGTTAGACTTAGTGAAATTTTGCTCGTGTACGCTCATACTACCCTTATATTATCATCTTCGCAACATGGGATTTCGCAAGATTAGTCGTGATGTGAAACTTGCGGCAATCCGACTCCATGAACGGAACCTTCGAATTCTAAGCCTTCGTGATATCCTAGATTGCTGCGGATTTTCTAGACGCACTTGGTTTCGGATTTTGAAGCTCTGGCACGAAACCGGCGATGTCGTGGACCGTCAGCCTAACACAGCAATGCGTGGTCGTCTGCGTGCTCTCGATCGTGAAGATATCGATTGCCTGCTTCGCCTTGTAAGGCAGAATCCTGACTATTTTTTGGATGAGCTCATGCACCCTCGCGACAAACCAATTCATATCTGTCCATTTCACGACAATCTTCCGCGAGCTCGAACGTGCTGATGTGAGCTACAAGAAACTCAAGCGCATTGCCAAGGAACGCAACGAGACTCTCCGTGCTGCGTTCATCGCACGCATGGCTCAGTATGATCTATCAGAGTTGGGATTTATTGACGAGACGTAGGTCCATGTAGTAGGGATCATTAGTCACAGATTTTAGTTCCACGCTTTCGCTTTTTGGACATGGTCGGAGGTGGTGTAAGGATCTTCATGGGCTGGGACTGCTCAAGCTCGTCATCTTCGCCGTCGTCATCAGAGTCAGGTTCCTCTTCCTCCGAAAGTTCTTTCATTCGAATATTGTCCTCATCGGACCCATTGGAATCAAGGTCACTGTCATGCTCTAGCTGGCTCTTGTGTTTTTTGTAGGCAGGAATAGTTATAAACGGCATGATGATAATGAATTACAGGGGATGTGAGTGTACACGAGCAAAATTTCACTAAGTCTAACATTTCCTAATTGAACGAAAATTTCACGCCAGTGCCATCCTTTATGCAAACAGCTGTAATTGCTCGTGGAACTTGGAGTGTGGATTAATATTACTTATTACTGAATGTAATAAAATTATCCATGTGCCTGCTCGGATGTACTATCTCGCAAATGGTCACTAAGTAAGATCCGTGCAGCGAAAACCAATCAGTGCACCGCTGGGAACTGCGGCTGGGATGGAAGAGGACAATTGTCGAAGATATCCGATATCTACTTTCTCCTCTCCTTGAGTGTCGGCTGACCGAGAAGCGGGAGGTGTAATAACGCACCAATACCTATATATTTATTATCTAAAGCCTGTTAATAATATAACTAGAGCAATTAGCAAAGTGCACTTGCTAGACATTGAGAAAAGTTCTTTTGGAGTCCTGGACTTCGCAGCCGGATATACAGGGTTCCGGTCGACATTCTCAGGTCAGCACAATCAGCCACTGACGCTGCAGCATGAATTACATATTCAATTGCAGAAACCACAACTTGTTCATTGCTGCAACGTGAAATTCGATTAGAAAAGTGATGCAAAACAATGCTCACTCTTCGTCGACTCTCCCCTCTAAGGTGTCGAGTTTCTGATTCATCACATCGAATTTCTGATTCAGTCTCGCACCAGGCTGCAGCACTGCGCGGTGACCCGAGTGACGATCGCGCCCGAAGCAGCACGAAAATGGAGTATGGCACCCGCCAACATAGATGACTTTTGAGAAAATAGTAACAAATTCAGTACGACCCATAGAATGACTTTTGGTTGATCCTGTAGAGATTTTATATCTAATTGCCCTTCCTATTGTGGTCTCCCCTGGGCCGTCATATCAACCATACTGCACCGATGTGAATGCAAAAATACGACTCACTCCCTGATACATGCATTGAGGAACTACCACGCCGGTGAGTCATGTGGTTAAATACGGGACGCAAACTACTCATACTCACACACGTACACGGCACTTTGCAGTGTGAGCAGTCTTTATCATGCTCGCAAGACATAGGACATTTCTCAGCATTGATGATAGATATTGATGCTGTCCAAGCAGCGACAACGGCGAGGATAAAGGATAAACGCATTGTTTCTGAGGATGTGATATGGGATGAAATAAGTCTGAAGGGGACAGTAGGAAGACGCCTTGCTTTTATGTGCATCTTCATGGTGATGTAGGAAGAACCTATCCACCCTTTCGAACAGATGATAGTAATGTCAGCATATTGCCACCTACCCTATGAAGCTAGGTCTATAGCAATTTGGCGTGGAATAAAAAATATCACATTGCGAAACAAGGTCAATGTCAGTTCGAACTTCGCAACAACTTGCCATTGCTACACGGTGGTGGAGCGGGAGTCACTGATCGGTAAAACCACCAATTCCTTATCGGGCCTTATGCTGCCTTATGTTCCTTAATGTGCCTTTGATTTGGGTAATGATAAATCCAGGCCAGGGTAGCATCTTGCTTCTCATTGTATGACAACTTGTAGTGTTGTTGGCAGAACTCAGGTGCAGGGGGCGCGGCAGAACCTGGCAGAACTCCACACTCACATGGAGATGTAACCTAAATATGATTGTATAGTTGTTTTGAGCTCAATAGTGTAACGGGCGCTAGATGAAGCGGAGAGAATAGCGACAATGAAACGACAGAGAGGCCAGATACTGGCGTTGATTCGACGAGGAAATAATACAAAGCCCCGAGCGCATATAAGTATCTCCTATGGTGATAATGTAAGGTGAAACCGTGAACAGTAAGAGTGTCAATGAGATAACGAATCCGTAATCATCCGAACGAGCTGGTCCGTGAATGACAGAGTACATCGGCGCAATGTTCAGTACAGTAGAATGACCATGACCTAAATAGAATGGCCGTGAGCTACGTATAGTGGCCATGACCGTGACAAATAGCGCACAAACACGAAGATAGACAGTCCCGAAAGCAATACGGTCCATGCTGGAGCCTAGGGCGCCCAATCCCGTCACTGATTGAGGACAATTTTGAGTGTCTGGAACTAGTTCTAAACAGCTCGGATCGCTCATTCATGCTAACATTTCCTTCCGTGAGCTAGTGATGTTCCGGCCCGGCTTCAAGCCCCGGGCCAGCCGAAGCCGGGCCTGAATAAGCCGAGCCAAGCCTTGGGCCTGGGCTCTCGGCTCAGGCTTGAATTCTGGCGAGCCTACTATCCCTTCCGGTGCAATCGGCACCCCACAGAAGTCGGCAGGTCACACATTTTGGCAGGAAAACGTGACACTTTTGTTACAATTGGTCACAGGCAGTCACACAAAACCCTGCGAAAAAGCGTGACTGCCGACTTCTGTGGGATGCCGATTGCACCGGAAGGGATAGTAAGCCCCTCCAGGCCGAGCCTAAGCCGGGGCTTTGAGCCCAAGCCGGGCCGGAACATCACTACTTCCGTCAGGGATGATGAGTATTTTTACCAGTTCATTAGTGTGATCCGTCCGTCCCATCACGTCCCATCTCCATCTGAAGGACGGCCTAGTTTACGTTCACATTTGAAGCTTTCTTGAGCCATGAGCGTGCGCTCTCATTGGTGGAGAGGTACTTAGGCGACAGTGTCCCTGAACTATCCCAAAAGTATCGCTCTGAAGTGTCTCTCAAGACGAGTCCAAACATAGATGCTCGTTCATCTGCAAAACCACTGAAATGAACGCTTACGACTTCAGTAGCGCACTCATGCGATTGGTGGAGATGCTGAACATATAACCAAAAATGTGTGCTTACGAACGCAAACTTGAACTAAACCAAAAAGAATATACACACGAGCGTTTTGTGAGTGCTTTCGAACAAAGTCGCATTTGCTGATGGCCTTACACGTTATCACAACATCTGCCCGACAGCGAAGTTGCCCAGTAAGCTCCTGCTTACAGTGTTACGTATTGAACTGCCTATCCTTCCCACACTTATAAGTGGACAGCTCATTGTATGGAACACGCTGGTGCGCACCAACGGTGACCAGCCAAATATCTGTACTTAAGACTACCAAGCCCCACTGTAAATAATCAGCAGGTGAGCATGATAACCAAAACGGGTAAGCAAGATATGAGGAACTAAATAGAACCGTGCAAGAACTGCGTTCCGGATCAGATGTCATAGTGTACAAGATTAAGAAACTCTATCGTGGATCTTATGAGAGCTTCTCAGTCATATCTAAGGCAGCGGCGGTATCAAGAATGCGACATTAATAGAATGACTGACGGTCCCAATTATGCGTCAAGTTGTGGAAATCGAAGATGAGCAATTATTTCCATTCTCCTCTGCTGGAGTGTGGAGCTGATCCGGGTCAGGGAAGCGTGGAGGTGTAACGCGGTAGCAATAGCTATACACGTCTCAGCTAAGGCTCGTTAGCAAGGTAAAGCAATCAACAAAGTACACTTGCCAGGGGCTTGATTGACATCAGATCGGTCATTCAATGTGCAAATCGTGCAGGTTGAATGCGAACTGCACATTGAATGGCCGATCTGATCATTAGTATTGTGTCCAGCTCTGTACAGTAACAGATCAAGTACTATGTCAGAAATTCGCAAAAGCGGTTGCAATGACCCAGTACATAGAATAGTTGTGAACACGGACCCTTTGGAATTGAAATCTATTGTTTGATCTATCTGTATGTAGTTGGACCCTTGACGTTTGCTCTATCTGTCCTGAAGTGTCCGTGCGCACAGCAATTCAAAGCACGGTTAAGTGCTACTGTAAGTCACATGCACAATCTGATACACTTTCCAACGATTTATCGCTACTTTCCAATGGCAATCATAGCTTACCCTCGACAGCTCAAGCCGCAGCTTACTACTGCAAAACAATGACGTGGAGGAGAGAGAATATGGGCAGATGGCTTGCTAACGATGTCACGAAAAGGTGTGTTTTTGTTCTGCATTCATTTACACTACTGACAAGTTCTTTTATGTCCTTCCATACCTTCCCTAACCTCTCCTTCGTGCACTCATTCCCGCACATCGGCACATGTCATCTGCATTTGTATTTGTCTGTGATCGTCCCTGCTCGTCCGTGCTTGTTTGCACTTGCCTCTGCTGTCCTGTGCATGTTGGCGGCTGGCGACTGTGTTTTTACTCATCCTGGACTCATCTGTATCTGTTCGCAATTGAGTCGTCATCACCTTGGCTGTCTTTGACGGTCGTTTTTTGATGACACCATTTAATATTTTGGCAAGTATAATTTTTTTTCGTCCCAAAATCTAGCGGTACTGCAAACCTTCAGATGATGTTTGGCCCTAGCGGTACGGCGGACTGTATCAAGTCCTTTTATAATTGTGAATATTTGGTGATTTTTTCGCCCAGAATCAGGGCTGTATGACAACCACTGATGTTTCGTTCATCCGCAGCAATCATGCGAATGGTCATGTTATCATTGGTTGTCCTTTTGTGCGAACCTAAGCTTCTTGGTAGCTCTTTTGCTGCCTATTATCGCCCTGGTAGCTAACACCGGACGATTGGCCCGCGTTCTGGTATGTCAGCACCTTCCATTCGGTCAATGGGGCTGCTAACGACTTTTCTTGAACTTTGTGCTCTTGTGATCAAAGGGGCTTAGTGCGCTCATACTTCTCTTGGAGAGAAGTACGCGATGGAGTCGGATGGAGGATATTCACGTGCCACTTTACAGAAGTCCTTGTCTGCGCCGCATGATTCACTCTCGTACCAGGCTGCAGCACTGCGCGGTGACCCGAGTGACAATCGCGCCCGAAGCCGCACAAAAACGGAGCATCCGCCATATGGATAACTTTGAGAACATAACAAATCTAGTACGACCCATAGAATGACTTTTGGTTGATCCTGTAGAGATTTGATATCTAACTATTGTGGTTTCCCCTGGGCCGTCATATCAACCATACTGCACCGATGTGAAAGCCGAAACACGACTCACGCCCTGTCGCATGCACCGACGACCTACCACGCCGGTGAATCATGTGGTTAAATCCGGGACGCAAACTACTCATACTCACGCATATAGAAGGATCACTGCAGTTTGAGCAGTCTTTATCTTGCTGGCAAACCGTAGGACAGTTATCACAGGCAGATATTGATACTGTCAAAACAGCAACAACGACGAGGACAAAGGATAGATGCATTGTTTGTGAGGATGTGATATGGGATTGAATTAATCTGGAGGGAACAGTAGGAAGACGCCTTGCTTTTATGTGCTGAATATTGTTTTTCATGGTGATGTAGGAAGAACCTATATCCACCCTTTCGAACAGATGATATCTGCAATGCCAGCAGATTGCCAGGTCTAATGGCAATTTGGCGTGGAACAAAATATCCACTAGTATCACCTTGTGAAGCAAGGTCAATGCCAGCTCAGGACTGATTGACTTGTTGTCCGGCCTCCGAATTCTGCTTACAGTGTTGCATATCGAACCGCAGCGTAACGTTTTCAAAACTCGGCCTCGGTACTCACATCCTATCCTTCCCGCACTTATAAGTTACAGCTCATTTGTATGGAATACTGCCGGTGACCAGCCAAATACCTGTACTTAAGGCATCAGCGCGTGAATCAACTTGCGAAGCAAGGTCAATGCTAGATGTATTCCGTCTCCAGGAACAAACAACGCGTTCCATAGTTTTTTCATGACGCACTGGCATTCGACCGACTGTTCAAAAATCTCACGCTCAAGTACGAAGACCGTATATCACATTCAAGACATGATCATACCTACACTATGGATGCTTTAGATAGTCCACAATCCACTGCAGTTGAGATCTTGCTTCGCAAGGTGTTTGTCGGCCCTGTCCGACCCTAGTATGACAACCGAAATGGGTGAGCCACGCAGCATCCTATTCACCGGCCCTTTTTGATGGTGCCGCGTTCCGGATTATCGACGATGGCATAGAAGGTTTGACGCAGCAGCAATAACTATACACATCTCAGCTAAGGCTCGTTAGCAAGGTAACAATTGACATCAGATCGGCCATTCAATGTGCAAATCGTGCAGGTTGAATGCGAATTGCACAATCGAATGGCCGATCTAATCATTAGTATCGTGTCCAGCTCTGTACAGTAATGGTTTGCTACTATATGAAGTCGAAGGGGCAACAATTCATTGCTACAAATTCGACTGGGAAAGTGATGTGAAACGATGCAATAAAACAATGCTCACTCGTTGTTTAGGAGGGTGATCCCCGTCTAGCTTCGTTGAGGTTATCCCTCGCGTCTTCGAGGTTCTTCATATGTCGACTTTATGTTATGCCAATCATGATTCATCACCACTATCTGACGGAGTCTCTCACCCTTCTGTTACTCCACGCGATCAAGGCTTTTCGGAACGAATGCTTGGAAGTATAGAGCAAGAGCTGATTATGGGCATGTTCCACGTTGAAATAAAACCAGTGCGGGCGTCCTCGAAATTGGTAAGTCGTGCTGGACGTGCTGGGGCTGCTTCCATGCAAATGACGTTGATGACGCGAGCGAGGACGGCGCCTCGAAGCTGAGTTCAAACTGGGTTCGAAACCTAAAGCTGTATGCATTGCCAGCCGCAGTAGTAGCACGTCTCCACTGATACTCATCATCTAATACGACAATAATGACCGCAAGACGAGTTCCTCCAACAGGTACGTTCGCAGCCAGCTTAAGGGGTGTACAGAGCGCTTATGTTACAGCCTCGCAGGAGCTCCTCCTCCTTATGCATTCGTGAACCGCGTCTACGGTCGAAGCCTGCGCCCCATTGTCCTCGCATGTACGTCGCCATTGTCAGCCCTGTATTCTCATATTAGTATCCTTATCGTTATTTTTATGAAGTTTCGGTAATCGGGGCAATATGGTCTTTAGCATGGTGAGTTCTATTTATCCGTCGTCAACGTGGCACTTATTAATCGTCTTTCTAGGACTGTAGGTAATTGGATCATGCCACATTGATCCATACCTGAGAGCTTGCCTTGGCAGGTTGCGTCTTTCAAAGAGCTGACCGTCGTCGATGGCAATGGTCTGTGATCACTTCAGTACATACATGAATGTTTGCTTACCCTGTGCCGCAGGCGCTTATCATAAACTCGTTCCACTGGCGATTGTCCAAGGCGTCCTGTATTCCGTTGCACTCGGGATAGAAGTGTTCGGCATCTACAGTGCGTTGACTGTGAGTCGCTCGTGTAATGACCTTGTCGCCAACCACTGACTCCCATGTTGCAGCAACGAGCATGGATGGTTAGGATGTATGCATTTTTGTGCGCTATCGCGGGTCTTCTTGTCGTTGGCATCGGCCTGATGCGCTCCATCACTCATTTCACTTACAAGGTAAATATATGTGCTCTATTTTTGTACTTTTTGACTGACCTTATTTTGGGTAGAGTGACTTGATAAACGAATGTATAAATGTTTCGGTAAACGGAGATGTAGACACCGTCAGTATCCTTGTACAGCATGTTGTGACGCGTGGCTTATTCGTAAGTAGGCATTCGGAATATGGGGCACTAACCCGGCGCCAATGACTGGGGATGCTGCCACGTCTTGTGAGTTTTGAGTTCTCGTGCCTATTCCGTTGTGAATCTTACTTTGTGACAGATTGCGATAACGAGTGGAACCATGACTCGTGGAGTGAGATCGTGGCGACTATCTTCGAAATCAGTGCGTATAGATATTCGTGTTGAGTTCGTACAGCGAGGCTGATGGATTTGAAGTTATTTCCCTTTTGTTCACATCTGCTGCTTTTGCCTACTACCGTCAAGTGATCGACCCGTTGAGCCCTGCGAACGCCTTGAGGGCTCCCTCAAACCAAGCGCGACTTGACCTTTTCCCGACGCACTACAACCCACCTTATGATCCTGGATACAAACCAGCCTATGCCCCGCCGTCTGGCCCACCACCTTCCGACAGCAAACCCCCTGAATACTCCTACGCAGGCGGAGAGTATCTGGGACATGGCATGGAGAAGGACGACAAGAAGGAGGACGACCCTTTTTCGGACTATGAAGGCCCTAGCGTACCCCGACCGCTACACTTTGCGGAAGATAGAGATGCGACGAGGATTTGATGGAATTTCTTTGCGGAACAGACATGTCTTCAGATATCTCACAACATAATGTTGTATGCTCCAGTCTCGATCCTATGTAATACCACTTGACTGTGCTTCATCTCACACTATGTTGCATCAAGGCGTCATGAGAACTGCATACTGACCTCCTCGGTCTGGATTTTGGTGTGGCGGTTCTACATGGATGCGATAGACAAATGAAAGATGCATGATGATAGCCATAAAGCGACCTCTCCACAAGGCGTATTTACTTGCGGCCTCCTGCCTTCTGTTGGCTTTTGATGACCTTCTTGACTATCTTTGCCTCTTCAACAAGGAATGCTCGTAGAATGCTGTTCATGTTTTAGATATCACCAGTATCGCTGAGGGAAGAAGGAAACGCACCGTGACTTGACGCAGTCGCCGCACCGCGAACCACCATAGGCACGGCACACCGTCTTCTGACGCTTCGAAATCGTTGCATACTGGCGGGGGCGCAGAGCAGGGACCTAAACACACAAAACTCATTCAAAAACCCGACTCCAAGAAAGAAAGAAAGAACATACACCAGGAAGTCCGATACCACAATCACCGCATTTAGGCTGAGTGGGGAGTTTCTTAAGGTGGTGGTATACGAGTTTTCCACCGGGTGTCTTTACGATACGTCTCCGGCTGGAGGTTGTGTTGTATGGTTGGCGTTTGCGGAGGGTGACACGTTGAGCCATTTGGGGCGCTGGGTGGGGGTTGGGTTAGTAATCTGTGGTTAAGATTCCCCTTCTCCTCCTTCCTCATGTGTAGGGTAGACGACTCACATGATTTTGAGCCTACGCCGAGTCTTAATTAGCACTTTCGGGATATGGACAATGTTATGACATACCTTGAGCAGAGTCTTGAGGTCGTTTGGGGCCGCGCGCTGTTCACCAATCACTTGACCGATTCGTTGTGGCTGATTGGTAATATACAGTACCTCGGCAAGTTCCGGTGAGTTTAGTTTGGCGTCCCACTTACTGATCCGCTTTGGTTTTGAAGTGTAGTGTCTCCGGTTGTTGATATTACCCTCTAACAGCCTGCGACTACTCATTAAAAATGCCCGCGAGACATGTAATTGTCAGCTGCTAACAATACCGTAATTTCGTCTTCGATAGATGAGCGCTAACCCCAATACTTGGTTTTCCGTAGCATTTACCGCCCTCTTTCTACCCCAGAGTCTAGACACCCGATTCACTCTGGCAGCTTGAACCGTTCCCAATCCCAGTTTCTCGACGCGCTGATAGATATAGCCCTGTCATAACACTGGCTTGGATCGCCACAGGGCTGGTAGGCGGGGTGTTTTGAATGTACGTCTCGCGGAACCAAAGGCGGTGGACAGATGTCGGTTCGTAGATTCTCGGTGAGGTGCAACGTTCGGGTAGTAACCGCGTCCTTCCAAGTCTGCGACTCGTGAGTACCAGCTACACCAACGGGCAGGATGGCCTTTGTTGATCCATATCAAAGACAGACCTGCCCGTTGGTCGTCATCCGTTCTGTTGTTTTTGTAGTGTAGTCACCTGGCTGCTGGTTCATCTCCTGAGCTGATAATCCGCGACTACTCATTCAAAATGCCCGCGGGAGCTAACAAGACCGTGGTTTCATCTTCGAAATTGGTACGGAGGACGCGCCTCCAATTGCAAGAGGCACTTGGCCTGTCCTGATGTCCCAAATGCAAATTGTCTTATTGTACCAAGCCTGATATTTTGTTGTCCGAGGGCAAGGGCAAGCACTCGTCTGATCATTTCTCTATCTGTGTTCCACCGCTGAACATTGAACGCTTTAGTTTCCTTCCTGCACGCAACCGTCTTTCCGACCGATGAAACATGCCTTGCGAGCTGTACCATCTTTATTTCGCGTGTCTCGTTTGTAGAGGACCGGCAGAAGCCCCAGTACTTTACTTGTTGTAGACCCGATGTCCTTACCACTAAGCTACTACCTTGTGACACTGCGTGGAACGTCTGTGTCGCCAACTCGAGTCTTTCTACTGCGAGTCGCCATCTGGCAGGGACACTGATGTTGGCGCTATGTAACAGTTGCGTTCCTGCCTACTCTGTTTCCACTACGGCCGTCTACTACATTCCTTTGACATTTCCATTACTTCGTATTGTACTGACCTTTAAACTTCTTACCTTTCCGATGCACGTGCATTCCCCAGCATTTATCGTTTCACTATATTCCCCGAACATCTTATATTGCGCCGTGAGCACTAGGCGTTCATAAGCAAATTCTTACCCTTACCACGAGTATTTGCGCCAGTTCCAGATGGCGATGCTAGGATCATCGAGCTCCATCAAAAACATCATTCCAACCACATCGTCCATGATCTGAAACCCAAAAATTACACGCCAAGTATGTACATACTTTTTTTAAAATCCAATTTTATGTCCTATCGAGAGTTGTACTTTATGGAGGACAATACAGTCCAATCTAAGGGGCCCCCAGTACCCCGAACGCATCTCTGGGTGCGCGAATGCCATATGTACAGGCTTATCACTCACAGACGCGTCCAAGCATTTTATCACACCGACATTTATGGTTTGCGATCGATACCCAAGTCTTCCGCAATGATCATCGCAGCCTTCTCTCCAATGAGGAGTGCCGTTGAATACGTGTTCTAGGGAGACGATTAGACTGTATGCCAATAACTCCCAGTTGAGTACCCACCGTGCCAACATTTTTCGGTGCGATAGACATATCCGCAATCTTGAGGTTCGTCACGCCGTACACGTTTAGCCGAGCGTCAACGACTCCTTGGTCTGCCCTCGGCTTCATAGCACAAGTCCCGAGCTCCACACGCAAAGATCAGGCACCTCATGTAGAATTATAAAAGTTGCAGCATACCGGGTGCCACGCCGAACACACTGAGTGTGGATTCAGTATTTTAACATGACGATGGGGATAGTATGACATACACTTATCACGATGGAATTTATCAATCGCCTCGTCATCTTCTGCAGTGTAGATGATATCAGGAGCATTCATGTCCACTGGTCCGGTCACTTCTCTGGTGACTGCATTGCTTCCCTCTGGGAAAGAAGGATGGCCGGCGGGGACTTCACCTCTGTAGGAGGGCATGCGTCGCAATATTTCGCGGATCCTTTTGTACCCAAAGTTAAGAGGTATAATATCGGATGGGCTGCACGGATTATTGTTGTACACAGCTTGAAATGAAATGTGCCACTCACTCATCTAGGGAGCCTGTAGTGAAGTCAATTTCTTCTTTGCCATTCTCTCCCAATTTCATATGAACGCTGCCAGCAGATACGGGGTATAGCTATTGGAAAATTCAGAACAAAAATCGCGGGTAGATGGGGAGTACTACCGTATAACAGGTTGCAACAAAGTAATTGCGAGGGGGAAGGACACTCATGAGTGTTCCATAGTATCTGGCTATCGTGAGCATCCACACGTCATCAACACAGGGCGACATGCACCCACCCTGCAAAGATGGCGAATATTGCAACAGCCTTGTCTGGGCGGTCCTGGAAGAACTCCTTCCATCGTTGTTGAAAAACTGGACCCATGGCTTTCAGCTCATCGTCGTCAGGACGCCACTTGATCTTTGCATCGCTGCCACTGAAATGCTATTTAGCACGTCACCAGCAGCGATGGTTTTGTACCAACTTTTGGGCAACGAGTGACTTGCCATTAATTTCCCATTCCGCAAGGTTTTCTACATTTGGGCGGTTCAAAGGTACTGGGAATACGGCGAGAGCATACTTACCCTGTATAACATTTTCCTCCCCGCGCCAGAGAGGATCCAAAGTATCAACCCCGTCGGCAGCAAAGTATGGAATAAAGGCGCCATCGTGATCTGATAACCGTAAGTTAACATCACGAAATGAATGGTTGAAAGCCAACCTTGAAAATGTTCTCCGACGCCAGGTAAGTTCACCAGTTGCTCTATACCGCACCGCTTGAGGACTGCCTCGGCACCGATCCCAGACCTCTCGAGAATGGTTGGCGAACCGAACGCCCCAGCAGAGACGACAACAAGCTTTGATGCTCTCACAAAGCTCGATGACTGATCCGCGTCCGGGCAAGATACTGGGTCGCTGATAAACTCAACACCCACAGCACGCTTGTCCCTTTCATGATGCGAAAAAGTCATCAACACAGTTAGGCACGATTGTGATCTAAGGCGTACCACTCACTCGAAGATCACGCGCTTCACGCGCTTGCCGACCCACAGTTGTAAATTCGTGTTGTGAGCTTGGTTGTAGACATAATGGTGGGCCGCATCGGAACGCCTTCCTGTTGTCCCGTCAATGTACCTTCTCGTGTATAAGTTGAAGTTACAATAGACTACGAGCACAAGCTCACTTCGCCCATGGCTGAAATGAATCTCGTTAGTAGTCGCAGATGGGGAAACAATATCAGTGGCGCACACTGTATGTGTTGCATATTTCTAAATCATCAGTGTCTTCGGCATATGGCCTCTTGTGATACGTCATGCCAACACTGATGAACTCATCGCAGACAGCTAGTTTCCGCCCACCAGATGACACCTTGATAGGCCCACTGTATCCGTGAGTTGGACGGTCGGGCTGTACCTCGTACGTTTCCAGCTATGAAATGAATAGTTCAGCTTGAGAGGTATACGGCAACTCAATCGAGGACCTTCTTCATGAGCGGGATTAAATTTTTAGATTCCCAACCATCGACTCCCCAATCATCGAAATCCGAGGCAGGCGCACGGGTGTATACCATAGCTATCTGAGCATCAGAGTCATGTTCTCGCTGCAAAAGTGCTACGAACCATTCACACTTGATCCCCCACCAATGCAATGACCGCACGGAACCATCGGTGCACGGCCGTTGAGACGTGGAGTGGGATTTCCGATGTTGAACGTCATCGTGGTACTGGTGGGCGCCATATGTGTTGGGTATTGGTAGGGCTGAACATGGGCAGCTTTATTGAGGGTGTGTGGACCCCCTTCCAGAATTAAAATCCTGAGCGAGTGATCACAAGCAGCCAGGCGACCTGCGACAACGCACGCCGTAGCACCGCCTGCACAGCGCTATGTTAATAAGAGGGCAAACCAATACAAGATGTTGTCACCCACCTCCAGCAAAAATGATATCGAATTCTGATGAAATTGGATGAGACATTGAGAGATGCTTTTATGAAACCACTCACGGCGGTAGAGAGCGGTGTGTCCACATTTATATATTTCACTAAAGCGAAGAAAGAATAAAAACAGCTGGTAAGTGGAACTCTAACCTCGGCGAGTAGTATAAATTTAAATCGGGACCTTGGTAACAATACCAAGAATGTGTTGCAAGCTATTCTGTACATGGACCCTCACACGAATACGTACTTATTAGAAGCGCATAATGACTTGGAATGAGGGCAGAAACCCAGCAAGCATAAGTCGAGGGTGTAAAAAGAGCGTAAGAGAAACCTTATTACCCGACCGGGAGTGTAATAGTTGACTGTTGCGGGGAGTGAATGGTGCATAGGTTCAAACCGATCCGTTTCTGTCCACGGGCAAGAATCTCCGTCTCTCAAAAAAGGCAGTTGAGCATCCGAGCGTCGAGTCTAACGTCATTATAGAGTATAACTGTGTATTTCGCCTGCGAGTTCGGTTCGGTTTGTATGGATGCAACCTGTAACGCACACCTTTAGTCACTTAATCCTCTGGGCCCCGGACAAGCTCCATGATGGGGCATTCTTGTAAGACCGCGTTTTCTATTACGTCGGTACCTGGCAAAAGACAGCCAAACATTGATTTATCTCTGTCTAGCTCCAAGCACTAGATGGGGAACTGCTAGGCGAGATAAACGTTGCCTCATGGTTGAAATGAAACTCACCATTTAAAAGCCCCGCAATTTTCATGTGACACCAAGCGAGGATGTTCCGAGATCTTCAATACGTGCTTTGACGCTGGCAGGTGTCCAGTAGACTTGCTGTAGTGCGGTCCTTCAATTTACACGTTGGATGTTTTATTCGGACGCGCTCCTGCTGACAGTACAAGCCATTGTAGTAGAGGCAGGTTCAACAGACTTGTTCGACAGTGCAAAGTACAGGATACTTGCAGTACCAGGAAATCTCAAGTGGACCATCAATCTCGCATATGTGGTCCACGTCCAAATCGTCAACTGCGCTTCGATGGTGCAAAGTAGAAGGAAACCTTGGTTCTACTGGATGGCTGCTGGCGAAAGTGGGCTGACAACGATGCAGCACCGGCAATGAAAAACTGGAGAAGCTGGACAGAGGAAGGGGTGATGAAGTTTGGTTTCTCGTTCTTCCTCTTCTGCGAGCGACTGTGTGTGACGGGTGAGATGAAAGACATTTTATCGGTAGCACTTGGACAGGCGGTAACGGGGTTCATGGTTCAACTTGAGGACATACAGCAGAATCTGGATCTGAACTCTACAGCGGGCGTTATGATGCACAGAGAAACAAGTGAACAAGCACTTACTCACGCTGCTCTATGCGGTCGAGCCAGTCAGACTTCCATTTATCCTCTAGCTATACATCACTAGTGTTCGCTGTACTCCGTACTGGTATGAGTCTTCGCGTACTCCAGAGCATACCATAGCATCCACTACCTCTCCCGCACCACTGTCGTCGACAAGGATCTGAGGAGAAGAGAGAGTGCGGCGTTCTTTAGTGAATATGAGGCCTGGGGATGGTTGGAGTAGGACGTACGTGATGAAGCCATAGGAAGTACTTGGAACTACTAGTGCGCTGGGCAAAGAGGGCTGAGGCGTAGTACTAAATGAAACGCGCAGTTGCACGTGACCGCGTGGCACAAATCTGCTTGATCAGTGATCACCACCATAACCCATTACAGAATACAGGAAGCGCAGTTGATATTTGGATACTGTACCAACGTTCAGTCCGTGCATATGATGGGAACGCGGTCCGCAGAATCGGATGGACATCGATAGACTGTGGAAATTTGATGAAGGGTTTCGAAGTTCAAATGCGGTGTTTCCGCCTCGAAGGGCAGTGTCGTTGGCCCTTTTGAATCGTTACAGCGAGGGAGCTCCGACCTTGAAGTTCATAAGTACTGTATCCGAATACTAACAAGTTCATCCCTTACAGATCCCACATGATGCAACATGAATCTTCTTCGGCACGAGACTTACAAGTCACTGGCATGATGGCGCGGCGGTCCCTCTCCGCCTGTACTATTTCAGCAAAAAGAAGGTATTTAAGGCCTTATCTGACGAGATTTGTCGAAGATCGACACGGTGGACATCATTCCTCTCGATCACAACTTGAAGCATGCAGCTTTCCCTTGTTTTCACCACACTCGTCTCCTTTGCTGCTCTTGCTGCAGCTTATCCTGCACTAGGGGTTGCCGGGGCGGCACGTGCTTGTGAGTACTCACGCACTGACACTCGAATCAGCGAGTGCGATATTATGCTATGCAGCTTTGGACGAACGAGAAGTCGCCTGCAGCCCCTATGGTGGCGGGAGGCGTTGTGTGTACTGACGTACTGTTATCTGAATCAGCGACACTGATATGCTACGCGGCTTTAGACGAACGAGAAGTTGACTGCGGCCCCTACGGTGGCGGCCGGGAGGCGTTGTGAGTACTTATGCGCTGTCAACTTAAATCAGCGAGACTGATATGCCACGCAGAATTGTGAAACTGGGATGTGTTAGGAGTAATCGTTGGAACAGTAGCTCCAGCCGATGTGAATGAGACAATGATCCTGATGGAGCGAAGTGTGTGACTGCCACGTCAACAGCCACTGAAAGACCTGAGTGCTACTCTGGCCAGTATTCCCCATCTCCCTTCGAGTAGACGTGATCCTGTGCCGTTGTCTACATTAATGGGCTCTTCTAATAGGTTCGGCGTTGTACCTTGAGTCTTGAGATCATCTGGGGTGGTCAAGGTGTTAGAAGCGATGCTGGTACTTATAGTACCTCAGCAAAGTCCGTTGGGCGCTAGCCAGCTGCCGGCCACATCACCTGACATCACGGGCACGACTCATTCAAAAATGCCCACTAGAAAAGCAACCGTTAACAAGACTGTATGTTTATCTTCGACATGGAGTCCCCTCAAAATGCGTTCTTCCCATACGACCGATACACGTCCGTTGTGGGCATTACATAGTGCACACCAGTTTTGTAGTGTTCACCGCCCTGTTCCTACCCCCAGACATCTCATTGCTCTGGCCACCTGAACCAACACAGACAGTCCCCAAGCCCACGCACTGACCAATACCGTCATAAAACTCGCTTGGATCGTTTCAGGGCTGGTGTTCCTTCAAGTGGGCGGGGTGGATCAGGCTGCGGTGTTTTGAGTGTACTTCCCGCGTAACTACTGATGAGATCAAGGTGGATAGATATCGGTTCAAACGGGATAGATTCTCGGTGCGTCTCCTCACATGTCCCGACATTTTCAATTTCTCACCTGTCTCTTAGAAATTATGGAGAGCAGCTGTCTTCACTTCATGTATAGCGTTAGTGTTTTATGCCATCATCGTATTATTCGGTGCTTCTTCTGCAAGGTAATAAGATTGATGTATCCCACGAGACTTGCGATGAACGTCTGGAAAGTCACCTTCCTCATAACCCTCTTGCTGGCGATCGTTCTAACACTACCATCAGCGTTCGCACCTGCCTATGCTCTGAATATCCCCACATTTTCCTCCGATACTTTGTCCTTGACCAATAGGGTGCTGAGTTTTTGTAGGTCAAAACGTCTTCCGTTTTCCGATTTTGCCTAAAATTGTGCTAGCACACGAAATCCGATTAAAATAACCTTGACGCTGTTGTCTAGCGACTACTTCAAAATCGAGAGTTATTTGTTGTACCTGCCTGATGCTATTCTGTCGTCCGAGGGTGAATATGGAAGAGCAAGCACCCCGACCTGCTTCGATTTCACCTCTACTTCACTGTGCTTTTCAGTCGAGGATTGTTTCATCAAGATACACAGGCACGATAGTCCGCGCGGATAGACCACGACAGCGACCGCACCCCTCTGCTACGACCTGTCCAAACGCCTCTGATCAACTCTCTATCTGTGTTCCACCGCTGAATGCTTCCATATTCCATCCCGCCCGCAACCGTCTTTCCGTCCTGTGAAAGCACCACTGCCCTATCCTTCTGCTCATACCTTTCCACGGTTCCTCGACAAGAAGTCCTGCCGAGTCCTGCCACTTCCGCATTGTGCCATCCAACGAATCACTCGCTATGTGGACGTTGTTGTTCAAGAAGACAAAATCCCAAATACTTAGTGCCTTCGTCACCCTCAGATTGGTGGTTCGAAAATGGTTTTCTGAGTGGCGGTGGCGGTGATGTTTCCTCAATGGTCAGCGTTGCAGGGTTTCAGTCTCGTTACGGTCAATGGTTTGTATTTTCTGGCTCTGACACTGATCATAATCAAATAAGTTAACCTTGGATCCTGTGTTCATTTAGTCGTCCCCATCCATCTCTTTAGCGCTTGTTTATGTCTCCAGACATACCTTCCTGTGGGATTTCTCCTCTTCCCTCAGCACACACCAGGTCTCTGACCAGTTCGCCCTTCGGCGTGACCAGCCGTTTGCCCCCGCCTAAAACAGGGAAGGCCTGTCTGGCGTCCACAGTCCCTTTCTCCCTCCCTCCTCTCAGCCACAACACTAGAAACTCGAAATGGGCACTTCCAAACACAAGATACAAGCATTGTATGTCTGCTCGTAAAGCGCTTCTGCGTGGCCATGCAACAGCCACCCTGCAACGGTGCAACCACCAGAGATCTATCCTACGTGCCAACCATTGTCGTCTTGTCTGTACCCAGAGAGTCATACTCAGCCGTGCTTTCACACTTATTCGATGAACGACGGCGATCCTGCTCGGAAAAAAGTGTCTGGGGTTGATGCTGAAGCTAATTCACTCAGACCCACAGGAAAGCACCAGGAGAACGTCGGCATCCCAACGCGAAATGACGCAATTGGTGTCAAAGTTCCCCTCGAGCTCGCGTGGCTGTGAACAGAAAAAAAAGGCAAGAGACGACTTACGCCCCCATTTCACTTCATGGACATGGCTCTTGGCAGGACCGGACTTAGTATTTCGTGCCTAGGCTGCTGATGGGAAATGAAAAAAGAGGAGCCGGGAGTAGGTGATTGCGGGGATTCGAGCCGATGATCATGGAGGAAGTTGGGGCTGTGGCGTCACATGAATGATAACGAAGAAGCAATACCTGATGAATAATTGACATTGAAAATTGACTGAACACTGAACAGGCACTGATGGAGGTGTACAAGGTAGATGGGGATAGAGGGGGGCGTCGTACCCTGCTAGTGTGGCAAGATTTGAAGCTTGATTAGTAGTAAGTGGTTCGTGCACTGCCGTTCGTGAAGCTGATACCTGATGCACATAGGTAGAACGTGGTGATGTGATGGGGGCGCTGCCGCAGTAAATCACGCTGAACCATATGTTCGCCGTTGGCGCTTAACATGAATCAAGTATGCACGGACAAAAGCAGCAGCCTTTGCTTGAGCTAGTCAGTACTGCTTGACGCAGTGATGGTGACTTCACGAACTTCGTCATTCCATACCGAGTCTGCGACTCGGGAACACCAGTACTTTCAATCACTGACGGGCAGGTCTGAGCGTTGGCGTTTAACCATGACATCGGAAGAGTCCGCCCCGTTGCGATGCATAATGAGCGCTTCCAAAGACATATAAATATCCCCTGTGCACACTGCGGACGTTGGCGGGTAGACTCTGCGTCCTATCCACCAGCATCACCCCCTTTTCACCTAGAGACCTCTTTAGATTCACTGCCGTGCTTTCAAACTGACTTGATGAAATTCAAGTTACTAGGGCAGGGTCCCTCGGGCCCTCGTTTGCCAGTGGAGAACGGAGCCAGTGAAATCGAGGTATTGAACATTGCACTCACATCTATTGGTTGTGTATAATGATGTCGTTCTAGGCGTCCGCTCCCCCGTCTTCACGGGATGAATCCAACAAAGGACCTCCAAGCCCGATTCGCAGGTTGTTGGGCAAGGTGACTAACCGTTCCCCCCGGAGCGCTCGAAGCGCTCGACAGTCTCCGATCTCTGAACCCGCGACTGCAAGTTCCCGCGCAAAAGATCACCTCCCCGCTCAGACAACTCAGGTATGTATAATCTCAACTCTGGGCATTCCCCGTGTGCAATTATTGCTGCTACAGGATCCTTCACCACTCACTGCTCCTGCTTCCGATGCAGCTCCTAACCAGGCTTCTAATTCAGACATTTTGAAGGTATGTTCGAGCGATTTAGTGAATTTTCTTATCTGTCCTTGTTGATAATTATACTAAGGTCTATCATCAGGCCAAACCACCACCTGATACGGAGCTTGTGAAGGCAACACTCGCCCACGCCAAAGCAGATTTCGAAGGCATCGGATATGGCTCAGGAATGGCTCAAAATACAGCTGCGGCATACTACAACCTACAATCCGATCCCAATACCAGCAACATGTTCTCTGCGATTCTCGGACCATTGAAAAAGTTCAACGATGTCGCCAACGGGCTTGCAGATGTACGGGCGTTTACCTCTATTTCGTATGTGACTGATCTTCGTGGATAGGTTCATCCCTATGCAAAGGTAGCATTGAGTATATTCACCTTCGCTTCCAAGGTGTGCTCGCTTCCGTATTCCCACCTTTATAGGCGACTGAAATTGCCTGGTGACAGATGATCCTTGATCAGGCAGACCGCGATGCTGCTGTGTGTCGCCTTCTCACAAAGATATCGGAGGTCTATACTTTCATGATAGAAGACGAGGCCTTGACCAAGATCCAATCCATGGTAACGGTATATGGAAAGATAGCCCGACAGACGCAGGAGTGCGCCGATTTTATCACCCATTACTCTAAGACAAAGAGTGTCTGTGAGTCGATCGCACTACTACATCGCCTGTCATTCAATATTCGTTCTTTGCACAGGGAAAAGACTTGGCAAACACGTCGCCAGCGAAACAGATATCGTGATTCAAATCTACAGCGCATCTCTCGAGAGTCTCATGCAGCAGTTCAGAGATCACGCAATTCGTGATGCTGTGATCATCCTTCACCGTGCCGGTAAGAATTGGCCTCAAACTCACTCTGAATATTCGCTGACATTTGACGACGCCTAGGCCAGGATCTGGACTTCAGCGGCATGATGTGTGCGGATGGCGCCGGTTTCGATATCTCCAAGTGTTGTCTCCCTGGCACTCGGGAAGGCATTCTGTCCAAGATCAAGTACTGGATCTATAGCACGGGGAAGGACGTGCCATCCATCTTCTGGTTAACCGGCCCCGCAGGGAAAGGCAAATCAGCCATCGCTCATACAATAGCCAACTGGTCTAGTGAGCAGGGGGGTCTGGTAGCCTGCTTTTCTTTTGATCGCACACGAGTAGGAGATCGTCGCCACGAGAAAATATTCACCACGATCGCACGCGATTTGGCCGATTGTGATCCAACCATGCGGCGGGCGTTGGCACGCGCGGTTCGTGATAGCAACAAGCTCAGGCGCACAACAGACATTGCAAGACAATGGCAGGAGTTGATATTAGGACCAATCAACGAAGCCTCGGAAGCCATCGCTGCACCTGTCTTGATAATTATTGATGTATTGGACGAGAGTGGTGACGCCAAATCCCGGGCACAGATTCTCCGTTTGCTTGCTGGCACCACGGACACCTCTTCCCCCGAACTGCCATCTCAACTTCCGGCAAACTTTCGTATCGTTGTCACTTCCCGTCCACGCGGAGACATCGAGGACGCCCTGCAAACTGCATCACATGTCCGTCATTTCTCCATGGATGACATCCCGATCGAATCCACAGAACATGACATCCAATTATACATCACCACCATGCTAAAGTGCCCACGCAGCCCATTCAACGATGGGCACTTTAAGGCACTTGCTCAGAAATCTGATGGCGTGTTTGAATGGGCTCGTCTTGCCTACGAGTATATAAGTGACATGAACACAGTGGGCCCAGATCCGATGGACCTTTTCGAGGCTGTAATCGGAACTGCATCTGAAAAAGGAATACCTCTGTTGGATGCAATGTATAGACTGATCTTGGCAGACATCATGCCAGAGGGTCAGCGCAAGAAAACAGTCCCTATATTTCGCTCTGTTATGGGACAAATCCTGGCGTCATTGGAACCGCTTCCCATGGCTGCACTAATCGCGATGCGTCTGCATTTTCCTGATGGGCGTGACCGTCATAAATTGGACCGCGTGATTCGGCCACTCGGCTCGCTTCTCACTGGAACCACCAATTCTCAAACTTCCATACGCCCCCTCCACGCGTCCTTCTACGAGTTCCTCACAGATGAGTCGCGGAGCCATGAGTTCTTCGTCGACATCTCGTCCGTACAGAGGGATATTGCATTTGCCTCCCTTCGTGTCATGGAGCGCGGCCTTCGATTCAACATCTGCTCCTTGGAGAGTTCTTACCTGCCCAATTCTGCTGTCCCTGACTTGGAGAGACGAGTGAAGGAGTCCATTCCGGCTGAGCTATCATACTCATGTCGATTCTGGGGGACTCATGTGGCAGCCACGTCTTTTGAACCATCGCTCGCTACGGAAGTTGGAGCTTTCTTCGATGGAGAGCGCCTCCTTTGGTGGTTGGAAGCACTGTCTCTCATGAAAAGCGTCCGCGGCTCGGCGGAGTGCCTCTCGTCTATCGCGGCCTGGACTATGGTGCGTAGTTTGAGCTCATTCTTACAACCAACGATTCTTACGAGGCGTGGTGGTCGTAGGGTCATGCCGCGTATACGGATGTTGGTGATGCTGCCAGGGACACCCTGCGTTTCGTTCGAAGCTTCGCAGCCACCATCTTACACAGCACTCCACATTTATATCTGTCCGCTCTGCCGTTCGCTCCAATGCAGTCGGTGATATTTCGCAAGTTTGCCGCAAAGTTCCCTTGCACCCCCCGCATTGTTGCCGGCTCTGTCTTAAAGTGGCCTCAGATGGAAAAGATATTCCACGGGCATGCTGGGGTTTACTCATTTGCAATTTCGCCAGACGGAAAACGCATCGTCCGTGGTTCATTGGATGGAACGATCCAGGTGTGGGATATAGGGACTGGGGAGACTTTGGGCACCGCCTTCCAGGGTCACACTAATTGTGTCGCTACTGTTGCATTCTCGCTGGACGGAAGTCGCATCGTGTCAGGCTCATGGGACATGACAGTCCGGGTGTGGGATGCGGCGACTGGCAAGGCATTGGGTGCCCCTCTCCAAGGTCATACTGGCCGTGTGTGGTCTGTCGCAGTCTCATGCGATGGGAAACACATTGTGTCTGGTTCAGAAGACATGACAGTTCGAGTATGGGATGTGGAGGCTGGCGAACCAATAGGTGCCCCTCTAAAAGGGCACACTGGGGATGTTCAGTGTGTTACAATCTCGCTGGATGGGAAGCTCATCGTGTCTGGCTCAGACGACACCACAATCCGGGTGTGGGATATGGAGACTGGCAAGGCGTTGCGCCACCCTCTCCAAGGCCACACCGACTCCATTTGGTCTGTCGCAATCTCACCCAATGGAATTCACATTGTATCTGGCTCAGACGACAACACCATCCGAGTGTGGGATGTGGAGACTGGAAAGCCATCAGTTGCCCCTCTGCAAGGCCACACTGGCCCCGTTTCGTCTGTTGCAATCTCGTCGGATGGCAATCGCATCGTGTCCGGTTCATCTGATCATACAATACGCGTATGGCATGCGGAGACTGGCGAGCCATTAGGTGCCCCTCTCCGAGGCCACACTCGCTCTGTTCGCTGCGTCGCAATCTCCCCAGATGGAAATCACATAGTGTCCAGTTCAGTCGACGAGACAATTCGGGTGTGGGATCACACAAGCACTAGCGAGACATTAGATCAAGGTCACACTGACTCCGTCAAGTCTGTTGCAATCTCGCCGGATGGACATCGCATCGTGTCTGGCTCGTCCGACATGACCGTCCGAGTGTGGAACATGAGGACTGGCGAGGCATTAGGTGCCCCTCTCCATGGCCACACTGACTCTGTTTCTTCTGTTGCAATTTCGCCCGATGGACACCGCATCATTTCTGGCTCATTCGACAAGACTGTCCGGGTGTGGGATATGGGGGCTGGTGAGGCATTGTGTGCCACTGTCCAAGGTCATGATGCCTGGGTTCGGTCTGTTGCAATCTCGCAGGATGGGAAACACATGGTGTCTGGTTCTGCTGATCGCACAATCGGAGTGTGGGATACAGAGAGCGGCACGCCAGCATTGTGTGCCCCTATCCGAGGCCACGATGACTTGGTTATGTCCGTTGCAATCTCACCCATTAGAAATCACATTGTGTCAGGTTCATGGGACAAGACAGTCCGGGTGTGGGATATAGAAACCGGAAAGTCATTGGGTGCCCCTCTCGAAGGGCATACTGGCTGCATTTTGTCTGTTACAGTCTCGCTGGATGGGAAACACATCGTGTCCGGTTCGGACGACCACACCATCCGCGTGTGGGATATGGAGACCCGCGAAATATTTGGTGTCCCTCTCCAAGGACACATGGACTGGGTTTACTCTGTCGTAATGTCGCCCGATGGCAAGCGCATTGTGTCTGCTTCGTCTGACAAGATGATCCGAGTCTGGGACATGGTTACCGGCAAGGAATTGTGCACTCTCGGGGGGCACACTGACACTGTTTCGTCTGTTGCCATCTCGCCCGACGGCAAACACATTGTATCTGGTTCATTCGACCGGACCATTCGGGTGTGGGATGTAGAATATCTCAACCGGGACCAGCCTTTCAAAGCGCCTGCAATTTGTTTCTCACCCAATCCGGCTCATACGCTTCATTCCGCCTCCTCATTCCTCCAAGATTCCTTCATCTCAGCCTCTCTCGTCCCAAACAAGAAGGGATGGGTTGTAGGCCCCGACGAACGGCTTCTCCTCCGGATCCCACCGAATCTTCATCCGCTCATGTATGTCCCAGGCAACACGCTGGTGATACCCAACCATGCCTCGCAGTTCGATTTGAGTTCACTCGCGCATGGCACGTCATGGCATAAGTGTCGGGAACAGAAGGCCTCCCTGTCTTCGTGATGATACAATGTCCCTTAGGTCGCGTTTTCATGTCACAACTACAGTACGATACAGATCTACGCAATTCTACACCAAATTATGTTCGCTATTTCCCCGGTCTCCATTTGTGCTCCTTTCCCCCTCATGAAACGTTAGAGATTTGCTACCACCATTACTATACTCTAGACTGTCCATATTACAAGTTGGAATGCCAACACGCCTCACTTGACAAGGGAGGCCATTTTGGGGTTGAGGAGGTTGCTTCGGGCGTTGGGGAGGACGGTGAGTTCTGGGCGTCGACGACTGCATGGAGGTTCGTTGATAGTATTAGTTGCACTGGTAGCACTTGATGGTAATTGCACAAGGGTATACAACAGCTCTCAAGTCTCGATAGTAGCGACTGAAACATGTCAGGTTTGACTATTCTCCACCTCTGTCGGGTTCAATTCTATACAGCCCTCTCTCTCTGTCAGCAGCGAGATGACTCGCCAATCCTGTTTTCTGAGGACGAGGATGATGGTCTCGCTACATCGGACATTGTGTATAAAGAATTGTTAATAATGGAATAGAACCTTGTTAACAAGAGAACTGCGCAGCAGCAATCACTTGTGCGTGTTCAACCCATACACCCATCCGTCATCATCTCTCTCAAATTCGCCACTTCAATCCTCGGAATAACATCGATTTCAAATGGCTTTGCATGAGAAATAACATCGTCACTGAAGGCATGCGTGTTGATCGGAGCGTCAGGTCGTTGAGCAATGCGGAAAGACCAGAAGAGAAGTGCGAGGTTGATGAACATTGACTGATTTGCGAGGTGCAGGCCGGGACATACACTTTCGATGACAGGTGAACTTCATTGATCGATGTCAAAGAAACTGTGTCGGCACGACTCACCGTCTACCAAAGCCATAGACGATAAACTTCATATTGTCCTTCAGACGGCCTTCTGAATCAAGCCAGCGCTGGGGATTGAAAGTCTCAGGATCCGGGAAGACAATAGGGTCACGAGAAATAGCCCTGAAAAAGATGCAGGTTATGAAGTTTGCACATTGTGAAGCATAACCCTACCAATGGCACCCATAGACTGTTGCACCCTCGGGAATGGAATATCCTTGCTGATTGGAGACGAAAAGAATGAGAATGCGGGTCACACCATGAATCCAAGGCACTGACCCAAACGATATCCTTAGTTGCACGGTGGGGAAATCCTGAGGCGCATGTCAGCGTCGTCCAGGGAACTTGCGGAATTCAGGACTTGCCTATACGAACGACAGGTCTCCATCTCAAAGCTTCCAACAAGAACGCGTGCAACTGAGGAAGCGAGCTTGAGTCTTTAAATGCCGGTGCTATCCCGAAAAAATTAGTCGAGAAATCAAAGATTTAATACCCTTTAGCATTACCTCTGTCTGACCCGATGACCATATCGAGTTCTTCATGCACCTTCGCCTGAGCCAGTGGGTGGCACGCCGCAGCCATGATAGCAGCGGTAATTCCAACAGCGGTCTGAACTAAGCATGAGTAAGTTCATAGAGATAAATAGGTTGCATGACTTGCCGTATCAGATCCCGCTCCAAAGAGCGATCCGGCAAGATAAGACATCTCATCTGTAGAGAGTTGGTGGTCTTCGACGTGTTCCAAGAGCATCTTTGCAAAAGAGGGGCCCCCTTTATTTTGGTCCTGAGTATAAGATATAAGTGCCATACGTTCATCGAATCAAAAAGCCCCTCACCGCTTCACTCTTGACGCGCCCCAGTTGTTGTCTGTATAGCTGTAGTTCATCATGATGCCACTCGGTAAGTTGTTTTCCGTAACCAGGCAAGTAGCGCAAAAAAGGCACACGATCAACGAGATAAGCTCCTGGGCGCATCGCGACCTGGAAATGTTCGAGGATTTTGTGGATATGGATCACTTCAGGATCGGTGTTGGCAGTCGGCGCAGACTTCCCATAAGTTACCCGAAGAATGACTGATATGGCATACCTTGAGGAGCCACGTCTTTGAAAGATTCACAAAAGGTCTTGGTAATGACGTACCGTTCTGTGTGCTCCCGGTGGTTATTTGGGTCATTCAGGATATCCAATATAAAATTCTTCGCATTCTCGCGCTGCATATCTTGGTATGTCTCTGCCGCCTTCGGTTGGAGATGGGTATGTATCACTTTTCGCAGGCGCCGGAAGCGATCTCCCGAACGAGCCATGAGAAGACGCATCCCCCTTGAGAGCATCTCGCCCGCGGCGATAGACCGAGGACGATCTACCAGTGATCCACCTTCTTTCTCCATGATATCCATGGCTGCCTGGTAAAGGGGTCAATGTCAGGTCAATGTCAGAGGAAGCTTGAGGTACGGACGGTCTACCTCAACGCTGCCGATAACAATTATTACTTGGCTACCTTGTCGGAACGATACCACTGGTCCATACTCTCGAACCAAGTCGGTTAGCGCATGAGCGATGCTGGGTGGACGATCCCGATCAGCCTCGAACATCAGGGATGGCATTTCCAAAACTCACTTGACAGCAGGCAGAGCGTTGCTCCAGAACCAACAGGGGGGAGGTCCAGGTGGAAGTGGAATGCCGTTCCTCCTACCCGCTAACGAGAATTTCCTGTACAACATAGTGAGTACCCCTACGGCTGCGACAACACCGACAACATAGTCGGCTTTCATGGCGAGGGTTTCTAGCATCATGATGTTGAGTGGGCTAATAAGATAGGAGTGTAAATTCAGTGTCTTATATACACCTGGCGCTCAGCCGGTCACTAATCTGGTATGCAAGATACATCGCTTCTGCCGCACGGCGTAACGGCTCTAAGAAGGCAATCGAGATCCCCTAGTGTTAATGCAATTACTGATCACTCCCCGGCATGGTGGGTTGTTCGGCAAGGACAAATGTGGTCTGCGTACCTCATGAGGGGACGGGACGGGAGAGAAGTAGCACGGGGCTAGCTGTGCGAAAAAAAAATGATATCAGTAATGCAATATTGAATCGGCTGTCTCTACAACAAGAATCAGCTGATTGCGGATAAGTGGGAAGCGTAATCAGACGAGATGACCAAACCAATCCTGGCAATTGCGTCCATTAACAGCCATTAAGATATTGACATGACAAACACAGATTTGATGTGTGCGAGGAAATCGGGCTTGATTCACCAGAAGAAGTGTAAGATGTCACCTGTAGAGGGTAATGCTTTTGACTCGTTGTTCTTTCCATGTGCAATTCCAGGAGGGTGGGAAGCTGACCTTGGGCAATACAGTACATAGTCCTAACCTCCTAGGTAGTCCGTTGATCAACCCCGGTGTGCGTTCCGAACTTCCAAAGGGGGTTAGGCAGTTGAGAGAAGTCGTGAATAAGTCTGAGTAGAAAAGCTGCCAATTAGTAATAACTCCAAATATATCATGTACATCATGGGCTCTTACAACAATTGCGCCCTGTTAAACAGCGCGGGCCAAGGTGGCGGGCGTGCCCACCCTCGCTCTTCCGTCTGGGTTTTTCTCCCCCTGTATGTTCTATCCACATCCGGGCGCTCCAAATTGCACCAAGAAACGACTTCCGAGACATGATCCAATGATTTGTATGGTATCCTGGGAGTGGTATCCTGGGAGTATTCTCTGGCATCAAGGAAGCTTTGCGGAGTAGTGCGCAGTTTGCTTCGACAGTCTTGCTGAAATAGACACCAGGGTACGAGGTCGGCAATACATGGATTATTGGATGGACAGACTAAGTAAGCACGCACATTTTGGTTCATATGAACTTGAAATACCAGTTTCATATCACATACATAAATGAAACAACCAACACTGTCAACATCGGTATCCATATTGATCATAGCTGATAGTATAAGGCCGCTCAACAGTGCACGATACTAGCAATCGATCGATGTTAGTGCGGAAATATTCGGGAGTAAATCAGCCAGCAAATTTTTACAGTAGTGGTCAAATATGGAACTAATTTGTCCTGATCGCAAGTTTGCTCGCTCTTGGAGTTAGCGACGATCGTTGAACGAGCGCTCGTCAAATGAATCGAAATATTTGTTTGGTCTACTACTTGTGCTGCGGTCCTTGATTTGATTGAGCGTAGTACTAGTACTTACGTGTGCAAAACGAGAGTCTAGAGAGGAAATGAAACGCGCCGCACGTGACCGCGCAACACTTTAACCTCTAGTATTAAGCATCACACAGATTTCACTAAGTTTGTAACCACTGTGACCAGAGCGCTGAGCGCTCATTACAAACCTTGACCACTCTTGAGGTTGTTGTTGTTTCCCGGGCGGTGCGCCCAGGCTATTCACTTCCCAGCAAAATCAGGTGAGTTTAGCAGCAGTAGTACTATTATGGCTTATCGTCCGCAGTAGTGTAGTCACAGGATACCACATTCTCTGAGATGGTGTCGCGACCACAGATTTAAATTCCCCCCGAGCGCTAACAGGATCGTAGTTGCAGTCCCTCACGCTCAGTACACTTTCTTCGTGGGCGTACATATCAGCCTCGTAGCATTCACCGCCCTGTTCCTACCTCAAACGTCTCGCTTACTCTGGCCAGCCGAACTAACGCTCACAGATCGACACAAATCCCACTTTCTGCATGCCCTGACAGACAGTCCTGTCATAACCTTCGTTTGCATTGTCGCAGGCCTCATGGTCCTCCAATTATGGTGGGCGGGGTGGATTAGGCAGTGGTGTTTACGTTTCGAGTAAGTATACTTCTCGCAGGACTTCCGATGATATCAAGGTGGATGTATATTTTGAACGGGGAACATTCTCGGTACGTCTCCTCGCATGTCTTTCGCACTTCACCATTCTTACCTGTCTCTCAGATATTAGCAGGAGCGGCTGTCGTCACGTTATGTGCAGCGTTAGTTTTCCACGCAATCATAATATTTTTGGCGCTCCTTCTGCCAGGTGATATAATTGACGTATTACACAAGACCTGTGCTAAACGCATGTAGAGTCACCTCCCTCGTACCCTCATGCAGGCGATCGTTCTAACACTACTATCCGCGTTCGAACCCGCCTATGTACTAGATTTCCCCGCCTTTCCTCCGATACTGGGTCTCTGATCAATAGAACTCGTTTGTTCGCTCAGTTTTCATAGGTCAAAATCTCTTACGTTTGACAACTTTGCCTGAAATTGTGCTAGCCCGCGACATTTGATAGAAAGAGCTTTGTTTTACCCGGCTGTCGGCACGCTACCTGGCTCGTGGCTCGGAGCTCTCCCACTCGGGATCAACCCTGGCACGTCTGTTCTGTTCATTATCTAACGAGGGATACGCTCATCATGCAAGCAAACCTAGCCGCTAACGCCTCCCTTTGGAGGGATTGCAGGCTATATAGTCGGGTCTCTCTTAGCGCTTTTCGTGGGCGCATTCGAGTAGCGAGCTGAGGAGAACGGCAGAATGCGACAATCAGAGAAGTCGAAGACCACCTGATGCGCCAATTTCTTCTATCTAAATTGTCATTCTAGATACGTAATCAATCCACTCTTCTGAAGACCAGCCCCTTCTATGCGCAGGAGAAGACTAACAATACTCGCCGCCGATGACGCGAAGATCACCGATAGACTGGGTGACGTAGTTGGGTAACTTACGCACCCATCAGGACAAGGAGCATTGCCTGACCGACGGCTTTCCTGAATAAAATACCAGCTTTCAAGCGATCTCCAACTATTGTCGTGCGTTTTGGATCGAACTTCACCCAGTCAGAAAGGCGCATTGACCAAAAGCACCACAAGCTCAGTGGAAACACTCAGTTGGGTTGAATCCCCGCTATCCTGCTTCTGCACGAAGCGGAGATCGCAACCCATTAACAGTCATATATGATGGTCATGACCCCGCAATGCCACTCGAAATACTCACGCTTTAATATCTCAACTTCATTCTGGAGGGATTGGGACTCGTAAGATTCAAAGCGGTGATAAGGATGCAGGATAGCGGCCCAACGTCTTGGGCCCTATCATTAAATTGTGTAGACCAGATACATGCGTCTGGTGCGTCTGTTACGCCTTTTGCGAACTCCCATGTCTTGACCTGACCTTACTGGTATCCGACTGTTGGAATGTCAGTAATGAAATATGGACCAGGAAACACCGCATGAATGACGTATATGACCAACATAGTATTCACATTGACGTTCACATCCTGGCGGCGATGGCTGCAAGCGCATTATATCCCTGGTGAAGCTAATGGGCTGAATACTCGAACTAGTGATGATGCTGACTTTCGCATGCAGTTCTATCGCATGGAGCTTCAGCAGGTTTCAAGGTCGTAGCGTATCCTACTATTCTACTATCAACGATTTTCTCTCACTCAGCTACTCAGCAGAATGTATTGTACAGTATCCAGTATGCTGATTGACGGCGTGTGGTTCTATCCAGAACCAGACAGAACACAGCTAAGATTACTGATAGACGCCTAGTACCCCCATCTATGGATGCGTTGAAAATGGCACATCTCTTGGGTTCGATCACCGCGCAGTAGGACGCCGTGTATCGTTAACGTGCATTCCATACTCATGACCGTCATAATTCGTGATCACTGTCACGGACGAAGAAAGGCGCCCCGTGACGATCATGCATCCACAGAACAACTTCTATGCCGTTATTGATGAACTGGTTGGTCTATCTGGCGTTGACGAATGCAGATTGCTAACAACGTGCAATGATAGAAAGTGAAGGTCATTGGCGACGATGAGGCCCAGGAGTTTAAGTTGATCGAGTATGAACCGGGGAGCGGCGAATTTGCGTGAGTGGTGATGGTCTTTTGTTTTAACATCGGTAACTGTTATTGAGAACTGGTCGTCTTCTTTGTCTGCAATATCCAGGTGAGTAACGAATCCTTTGTGCGGGTTCTTGATAATAACACGAACAGTCTCATCAGACCTTGTCTGGCTTTGCGTCCGACATTACCGCAGAACCAAGTTGCTTTACCTCCTCTTGAGACCTATTCAGACTATAAGAAGATGTACTGAATGTTCGTGTGGCGGGAATAAGCTGTTCCGGAAGGGAATGGCACCTAGTTGCTCAAGTTGTCTGTCGGTGAACGCTTGTATGATCATCCCACAGCTGTGATGTATGGAAGTTTTTTTTTCCAGTCGCTTGAACGACTGGACACTTGTCCAAATTCAAGCAACCGGAATTACACTTGCCCTCAAGGTGTTCGCGGGTAGATCACTTTGACGGTTGAAGGCTACAGATGCGAACAAAAGGACAACAACTGCAGATTTATCGACCTGGATAATCCGCGCTTTACGGACTCAAGACAGGTATACACACTGAGTAGATATGGCGACGATCACATTCTGGATCCACTCGCTATTGCAATCTGTAGAAAGGTGAGATTTGGATGGAATGACGGGCATGAAAAAACACTCCTGAGCGGCTCATCCGGGATGGGTTAACTCTCAATTCACTGTAGGCGTATCCATCCCGAGTGCGACAGATTACTACAGGACACCTCAGGGGACTACCAGTGATGCAAGTTTGGGTCCTGGGATAAGTCCTGTAGATCACAATTGAGTAATATGCAATGCGTGCGTAGAAATCTTGCAACATACGAGTGGTCGACTTCCAGCCGCACCGCACACGGCCGAACGAAGTTGTTGTACATATCGTTGAGCCGTCGCTCTCGATAGTGCGGGAGGTTGTTGTCTGTGGGGAAGTGATAGCGGCCACCACATAAAGTGGGACACGCGGGAATTGGAGCTACTAGTTCGTCATGTTGTATTTCGTTACTCGTAGAGTCTGGAGATCATCACCTATAGCCAAGCCAGCATGTAAACTGATATTGTACAATGTGTAGTCTCAGCGTGATCGTGTTCTATCACGATGTTAAGCTTACCAGGTTCACAAATCATCAACTGAGGAATGTTTAGTAGATCAAGCCTCTACTAAACGAATTCACTAAGTCCAGTGACAAAGTACTATGCACTCCCGATCGAAGTCCATCAAGCACGCCTGCGCATGCTCTCCTAAATGTGGTCAAGATTAAGAGGCCGAAAAACGGGCTTGTCTAGTTCCCATACAGTTAGCGATTGCAGGCGTTGGCGCTGACCGGTCGTAATCATCAGCATTGACGGACGCACCACTGAAAGAACTTCATTCCCAATGCTAAGGAATGCAGCGGGAGCATCTACGTGCGAAGGGAAGCAAGCATAGAAACCACAGGATGGAGGTAAAATAAAGAGGGTGCTATGGCTCATTGATGCAGAGTTCCGAATAGGACTACGAGTGCAAAGATGAAGATCCAACAAGATACCTACAAAAGTTGTTAGCATAATTGACCGAATGCGAGGTGCAACGTACACAGAACACGGGGTCAATCGTCCGGTGTTTGCTACCAAGACGATAATAGGCAAAGAACCACCAAGAAGCAAGGCACTTGTTCTGAAGTAAAAAAGGACGGTTAGTGGCAACAGGATCATCCGTCTTTCTGTGGGTGAACGTTAGTGCCATACGGCCCTGATTCTTAGATTCGTAACTAGCCCATCTATTTATGAGGCAAGCCGTCAATAGACGGGCTGGTCACGAGTCTACCTGATTCTGGGGAAAGAAAATCAATGAATGTTTCGCCATTTTTGAGTGGCTTAATACAGTCCACGACCGCCGTATCGTTAGCCAGTGGCCGAACATCACACATGCAGTCGACGTGGATGGAGTCCATGTGCCGTGGGACGAATAAACCACCCGAATTATCCCTGCCAAAATATTAAAAGATATCACCGCGAGATCGTCAAAGATGCCTCGAAATAGATGTTTCATGCTCTCGATTAGCTTGAGCTCCCTTTTGGCTACTTCGCAACGGCTTGCGAATCGGGGTGACAAACTGCGGATTGGTGAGTTATGTCAAGAAAGGACCGTCAAAAATCAGTAAAATTGATAATGATTCCACTGTTGTCGGCGGGTAGGAGTAGTGACATGAACACGAAGTGCCGCAGGGGGATACAACGGTGCCCCGAATGATTGTAGAATATATTTTCCATAGAAGTAGGGGTGTTCTGCTGGGGAGGTATAAGCCAGATAGGTCGAGGAGAAGACCAGCGATGTTCGATGGTATCGGTGTATCGCAACTTACGATCACACGATCGAACATCACTGATCTTCTCATATCAAGTGTGCTGAAACGATCCTAAATCATTATTATTGACCACCAACTCCTTGAAAGACGTTGATCAATGTACGCCACATTGATGACGGATTGAGGGGAGTTACATACCATGCCAAAGACCATATCACCCCCATTACCAAAACTTCAGAAGGATGATGATAAAATGAGACTATGTATGGCTGACAATATTAATGGCGATGTACATGCGATGACAACGGGGCGCAGGCTTCTCCCGTAGACGTAGTTCACGAATGAATAAGGAGGTGCCCTGTGAGAGGAATCTGCGAGCGGCTGGTCGTCACTGGTCAGTCAGCATCATTCTGATACTAAAATTCCGTTCCGAGACTGAGTTTTGAAAAAACGGAAGGAGACAAGCTGATTAGTCCTTGTTGCGAACTGGCATCGACCTTGCTTCACAGGGCGATATTTTGTTCCATGCCAAATTGCCAAAAGACCTTGCTTCACAAGGTAGACCTTAGGAGATCTTAGGTGGCAACCTGCTGGCATGCGGATATCATCTGTTCGAAAGGGGATTTCAGGTGGATATATTCTTCCTACATCACCATAAAAGAATGGTAGAGTTCTGCCCACAACACTAGGCCCGGTACATCAGTAATACCATTGCTCTCCTACCTGAGCATCTAAAGTGAATATCTGTGAATTCCGACGCGTCAGAGATTACTCACATGTGGTAGAAATCTGTTGGCGTTGCAGATATCATCTATTCGAAACGGGATTTCAGGTGGGTAGGTTCTTCCTACATCACCATATTCAGCACATGAAAGCAAAGCGTCTTCCTACTGCCCCCTTCAGATTTGTTTGACCCCAGATCACGTCCTCATAAACAATGCGTTTATTCTTTGTCCTCGCCGTTACTGCTGCTTTGACTACATCCATATCTGCCAGTGACCCTGACAGTGATCTCAGCGGCTGTCCTATCGTTTGCACGAATGCAAAACAGTGCGCGAGCTGCGTTCCGGGGCGTTATAAATGCGTGAGTATGAGTAATTTTCGTCCTGGATTTAACCACACGACTCACCGGCGTGGTAGGCCCTCTTTACATGTGAATGAGTGGGTGGCATGTCGCGACAGTGAACTACAGTGAGTCGTGTTTCTGGCACGACACATGAGCTACTAGTAGTTTTTTGCTGAGTTGATTAACGTGTTTGCTTCTGAACAAATTTTACTGTTGCTCGAGCAATGGAGATCTTGGAATAGAGGAAGAGGAAATCTCAAACACTTGAATACATAGAATATGACTGAAGTACTTACGACGCAGTTTTGTAGTCTCGTTGTAAGCTTGAACACTCGCTTTTAAATGGCGCATTTGTTACTGAATAGCGTTCAGCTAATTCGCAAGCTTTATTGCAAGCTTTGGTGCAGTGGATGTGCTATCATCGTGCGTTTCGGATAGATTTCACCCTGTTAGAGAGCAAATTAACGCAACGCACTGAAAGTTCAGAGGAAACACTTACTTGGCTTGAATACAATCCAACATCGTCTTTGCAGGTTCTCCGATACTTATCAAATCTGTCTCCAGCGCAAAGCGCAATGGGGCGCTGATGGCTCCAGCTCCAGGCTGGAAAATATCCGCGCTCGGGAATGTGCTCTCTCCATTGCCAGTAACCAGAAACTGGCAGCCGGTTCGTGTGAGGTATTGGAATGCTTCTGATAGCTTGGTATAATTTACTACGCTGAGGTCTAAGCCACAAAATACTGCTTGCCATTGGACGTCTGGGTCGAGTGAGAAATTTGATAGTGAGAATGGTTCAAGGGTGCAGTCTCCTGTGTCCTGAACTCGTGCATGAGTGCATTGTGGGTATCATATGCCGCAGACTCGGAGTGTCTGCGTATCACTGTTCCGCCAAGTACTGTTCATCCCTTTTATATTTTACATAATACACCATTGACAACCTCTTCAGATTAAGACTCAGCCATGTTCCCCAACTTACTAGATGAATCCTCCTCGGAAGAAGCTCTTGGGGTGGCTGAGGCGAAGCCGTGGACAGGGGAGCCAGTGAAATCGAGGTATTACCCGTTGTACTTACAATGTCGATGTCTCTTCCGCCTTCGAAGAACGGATCTCGCAGTGGACTCTCCATGTTAGTTCCCAAAATTTTGGGCAAGATGTTCAATCGTTCCACTTGAAACGTTCGACAGCCTCCAAACACTGAACCTGCAGCTGCAAGTTCCAGTGCACAGGATTTGCTACCCGTTCAGACAACCTAGGTATATGCCATTCTTGACATGGTTCATGATTGCTACTAAATGCCGCAGGGTCCTTCACCATTCACTGCTCACACTACCGAACCAAAACCCGACCAGCCTTCCAATTCAAGCAATGGAAAGATAAAACTGTTGTATTTGGAAACGCTCTTGTCTCTACTAAGTTCTGTCATCAGGCCGAACAACTTGACCCAAGATTGGTCAATGAAAGAATCGCCGATGCCACCAAAGGTGTGGCAGGCATCAAAGATGTCTCAGGAATGGTCAAAAATACTACTTCAGGAACCAACAACCTACAATTCATTCCTGATACGATCGACACGTTCAAGTTCTCCGCGATTCTTGGACCCTTGAAGGCGTTCAACTCCGTTGCTAACGGGCTTGCAGATGTAAGGGCATCTATATTGATTTTATACGCGACTAATCTCCGTGGATAGGTCCATCCTTATGCAAATGTGGCATTGATTATATTTACCTGCGCGTCTAAGGTGCGCTCGTTTCCGTATCCTCACCTTCACATTACTAAGAATGGCTGGTGGCGGATGATTCTCGATCAGGCAGACCGCGATAATGATGTCTCTCATTTGCTCCCGAAGATGTCTGAAGTCTATCCTTTCATCGCGGAAGAGGAGGCGTTGGGCAACATTCCATCCATGCCAGCAATATATGGGAAGGGAGCGAGACAAACGCTAGAGTACGCCGATTTCATCGCTCATAACTCTGAGACTGTGAGATCCTACTACTGCGCCAACGAAGAGATAACGAGGAGTGAGGATCAAGTTGCCGTCAACATCACGTGGAACAGAACATCTCAGTAAGAGTCCTTTCGGTGTGAATATCGTGAGGGTGTTCTTTGTTTGCTCAGAGATCCTGGATTGCAGGAACTGTGTCACTTCCTCGTGATAATAGGGTACATGAAACTCGAATCATTCCTTCTTGTGAACCGCGGCAGGCTTCATTTGGCTTCATCTTTTGTGCCTATAAATACAGCTCAAGCGAGCATAATGACTTGCTCTTCCAGCGGTGGTTCCGCATACCCTTGAGCTTTCAGCTTTCCAAGGTTTAACGCGAACGTTCAACCATATCCATCCATCTTCCAACGACGCACTCTTTCCTACGATATGACACACACACTAAGTGCACTGGGGTTTCTGCTCCTTTTATATCTGGACCTAGTTTCTGCACACCACGTTTCTCGAAGCTGCGATCCCCATAGCAGTGGGTCTGGCAATAACTCCACCGGCCAGCCGTTGTCCGGCGTCAGTGCTGGGGGTGGTGCGCCTCCCGCCAACAGTACCGACACTAGCTTCTCGTCGTGTTTCCCGTCTGCAGATTTCAAGATGCCGTCTAGTATTCCCAGCTCGACCGATAATTGGTGGTGTTCACCAGATACCGAGTATGCATTCCTTGGATTCAGTTATGAGGTCACTGCTTGTGCGATCATCCTTCCTCCTGAGATCCATGAACTGATGTAACTTCAGGCCAATCTGCAAGCAAGCTTAAGAGTGACTTTGCTGACATCAAGAACACCTTTGGATCGAGATATGTCCGCCTTTATGGTGCTTGCGACAGTGACGGTTTCTAGTACTTTATTTTCAGTTTTGGTGATTCTCGAACTGACCGGTTTTTTCTCAGCGATGATATCGTTGACGCTGCATGGGAAGCAGGTCTAGGCGTTCACGCTCTGATCTGGGTAAGACTTTTCAAATTGAACTGGTGGTCGTCATTGTAACAGCTTTGTGGCTCATAGTTCGGATTCGATGGAGGCGATCAGTGGATGGCTCGCCGTGACTCGCTGGTTTATTCGCTTACTAGCAACCCCAAGGCCAAGTTCGTCACTCGGGGTGTTCAATTTGGTTCTGAGCCACTGTTCGATAACGTACTGCCGCATTCAGAGCTCGCATCCCAGGTCTCGTCTTTGAAATCCACGCTCCTTGGCGTCGGCATCCCTGTTACTGTCAGCGAACTTGCATATGGATACCAGGAGCGTGGCGGGGCTCAAGATGTCCTCGATGCTATCGACTTTATCAATGTCCACATGCTTCCTTTTTTCTCGACTAATGCAACCAATGGTTCTGCTGCATGGCCGCTCGTTGAAACTGACATGAACTGGTTTATTCAACATGGTGATGGCAAGAAGATGTATTTTGACGAGGTGTGTCTGTCATAGTCGGATGCGTTTATTTTTATGTGCTAAGGCTCCCTACTTCACAGAACGGCTGGCCCTCCGTTACTTCACCTAACGTTCAGCCAAATAGCGCTCTTGCTGAGGCCTCAGTGCCTAGCGAGAAGGTCGGTTGAAGCATGAGATTTGATGTCTTCGCTAGTCTGATGAACTTGATGCAGGGCTACTTCACTATGCTTGATAGGCATTGCAAAGATCTGAAACAGGGCCCTCAAGGTGGTATCGGTTGGTTCGCTCATATCTACAGCGACAACCAGGAGCCTGGTTACGGCATCTACAACACGACAGGGCAAAAGAAATTTTTCAACGCCAACCCCAAGGGGTGAGCAGGACAAAGATTCAGAGATCCTAACACGGACGTTCACATACCTTTACCATGTTTGTTCGGTTCTGGGGAACTTTTGTCTAACTTGATATAGTCTATATGACCTCTTGGGAAGATATGCTTGTGCCACACAACCGAACGAAATTGATGTGCATATCGTTGATTCGTTGCTCTCGGTAGTACAGGAAAGTGATAGCCGCCACTACATAGATTGTGGGGAATTAGAACTACCAGCTCATCATGTTGTATTTCGTTACTTGAAGTTACGCGTAGAGTCTGGAGATAATCACCAGCTATAGCCAAGCCAGCATGCAAACTGATGCTGTACAATTTGCAGTCCTTGCGTGATTGTGTTCTATCACGACGTTAGGCTTACCAGGTTCGCTCACCGAGTAATTTGTAGATCAAGTGGTGACTACCCCCCTTCACCAAACAAAGCAGTATCCATCCCTGAATGAATTCGCTAAGTCCAGTGACAAGGTATGCACTCCTAATCGAAGTCCACCAAGCACGCCCGTCGCCAGCGCATGCTCTCCCAGATGTGGTCAAGATTGAGAAGCCGAAAAACGAACCTGTCTAGTTCCCAAACAGTTAGCGAACCACCAGCACTGAAAGAACCTCATTCCCCGAATGGAGCGGAAGCATGTACGTCTCAGGGAAAGCAAGCGTAGAAACAGGATGGAGGTAAAATAAAGAGGGTGCTATGGCTCATTGATGCAGAATTCCGAACAAGACCAACGAGCGCGAAGTTGAAGACGCAACGAGATATCTACAAAAGTCGTTAGCGTAATTGACTGAATACGAGGTGCTAACATACCCAGAAGACAGGGTCAATCGTCTGGCGTTTGCTACGAAAACGATCATAAGCAGAAAAACGCCGAGAAGTGAGGTTCTTGCTCTGAGATCGCACAAAAAGGTCCGTCAGTAGCAACAGTATCATCCGTCTTTCCGGGGGTGAACGTTAGTGCCTGATTCTGGGGAAAGATAATCACCGATGGTTCGCCATTCTGAAATGACTTGATACAGTCCAGGACAGTCGTATCGCTAGCCAGTGGCCGAACAACATCGGAAGGTTCGGGAAAACCTGCAGCCGACATGGATGAAGTCCATGTGCCTCCAGATTCTAGAAAGAAATATATATATACACTTGCCAAAATATTGAATGACTTATCGTCAAGACTCAAGGATACCTCAAAATAGATGGTTCTCGTTGTATATTAGCTTGGGCTCCCTTTCGGCTTCTTCGTAACGTTTTGCGAATCCGGGTGTGTCATGTCAAAAAACGACCGTCAAAGGCAGCAAAGTTGATGACGATTTAACCGGTATCGACAGGTGGGAGCAGCGACGACGTGAATGCGAAGTGCCACAAAGGTACTCCGAATATTTGATTGTGGAATACCTTTTCCAGTAGAAGTAGATGTGTTCTGCTGGGGATGCATAAGCCAGATAGCTTGACGAAAAGACCGGAGATGTTCGATGGTATAGTTGTATCACAACGTACAACATACGATAGAACATCACTGATCTTCTCATACCAAGTGTACTGAAGCAATCATAAACCATGTTCATCGAGGGCCAACTCCTTGAAAGACGCGATCTGCCAATGCAAGCTCTCGGGCATGGATCAGCGCAGAATGATCTAATCACCTACAGTCCCAGAAAATGATGATCAATATGTGCCACGTTGATGACGGATTGGGGGAGTTACATACTATGCCAAAGACTCAGTCACCAAAACTTGAGAAGGATGGTGATCAGCATGTTAGAATGAGATTGTGTATGACTGACAATATTAATGGCGACGTCATGCGATGGCAATGGGGCGCAGGCTTCTGCCGTAGACGCGGTTCACGAATACATCAGAAGGTGCTCCTGCAAGGTTATAGCATCAGCGTTCTGTACACCCCTTCAGCTGCGTCGGCTGCGAACGCGCCTGTTGGAGGAACTCGTCTTGCGTTAGTTGTCATATTGGAGAGTGAGTCCCAGTTGAAATGACCTTCAAGCAGAACGAGATGTAGCAGTACTTAGTTCGTACACTGCGTCAGGAACTCCAGACTGAAGCATTGTATGAAGAAGTGATGCTTGGTGAATGGTTAATATTGGAGTTTGATTGAACAGGGGGAGAATAAGTAAGTACTGATACAAGGTGCAGCGGTCGAGGGGGACGCCGTGCACTTCCAGTCGTGGCAAGACCTGATATAGTAGTGCACCATGCTCGGGTGGGATGACGAAGAGAAGGCTGAGGCAGGTCATGGCAGGGATATGGAGCTGGATGAGAAGTTGTGGAGGAAGAAATTGGTGTATGTCGAAAAAACGATACTTAATTAATTAATGGATAGTTAATACTTACTGGACTCTGGAGGGTAAGGGAGGAATTTCGCGTACGTCCAAGAAACGATACCTAATGGGTGGAGGGTAACTGGTATAAGGTTGAGGTATCCTCCAATTGGGCCTTGAATCGTTCGACTAACGCTGAGAAGGTCGATGGGCGTCGCTGTACATCGTTGGCGCTGTATTCAAGGCAATAAATGTTCACGTTGGACGACATCTTCAACGTCGGCGCGTCACGAACCAAACATGCACAAATAAAGGCGGGCGCAAGCAACGACATCAAACTTTGCAAATGATCAATGACGAGTCGGCCCCATTATTTAAATGTGTTTTGTGCACATGTGCAGATACGCGGAAGAACAAGCATTTACCCTGCGTGCTATCCGCTACCCTCCTCGTATTTTTACACCATTGGAAACCTCTTTAGAGACTCGGCCGTATTCTCAAACTTACTAGGTGAACCCTCCTCGGAAGAAGCTCTTGGGGTGGCTGGGGCGCAATTGACAGTGGAGAGGGGAGCCAGTGAAACCCAGGTACCTAACATTGTACTTACATCGACTGATTGTGTGCTGGGTTGGCTCCCGAATGCTTTGCCAAGGCGACTAACCGTTCCGCTCGAAACGCCCGACAGTCTCCAAACCCGGAACCCGCGTCTGCAAGTTTTAGCGCACAGGATCTCATACCCGCTCAGATAGCCCAGGTGTGTACAACTCTATGTTCCATGATTGCCACTAACTGCCGCCAGGATCCCCCACCACCTGCCGCTTCCACTCCCGAACCGAATCCTGACCACTCTTCCAATTCAGTCATTGTAGAGGTAAGTTCGACCATCGTACATTCTTATCTCTCTCTTTTTATAATGTACTACCTTCCGTCACCAGCCCTAACAACTCGGCCAGAAGTTCTTGAATGAAAGAATCGCCGATGCCACCAAATGTGTAGCAGGCACCAAAAATGTCTCAGGAATGATCGAAAATACTGCTTCAGCAATCAACAACCTACAGTCCATTCTTGATGCGATTGTCACGTTCTCCGCGACTCTTGGACCCTTGAAGGCATTCAACTTTGTCGCTACCGAGCTCGCAGATACTAAGGGCGTCTATATCTATTTTGTACATGGCTGATCTTCGGGGATAAGTAGGTTCATCTTTATGCAAAGGTGACATAAGTATATTTACCTGCGCATCTAAGGTGCGCCTCCGTATCCTCACCTTTTTGTACGTCACTGATCTTCGGGGATAAGTAGGTCCATCCTTATGCCAAGGTGGCATCGAGTATATTTACCTGCGTATCTATGTAAGGTGCGCTTGTTTCCATATCCTCACCTTTACAGGTTACTAACAATGTTTGGTGGCAGATGCATTCTAGATGACGCGACAATCGCTGGAGTGCGCTGATTTCATTACTCATTACTCTGAGATAACGAGCGCCTGTGAGTCGATCCCACTACTGCACCAACGAAGAAATAACGAGTGAGGGTTAAGTTGCCGTCAACATTACGTGGCACCGAATATCTCGGTAAGAAGTCTGGGGTTCTTCAGGTATGAATGTCGTGAGGGTATTCTTTGTTCGCTCAGCGGCAAGTCACCTCCGAGCGATAACATCAAACAAGGTACATGAAAGTCGAACCACTCATTCTTGTCAAGGTTGAACGTGAGCCTCACGTTCAACCATACCCATACATCTTTCAACGACGCACTCTTTACTACAATATGGCACACACGCCAAGTGCACTGGGGTTTCTGCTCCTTTTGTATCTGAACCTAGTTTCTGCAGGTAGACCCACTGGCCAGCTATTTTCCAGCCCCGACACCACGTGTTTCCCGTCTGCAGGTTTCAAGATGCCGTCTAGTATTCCCAGCTCGACCGATAATTGGTGGTGTTCGCCAGATACCGAGTATGCATTCCTTGGATTCAGTTATGAGGTCACTGCTTGTGCGATCATCCTTCCTCCTGAGATCCATGAACTGATGTAACTTCAGGCCAATCTGCAAGCAAGCTCAAGAGTGACTTCGCTGACATGAAGAACACCTTTGGATCGAGATATGTCCGCCTTTATGGCGCTTGCGACAGCAACGATTTCTAGTACTTCATTCTCAGTTCTAATGGTTCTCGAGCTGACCGGTTTTTTCTCAGTGATGATATCGTTGACGCTGCATGGGATGCAGGTCTAGGCGTTCACGCTCTGATCTGGGTAAGACTTTTCAAATTGAACTGATGGTCGTCATTGTAACAGCTTTGTGGCTCATAGTTCGGATTCAATGGAGGCAATCAGTGGATGGCTCGCCGTGACTCGCTGGTTTATTCGCTTACTAGCAACCCCAAGGCCAAGTTCGTCACTCGGGGTGTTCAATTTGGTTCTGAGCCACTGTTCGATAACGTACTGCCGCATTCAGAGCTCGCATCCCAGGTCTCGTCTTTGAAATCCTCGCTCCTTAGCGTCGGCATCCCTGTTACTGTCAGCGAACTTGCATATGGATACCAGGAGCGTGGCGGGGCTCAAGATGTCCTCGATGCTATCGACTTTATCAATGTCCACATGCTTCCTTTTTTCTCAGTCAACGCAACTAATGGTTATTCTGCATGGCCGCTCGTTGAAACTGACATGAACTGGTTTATTCAACATGGCGGTGGCAAGAAGATGTATTTTGACGAGGTATGTCTGTCATAGTTGGATACATTTATTTTTGTGCTAAGGCTCCCTACTTCACAGAACGGCTGGCCCTCCGTTACTTCACCTAGCGTTCAGCCTAATAGCGTTAATGCTCTGGCCTCAGTGCCTAGCGAGCAGGTCAGTCGAAGCATGAGATTCTATTGTCTTCGCTAGTCTGATGACCCCGACGCAGGGCTACTTTACTGTGCTTGATAGGCATTGCGAAGATCTGAAACAGGGCCCTCAAGGTGGTATCGGTTGGTTCGCTCATATCTACAGCGACAGCCAGGAGGTTGGTTACGGCATCTACAATACGGCGGGGCAGAGGAAATTCGCCTTCAACCCTCGTACGTGTTGCTAGACTAAGTGAGTATTCCCTCACCTCAGACATTTGGACATCCGTTTATACATCTATGTCTTTTGCTATATGGTACAGAGCAAGGGGTGAGCGAAACAAAAAATTCAACATCGACCCCAAGGGGTGAGCAGGATAAAAATTCCGGAATCCTAACACGAACGTTCACCTACCTTGTTATATGACTTTTTGTCTAACTTGACGTAGTATGCGTATACTTATCTGAACATGACCTCTTGGGAAGATAAGCTTGTATAGGACTTACCTGTCTGCGCATGCGTAGAATTTGGTGCTAAAATGCCAAAGAGGTTTTAGCGCTTTCCTGCTTTGGGTATCGTCTTCCTTCATCACGTCAGTAATAGCGTTGATAATAATTCCTCAGAGGGCTCATTAGAATAAAGGTCTTACACTGCTATCCCGATGTTTGTCGTGCTATGGGGTAGACACGATATTTACTACCACATCCGACATGTCCACGTCCCTATCATTTCTGGAATTTCGACTGATTCTGAAACGCGACATCCAGGTCTTCATGGGAACAGACGCATAAAAAATGCAGCTATCTATGCATGTTTCGACGATGGGTGCGTTTCTTCACCTCTGCTTACTCCCTCTAACAAAACGCCATGATCATCTTTAGGCTCGTGACCAGCCTGGCTTGTACTACATTGGATGAATCCTCAATATCTCAAAGAGCGCGTGTAGGCAGAATGGTTACGAGTCTAGATCATCTTTCCATACATAGATATGCTGATCTATTGTATTTCGGTTTCATTTTCAGCAATACAACGGTTCTGACATGTGTTTCGCCACGAAAGCCATAGAATAAGTACTAGGTCCAAGGCTCCAAGTACGATCGCTCCTTCTCATTGGCGCGCCAGCTCAACACGTACGACTTTCGCTCTGGCGCTGAACCGCACGCCGAATATCTGTACAGTTTCATTGCTGATACATGGTCAGATGCCTGCAAGCAAAAGTTTTCTAGGTGAGTACCTGGGAAATCATGTGGATAATGAACTAGACACGAGCTAAATATCCTGCACAGCATAACTTACACCAGCAATATCCTGGCTCGCTGGTTTGGCTCGATGTATTCGACGATAGTCCTCTGCATCCAGTGCCCCCACGTAACCAAACACGTGCGACAGGCGTGCAAATCCAGGTGACATTCAGTGACATTCAGGTTCAATGATAAAGTTCCGCATGTTGCAAAGATATTAATCAGCGCTTGCGGATGAATCAGCCTTGCTTTCAAGTTACTTACTCGATGAACTGAGACATTCTCCTCGACAATAGCACCGGGAGTGGCTGAGACGAAGTCACTCAGGTCATCGTCTGGCAGAGAAGAACACTATCCAGGAAGAACGTCCATCCTCTGGTCGCATTGTGAAGATAGGTTCGAGCAAAGGAGTCCCGAAGGATTTTTTTCTCTATTTTGATAATGTACTAATGTCCATCATCAGGTCGGAATCACTCGAAGTGATATTCGTGAATCAAATAATCGTGGATGCTGCTAATAGTATCACATGCACCAGCCCGCTCCCAAAAATCGCTCACAGCGCTCAAATATTGTACGATGTGACCGGGATGTTGTCCGCAATTTTCAGCCCCCCTCAGGCGTTTAACTGTCACCGACAGAATTACAGATGTACAGGTGTTCATCTCGATTCCACACGCGAAGCCCCCCCCGAAAAAAAAGAAACAAAAGAAAAAGAGTTCAAATCTGTCACCGACCGAATTGAAGATGGAATTTATCTCGATTTCATGTGGCTAAGCGCCATGCACACACAGGTCCATCCCTATGCGAACGACGCCTCGAGTATCTTAATTTCCGTACCTTGATGACAGAAGAAGGGTGTACGATGCGGAAAGCACCGAGACATTAAGTGCTTCTCACGGAGAGCACAAACTCTGTTCAGTTCGTCCCAACCTCGCCGGATGGAAACCAGATGACAACGCCCTTCAGGTGTCAGGCCTGAAGTTTCTCAACCACCGACGCTTCAAAGTACGTTCTCACCAGCGCGACTCATGCTCCTTACTTTGCCTCCACCCCTTCGCAATTAATTCGTATATGGCACGCTATGGCACATATGTCTGGAGCTGGATGCTGTGCCGTATATGTCACGACTTGGGCGGATACATAACATAACCAATCGAAGTACGACTTGAATTGCAAATTATACATTGTGTACAATACAAGGTCGTGTTATTCCTGGATCGAAATCGTTTACTCCTACTTGTTCGATGTTGTTGAAGGGAAAAACTTGTTGTCCTAGAGTCGTGTGTTGAGAATACCGAAATGGAAAATAGACGACACGACGGGAGAAAGTTCCTAGTCCATACCTCGGCTGCAGAACTTAGTGGAAGGTCTAGGCAGTGGCAAACGAGGTCAAAGATAGTAAAGACGCGCTTGCTCACTGACGGAATCGTTCGAAAACAAAGATAGGTGATATTTTCAGAGTTGTAGTTACTCCTGCTCGCGAACGAGACCAAGGCTCGAGGTCCAAAGTCGTTTCTGGTGGAGCTGGCACTGAGAGATCTGGGGAACTCGTACATCTCTCCCTATGATGGTTGGAAGGGGGAGGCTGCACCATCGGAGTGGTAGAACATGGCGTCTTCAGGGTGATGGAAAGGGTAGCTGGGATGGGGCGTGACGCAGCCGACACCAATACCTGCACCACCAGGAGGGAGGCTGCATCCTGGGACATACTCCCGCCATGATCAAGAGGGTGACTGCGGGATCTTGTTCTGCGAGAGGAGCGTTCCGCCGCCGAATGACAGATCGAGGTCAAATTTCCAGTGAGTCGAATATATTTGATCATCGGCGACGGCGTTGCAGAAGAGGAGCATCCTGAGGGGTGCACTCGTGGCAGCGCCCGGTGGTGAATAAGGAAACTATTGAACCCGACTTGATTTGTCCAACTGAAGTTTTATGTGATTAGTGACATGGCAAAAGACGACTCACGCGGTCGCGATCGCCATTAATATTCCAGTATCACTGGCTGTCGGGGTTCCAGTCGTGGTAGGACTGGATGTAGTATTTTGTACACTGCTGATGGGAAATGAAGAAGAGGAGTCGGAAGTTGGGGACCATGTGGTGTATGACGAAGATTCATCGAAGAATAGATGAACAGAGGGTGATCTTTGAGAACCAAGCATGTACAAATAAAGGCGGGTACTTGATCATGGTTGGCGCAACGGTTACTTACTGGTCGGCTGGGCATGGCGGTGAATGAGCTTCATCCTTTCAAGTCTGCGACTTGTGAAGTTTGAACACCAGTGCTTCTGATTACAACCACCAACGGGCTGCAGGGCTGTCTTCGACCATACTAATCGATGAACTAATAGTTCGGCCCAATGATTGTGATGCATTAATGATAATGAGTGCTTCCAAACACGTTATGTAAATATCATCTGCTGGCAGGCGCTTGTCAATCTTGTATCCCATCCACCATCCTCCTCGTCCCTTTTGCGCCTAGAGACCTCGTTGATCTTAGCCGTGCTTTCTTGATGAAGAAACAGCTCTCGCGATTGCTGGGGCGAAGCCACTCAAACCCTCATTTGCGAGTGGAGCCTGAGAGCGGACCCGGGGAAGTTGGGGTATTGAACATTGCACTTACATCTATTTGGTTGTGTGTAATGATGTCGTTCTAGGTCTCCTCTCTCCAGCCTTCCGCGGATGATTCTTGCAGAAAACCTCCAGGGTCTGTTCGCAAGTTCCTGGGCAAGGTGACCAATCGTTCCACTCGAAGCGCTCAACAGCCTCCAAACATCGAACCCGCGGCTGCAAGTCTCAGCGCACAGGATCTCCTGCCTCCTCATGCAACCCAGGTATGTGTAACTTCTGACATATTTCATGATTGCTACTGACTGCTGCAGGATCCTTCACTACGCACCGCTGCCACTCCCACTCCCGAATCAAATCTTGACCAGTCTTCTAATCCAGGCATTGCAAAGGTAAGTTCCACCATCAATATTGTTGTCTATCCCTTTCGACGCTGTACTAATGTCCATATTCAGAAACAACTTAACCCGAACTTTGAGAATGAAAGAATCGACGATTCCAGCTTACAGAATCTCCTACCCACTCAGACAACTCAGGTAGACGCAATCTCGACTCTGGGAATACCTTGTGTCCGATCATCATTGCTTACTGTTGCGGCAGGGTCATTCACCGTTCACCGTGGCACCCACTCCCGAACAGGTTTCCGATGCACGCGCTGCGAACGTAAGTCCCACTCTTGTAGATCGGAACACTATTGCCTATCTGTTAATAATGTGCTAAGTTCCGTCATGAGGTCAAACAACTTGATCCGAAGTTTGTAAATGAAAAAATCGGTGATGCCTCCAAAAATATGGAAGGCATGAAAAACGTCTCAGGAATGGCCCAAAATATAGCTTCAGCATCAGACAACCTACAATCCATTCCAGATACCATCGACACGTTCTCCGCGATTCTTCAACCATTGAAGAAGTTCAACGATGTTGCTGTCTGGCTTGCGGATGTACGGGCATCTATCTCGATTTTGTAACTGACTGACCTTGTTGCTTAGGTCCATCCCTATGCAAAAGTGGCGTTGAGCATATTCACCTTCGCATCGAAGGTGCACTTGGTTCCATATTCTCACCTTCGCAGGTTATTGATATCTGGTGACAGATGATCATCGCTCAGGCAGACCGCGATGCTGCTGTGTCTGGTCTGCTCCAGAAGATATCGGAGATCTATGCTTTCATGACGCAAGACGAAGCATTGGCCGAACTTGAATCGATGGTAGGAATATACGGAAAGATAGCGCGACAGACGCTGGAGTGCGCCGATTTCATCACCCATTACTCTGAGACAAAGAGCGCCTGTGAGTCGATTGCACTACTGCATCGCCTATCGCTCAACATTGTCTCTTCGCGCAGGGGTAAGACTTGGCAAAAACATCGTCAGCGAAACAGATGCCAAGATTCAGAGTTTCAGCGAGGCTCTCGATAGTCTCATGCAGCAGTTCAGAGATCAAGCGATTCGTGACGCTGTGATCACCATTCACCGTGCTGGTAAGAGTCGACTTCAATACACTCTGAATCTTCGCTGACGTTTGGCGACGTGTTGCCTAGGGGAGGATCTGGACCTCAGCGGGATGATGTGTGCTGATGGTGCTGGTTTCAATACTTCCAAGCGTTGTCTCCCAGGCACTCGAGAGGACATTCTGTCCGAGATCAAGTCCTGGATCTGTAGCACGGAGAAGGACGTGCCGTCCATCTTCTGGTTGTCCGGCACCGCAGGGAAAGGCAAATCAGCTATCGCTCATACAATAGCCAACTGGTCTAGTGAGCAGGGGGGTCTGGGAGCCTGCTTCTGCTTCGATCGCACACGAGGAGCAGACTTTCGCCACGAGAAAATATTCACCACGATCGCTCGCGATTTGGCCAGGTGTGATCCTACCGTGCGGCGAACGCTGGCGCGTGCGATTCACGATCGCAACGAACTCAAGGACACCACGGACATTGCAAGGCAATGGCAGGAGCTAGTCATTGGACCAGTCGGGAAGGCCTCCAAAGTCATCACTACTCCCGTGCTGATAGTCATCGAGGCATTGGACGAGAGTGGCACAAAGGCCTCCCGAGAACAAATCCTTCGTCTGCTCGCTGGCAAACTGAACACCTCTTCCAAACTCCCTGAAAATTTCCGTATTCTCGTCACGTCCCGCCCACTCGAAGATATCAATAATGTCCTCCACACCGCATCGCATGTTCGTCATGTCTCCTTGGATGATATCTCTCCCGTGACGACAGAGCATGACATCCAGTTGTATATCTCAAACAGACTGGAAGATCTGCGTCATATATTCAATGATGCGCACTTCAAGACGCTCGCCGAGAAATCTGATGGCCTGTTCGAATGGGCTCGTCTTGCCTGCGAGTATATCAGTGACACGAACACAGTGGGCCCAGATCTGATGGACCTTTTCGAAGCTGTAATCGGAACTGCATCTGAAAAAGGAACACCTCTGTTGGATGCCATGTATAGACTGATCTTAGCAGACACCATGCCAGAGGGTCAGCGCGAGAGAGCCATCCCCATATTTCGGTCTGTTATGGGGCAAATCCTCGCATCATTGGAACCGCTTCCCGTCGCTGCGTTGAATGCGGTTCGTCAGGATTTTCCTGATGGGCGCGGCCGTTACAAATTGGAGCGGGTTATTCGGCCGCTGAGCTCGCTTCTCACCGGGACCACAGATTCTCATACTTCCATACGCCCCCTCCACGCATCTTTCTACGACTTCCTCACAGATGAGTCACGGAGCCACGACTTCTTCGTCGACATCTCATTGGTACAGAACGATCTTGCCTTGGCCTCGCTCCGGGTCATGGAGCGCGGGCTTCGATTCAACATATGCTCCTTGGAAAGTTCTTACCTGGCCAATTCCGCTGTCGCTGACTTGGAGAGACGAGTGAAGGAGTCCATACCGGCCGAGCTATCATACTCGTGTCGATTCTGGGGGACGCATGTGGCAGCCACATCTTTTGAACCATCACTCGCTAAGGAAATCGAAGCTCTCTTCGACGGAGAGCGGCTCCTTTGGTGGTTGGAAGCACTGTCTCTGATGAAAAGCGTCGGCGGGTCGGTGGTGTGCCTCTTGTCCATCGCAGACTGGTTTGCGGTGCGTAGTTCGAGCTCGTTCTTAGACTCACTAGATTCTAACGAGTAATTATAGGGCCATACCAAGTATACCCACACCGGCGATGCTGCTAGGGACGCCTTGCGCTTCGTTCGAACATTCGCAGCCACGATCTTACATAGCACTCCACATTTATATTTGTCCGCTCTGCCATTCGCTCCAACGCAGTCGATGATATTTCGCAAGTTCGCCGCAAAGTTCCCTTGCACGCCCCGCATTGTTGCTGGCTATGTCGTAAAATGGCCTCAGATGGAAAAGATACTCCATGGGCGTGACGCGGTTTCGTCGATTGCACAGTCGCCAGACGGAAAACGCATTGTCGGTGGTTTATATGACGGAACGATCCAGGTGTGGGACACGGAGACTGGGGAGGCATTGTGCGCCACTCTCCAAGGCCATACTGAATGTGTTACGTCCGTTGCATTCTCGCCGGATGGAAATCGCATCGTATCAGGTTCATGTGACATGACAGTCCGAGTGTGGGATGCGGCAACTGGCAAGGCATTGAGTGCCCCTCTCCGAGGACATACTGGTTGGGTTTTGTCTGTCGCAGTCTCACGCGATGGGAAACACATTGTGTCTGGTTCATATGATGGGACGGTTCGGGTGTGGGATGCGGAGGGTGGCGAGCCAATGGGTGTACCCCTAGAAGGGCACACTGAGTCTGTTGAGTGTGTCGCAATATCGCTGGATGGGACGCGCATCGTGTCTGGCTCATCGGACACGACAATCCGGGTGTGGGATATGGGGACTCGCGAAGCGTTGGGTCCCCCTCTCCAAGGCCACACTGAGTCCGTTCACTCTGTCGCAATCTCGCCTGATTGTACTCGCATTATATCTGGCTCTGGTGATAAGACCGTCCGAGTGTGGGATATGGAGACTGGCACGGCACTAGGCGCCCTCTCCAAGGCCACACTGGCCTCATTTCATCTATCGCAATCTCGTCGGATGGCAATCGCATCGTGTCTGGTTCACATGACCTGACAATCCGCGTGTGGCATGCAGAGACTGGCAAGGCATTAGGTGCCCCTCTCCAAGGCCACACTAGCTCTGTATTGTCTGTCGCAATCTCGCCGGATGGAAATCGCATAGTGTCCGGCTCATATGACAAGACAATTCGGGTGTGGGATGCGGACACAAGTATTAGCGGGGCATTGGGTGCTGCTCTCCAAGGCCACACTGACTCCATCAACTCTGTCGCAGTCTCACCAGATGGACATCAAATCGTGTCTGGCTCATCCGACAAGAGTGTTCGGGTGTGGGATTTGCAAACTGGCGAGGCATTAGGTGCCCCTCTCCAAGGGCACACTAGCTCTGTTCAGTCGGTCGCAATCTCGTCAGATAAGCATCACATTGTATCTGGTTCATTTGACACGACAATCCGGGTGTGGAATTTAGAAACTGGAGAGGCATCATGTGCACCTCTCCAAGGCCACACTGACTTGGTTCGGTCCGTCGCGATCTCGCGGGATGGGAAACACGTCATATCTGGTTCAGATGACGAGACAATTCGGGTGTGGAATATAGAAACTGGAGAGGCGTCAGGAGCCCCTCTCCGAGGTCACAATGACTATATCATGTCTGTCGCAATCTCACCCAGTGGAAATTGCATTGTGTCTAGTTCATTCGACAAGACAATCCGGGTATGGGACATGGAGACTGGCGAGGCATCCGGTACCCCTCTCCAAGAGGTTGACTGGATTTGGTCTGTTGCAATGTCGCCGGATGGGCAACGCATTGTGTCTGGGTTACATGACATGACCATCCGAGTGTGGAATATCAACACTCGCGAAACATTGGGTGACTCGCTCCGAGGCCACACTGGAGTTATTTCGTCTGTCGCAATCTCGCAGGATGGGAAACACATTGTCTCTGGTTCAGATGACAAGACCATCCGAGTCTGGGATATGGAGACCGGCAAGTCGTTGAGTGCCCCTCTTGGAGGACACACTGGCTCTGTTATGTCTGTTGCGATTTCTTCCGATGGCAACTGCATTGTGTCTGGTTCATATGACCGGACCATTCGGGTGTGGGACCTAGAATTTCTCAACCGGGACCAACCCTTGAAAGTGCCGCCAATTCGTTTTTCATCCAACCCAACACATGCTCTTCATTCCGCCTCATCCTTCCTCCCACATTCCTCCACACCACTAGCAGCCTCTCTTGCTCCAAACGAGGAAGGCTGGGTTGTCGGTCCCGACGGACGGCTTCTCCTCTGGATCCCACTCAACTTTCACCCGGTGATGTATGCCCCAGGCAACACGCTGGTGATACCCAATCACGCCTCGCAGTTCGATCTAAGTAGTCTCGCGCACGGCACGTCATGGCACAAGTGTCGGGAACAGAAGACTGCCCTGTCTTCGTGATTATACAATATCCCTTGGTTCGTGCACAACTACCGGGACTTTACGCATTATATGTTCACTATTTCTCGATCCATGGCCTTCACTTACGCTACTTCCGCTCTGTTCTACTTCAACGAGTGCCCCTTCTCTTACAAAAGGATTTCATTCACGACTCCGCTCTCATGAAACATTGAATATTTGCTACCCGCATTGCCATCGTACAATCTGATCGTTACTAGACTGCCCACCGTGCAAGTTAGAATTCAAACAGGGCTTTGACAATTGACATTTGCAAGGGCGGTCATCCAGCGGTTTGGGAGCACGAGGTCACTACGAGCGTGGATGAGTGTGTGAAGGTTCGTTGACAGTAGTAGTTGTACAGAATGTCAATTGGACTGGACGGCAACACATTGACATGATGTAATCTAGATGGTCTGCACGTGGAATCGTGCTTACATTCAAATACACATGTTTCGGGCTGGCGGTTGACGTTGATCCCTGGAAGTCCGAGATGACGAACATATCGATAGGTAGAAATATATGTTCTTCGCGCATCCGTTCCAAGTGGTTGTTGGTGGCGTGGATAACGGTATGATGGTAGATCAGTTCAGGGATTCAGGAGTAGATGAGCGTTAGGCGTCAGGAACCGCCTACACAAGTAATAGTTCCAGGCGAACCAACTAGAGGGAAGATTGTCGATCTTGTGTCATGACACAAGTGGGGGGGGGGCAGACACAGGGGGTCCCGCCGAAGTCGCTGTTGCAAGACACGCGCCCAGATGGTCAAAAAAAAGATGTGCAATTGTGTACATGTGAGTCATACTCGCGCGTGTGAGGACTACCGGAATGTATACAAAGGCCATCCCTAGGCTGTCACTATAGCCACGGTCCAAGAATAATGATAAACTCAGACAATCGGTAACGTCCAAGTGCCCTCGTGATATCTGCTAAACGAATGAAGTATTGGCCAAGATGTTCGAACAACACCACCCACCATGTACAATATCTCTCGCAGTACAAACAAACGTCCATATCTCCAAGCTTCATTTGATTCCTAGCAGGCATATCCGAACCCAGCATCTCCTATGCAACTGTGGGGACGCGTTTGTTGGTACCCGCGACCCACCCGCTCAGCACATCAGTCAGAGACTTTGGGAGCTATACCCAATATCAAGCGGGGTAAGACTCGAGCTCCGGGCGGCGGGAGGGGTCGAAGATCTCCCAGCAGAATATGGACTCGAGCTCCTCCCTGTAACAAGACTCGACATCCGCATGCGCGGTGAGTGAGACGCGCTGCACGCGACCGCGTATCATCCTAGTCTGGGGCTGGAGGAGGTGTGGTAGGGCTGGCATTCGTCCTGCCATGTAGAGTAGACCACCCACATGATTTTGGGCCTGCGCAGTCTAAATTGTGAGCAAGCTTAATGGGTTATATGATTACATACCTTGAGCAGATTCTTTAGGTCGTTTGGGGCAACCACTTGACCGAGTCCCGAGGATTGTGGTCCTGGATATTGAATCATATCGATAAACAGTAATTCGGCAAAATCCGGTGAGTTCAGTTGGGCGGAGTTACATCGCTTTGATCTGATTTTTGTACTGAAGTAAGTAGCCGCTGGTGATATGCATGCACATCGTATGAGCTAACACGTCTACTCATTCAGAAATGCCCGCGAGAAAGCAACTGCCAACAAGACCGTAGTTTCTTTTACAGACGAGCCCCAACACGCATTCTTCCCATATGCCCAATACACTTCTGTCATAGGTGTGCACAGCAGCCTCATAGCGTTTACCGCCCTGTTCCTGTCCCGGACATCTCATTTATTTAATTTAGACAGCTAAATCAACGCTCACAGCCCGATCCAAATCGCAGTTTCTTGACGCGCTCACGGATAGCCCTGTCCTAACACTCGCTTGGATCGTTGCAGGGCTGGCGGTTCTTCAAGTATGATGGGCGAGGTGGATCAGGCAGTGGTGTTTTGAGTATACCTCCCGCGGAACTAGTGATGAGATTGAAGTGGATAGATATCGGTTTCGATGGGGTAGATTCACAGTGCGTTTCCTGATCATTATTACTCCCACTTTAACATTCTTACCTGTCTCTTAGAAATTAGGAAAAGCGGCTATCTTCACTTCATGTGTAGCATTACTGTTGCACGCAATCATAATATTGTTCGGCGCTCCTGCTGCAAGGTGATGAGATTAACGTATCATACGAGAGAGTTGCGCTGAACGCATGTAAAGCCATCTCCCTCATACTTTTTGCTGGCGATCATTCTAGCACTGCTATCCGCATTCGCACCAGCGTATGCTCTGGGTTCCCCCACCTTTTCCTCCGATACTCCGTCCCTAGTCACAAGGCTCACCTGGACCCGTTTATTCGCTGAGCTTTCAAACTGTCTGCCCTTTCACACTTTGCCTGACATTGTGCTAGTCCGCGAAATCCGATAGAGAGAGCCTTGGTTTATCCGGCTGTCGGGACGCTGCTTGGCTGTTGGCTCGGCGCTTTCTTAATTGCACTGCACTGGGATCGACCGTGGCAGGTCAGTTAGATCTATCATCTAACGAGGGACACGCTCATGATACAAGTAGGCCTGGCCGCTAACGCCTCTCTTTGGAGGGATCACTGGCTCTATTGTTGGATCTCTCTTAGCGCTTTTCGTCAGCGCACTTATGTGGCTGGCAGAAGAGAACATCATAATGCGACAATCGGAGAAGCAGAAGGCCACCCGAGGCGCTAATTCCTTCTATTCAAATTGTAGTTTTAGATATCTAATTAATCCACTCTTCTGAGGACCAGCCCCTTCTATGCACGGGAGAAGACTAGAACTATTTTCCATCGAAGACGCGAATCCAATAGACTGGGTGACGTAGTCGAGTACTATTGGTGAAGTATGTGGGCCGGTGATATCTTACTTCGATGTGATGCCTGCGGACACAAATTTCATGACAAGGAGCGATCATCGACTTTAAACACGCACCCGTCAGGACAAGGAGCGTTGCCAGACCCCCGGCTCGTCTGAATCAAATATCAGTATTCAAGCGATCGCCAACCATCATTGTGCGTTTCGGATCAAATTCCACCTTGTCAGAAAGGCAGATTGATGAGAAGCACCAAAAGCTCGGTGGAAACATTCGCTTGGCTTGAATACAATCCAGCGTTGTCTTTGCGGGTTTCCGATACTTATCGGATCCTTCTCCAGCACAAAGCGTAATGGAGCGCTGATGGCTCCAGTTCCAGGCAAGAGACCATCCGCGCTCGGGAATGTGCTGTCTTCATTTGTGACCGAGAATTGGCAGCCGGGGTTTCGTGTGAGGTATTGGAATGCTTGTGATAGCTTGGTATACTTGACGCTGAGGTCTGAGCCACAAAGTACAGCTTGAACATCTAGGTTTCGGAATGGAGAGATACCTTCTTCCTCAATCCCTGCCATCCCGATCACATACATATTCTTCAAGTTTAATGACAGGATATATAAATAACAATTGGTGGGTAGACAAATATGCGGACAAATAGACTGATTGATTTGTGGAACTGATGTTGTATGTAATTAGGTGACATAGGCAAAAGACGGCTCGCAATTCCAGTTGTAGCAGGATTGGATGTAGTATTAATTGGTGCGCCAGCTGATGGGAAATGGCAGGAAGTAGGTGAGGCTGAGGATGCCGTGCTGAATAATTAGTTATGGAAGAAGTTGGGGGGTGTGGTGTATGACGTCGGACGAAGTGATGAATTAGTTAGCATCTGATCGGATGTTGACTCAAGAGAGTTAGAATAAGGATTGATTGAGCTATCTAGACTTGGCGTAGTACTAGCGGTTTGCCCGGGTTAATTCATAGGTTGGGTTATGGGAACAACGGGTTGTGGAAGAAGTCAGTGTATTCGGCGCACGTCTAACCAGGCATGCACATTGCATGCTGGCAAACCAAGGCGGGCAATCTGTCGACCTCGCTGCCGGGCAGCCTGTGATATCCAGAACACCAGTACTAACCAATCTGTCTTCAATGGTTCAACCATGCCAATCAATCAAGTTCGGCCCCCAATGATTGCATGATAAGTGATAAGCGCTTCCACCATTACTTATGTAAATATCTTCTGCGGGCGGGCGCTTCTCGACCTTGCATCCCATCCACGTCCTCTTTCACCTAGAAACCTCTTTAGACTCAGTCTCAGTTATGAAGAAA